GCTCTGCATCCAGCCAAGGAGCACCAGCAGCACCTTGGGCACCCCGCGCACGAGCTTGCCCGTCGCCCTGGCCACCGCCCTGCACCCCGCCGGCACCGCCTTGGCCGCTCTCCACGCGCACCCGGGCACCCTCCTCAACGCCGCCGGGACGGCCCTTGCCCGCCGCACCATCCAGTCCGCGCGGGCGCGGTTCTCCCACGCCCACCTCGGCACGTGCCACACGAGCAGCTTGACGGGCGCCACGAGCGCATAGTACAAGAAGACGCCGATCCTGTGCGCGGCGCGCCGCGCACGCCGCACCTGCTTCGCGTGGCTCGTCTTCCAGCGGCGCCAGCCGCCGCCGCGGCGCGCCGGCAGGTACGCCACGATGTCGCGGTGGCCGGCGGCGGCGGCGAGGCGCAGCGCGAGGGCGCCGTCAGGAGCCACAAGGCCGTCGTCGGCGCCGGCCTCCTCGACCAGAACCCTGACGACGGCGAGGTGGCCCTCCTCGGCGGCGCACTGGAGCGGGGTGCGCTGGAAGCGCGTGGCGCGGCCGCCGGCGCCGCTCTCGTACAGCACCCTCGGGGACTGGCCGTAGGCGTCGACGCGGGCGCCGAGGGCCAGCAGCGCGCGCACGGTACCGACGTGGCCGCGGCGCGCGGCCGTCAGCAGCGGCGTCTCGCCGTGCGCGTCGGGCGTGTCGGGGGAGACGTACCCGCGGGCGACAAACTGCGCGACGACGTCGTCCTGGTTGTCGCGCACGGCGGCGTGGAAGGCGGCGCAGAGGTCGCGGGCGAGCAGCGCGGCGGCGGCGGAGGGCGGGCCGCTCTGGTCCGCGGGGCTGCGGATGTGCGCGGCGTCGAGGATGGGCAGCGCGAGGGACGGGGTCGCGGCGATGCGGTCCTCGAGCGTGTCCGTTTGCGCGTCTTGGAGGGTGTAGGTGGGCAGGTCGTTGTCGGGGCTGTGGCCGTGCGGCATGTGCTCGTGCACAATGATGAATTCGTCAGACATGGTTTCTGTTTGGACGGTCAATGAGGAATGGCCATTTTCTTTTTTTGAGAACCCAAAACCGGGAGCAGCCAGGTGTTATATGCCATGACCATTTGCTCGTGCAAGTGGCTGAATAACTACCCGTAAAGAAATATGTTGAATGAGGTGTGGTGCGGCTGACGCTCGAGTAAAATGCCTTGTGAGTTGTTGGGGGTGGCTTGGTTCGCCTTGTGGCTTGCAAGTCGTTAGCCTCGGAGGCCCCAGACAAGATGCCGAGGAATCTTGTGATACGTGCTCCTACAATCTTTTTTCGATTATATGCTAGGCAAGAATCACATTCTTGAATACAAGCAAATACGTATATCCTGGCAGTTGACAACGCCAACATCAACGAGCTCCATGATTACCAGCACGGTGGGCGTGCCAAGTCGTACATAGGCAAGCTGCACGACAGCATTTCCGGCTTCAATATACATGAATATATGAAGATTACGTTGTATTGATACATCTAGTCATAGATCGCAACTTGAAAAATACTCTCAACGCCACAATCATTGCGCCCCGACCGGCTTTTTCCGATGTTGTTAGAGGGTATATATATACATGGTTCCAACCGACTGCACCGTGATCAAAACATCTGCCTCACCGTGGTAAAGAACCCGCTCTGCGCCATGACTTTAGCCTGATCTTGCGTTTGCATGTCGCCTGGATCCAGTCTTAAGTTGTTAAATCCATTGTAATTCGCAAACGTTTCGTACATGTTGCAGAGATGGCTTGTGAGTTTGCCGTCATTCGGGACGCTCAAGTCAATATCAGAAGAATCAGCAGGCCCCCCTGCTCCCATAGGCATCCCGGTGCCTCCATAGGGGTATTGAGGACCTGAAGGGTCTATACGTCCGCCTCTGGCCAACCCAATCATGCCAAGTGCAGCAGTAGAGTGTGCATCATTTCCCTGCTTCGGCTGAAGTTGTTGAAGATAGTCACGGAGAGACCAGACTATACGCCACAGACGCTTTGAAATGTGGCTATGGGGCGACAGATCCTCGATCAGACCCAAGCCCGTGTAAAAGTCCTCCCTGCAAATAGCAGAGAACTGGACAGGTGCCTGAGTCGATGCCAGAAACATGATTGCTAGCGCAGAAACGAGAAACTGGCTGTAAAAGGCCTGAGATTTTCGAATCATGTCTGTATGATTGTTGACATGATTCAGATACGCGACCGTGTCTTTGGCCACATCGACGCATACTTGCGCAAGGTGCGGGGCGCCCAGAATGGAATTGGTAGTGTGTAGAATTGGTGCATGCAGCCAGTTCCGTATCTACGTTCTTATTTAGTCAAGGTGACGAGAGCCCAACTTGCATAGTACTCACCTGATTCCTGCGAAGATATGTCCAGACTTTCAGCCGTTGCAAGTTATACGACGACGTCGAGTTGATGTGGCCCTCCTCATGCCAATCTCGTATTTGTACCTCGGGTGGCACACATGAATACCAAGTAATAATCTCTGCATCAAGCCTCTCGATGTCTTGCAGCCATGGCTTTTCATTGTCGAGAAACGAAGCTCGGCGCTGCTCAACAAGGGACCAAACCTTGGCGCCGAGCTTCGAATATGATATCATAGATACGAGATAAGGGTGACCCGTCTGCAAAGAGTGTTAGTATGAGTGTGAATATGCGTCTGAGGTCAAGTCACCAACCGGATATTCCAGTTTCGGGTCTATGTCCGCATCTTGAATAACATATGGCAATCCAGTATTGAAAGCCCAACGGCGATCTAGTACGTAAGCAGACCAGAAACTATTGAGGGCGAATTGGCGCTCGTTTGGATCTGTAATCGACTGGTGAACCTGGGAGCGATGCAGACCAAGCTCCAGACAGAGTCGGCACACTTGGCCAATGACACGCCAAGCCAAACCCTCGTCGTCGGTAAGGAAGCGGTAGCCGGCGAATATGCACAACAACGGCAGAGTTCCAATATATGCTTCCTCAGCCAGCAACCTGCGATTCAGAACCGGTTCCATGCTGTCAAAAAGTTTCTGGGCTCTGATACTAGGACCGCTCTCTTCAACGACAAGCGCACAACACATGACCATCTTGAGCTCGAGGGTCTTGTCATCTGTGAAGATTTGGGAAGAGGACTGATGCCGGAGGGTATCAAACTGCGCAGCGATATACCGGGCATGTTCTGTGACGGTTCCCATGTTGAGAACGGGGTACATGATGCCGATTTCATCATCGTGTACTTGACACAAACGGAGCATCTCATCGTGGCTGTATTCTAAGATGGGATCGGTTCTGGAAGCTTGTGACTGGAGCGGCGGCTCTATTTGGTTGGTTGAATCTTGAAGATCCGGGTACGCGATACCGGTATTGGTTTGGGCGATGCCAATCATGTGCGAGGTGCTGGTGGAACCTCGGAATGCGCCAGGAGTTCTGGCCTGGCCGGTGCTGGTCTGCTGACCGGAGACGGAGCTCTGGGCTGGTGAGGGCGCAATCATTCCCGAGGCCATGATGGACCGGTCAATGGAGGAGGGCGCCATGTGAGAACGGTCTCCCGGGGTGGGTTGGGTGCCCTGCATGGCCTGCATGGCCTGCATGGCCTGCTTGAGGGCGCCGACTTCATCTTGGAGGGCTGTGAGGTGAGAGGTGACAAGTTTGTACTCGTCCGAGTCTTTGAAGGTGTTTGAGCAGCAGTTTGGGGTATAGAGGCAATTCAGGCCCATGTTGCCGCAGCGCTTGCATGGAGTTTCGCCATTGCATTTAATCTTGCGCCTCTTGCATTCGTTGCTAGCAGGGGTGGCATGTTAGCGACGGGCAGGCAAGGACGGCCCCTCAGACGTGAAATGAGTGTTTGAGACGGTCGAGCACGTACCAGGCAATAGATATATACTGCAGGGAGAGAAAAGAGAAAACATGGCCAGCGGGTTAGCGGAAAGGATCAATCACAGGAGTGGCGGATTGAGAAGAGCCAAGTCTGACGGTCCGTGGCAGCGCCCGCCAGACCCAAAAAGACGACAGAAGGAAGCTCACCCGGTTGCGCTTGCTGCGCGTCTGCTTGGACGAGCCCAGGCCCTCGTCGGTCGATTTTCTTTTCGCGCCAGCGGCGTCGCCATGCGTCGCGGAATTACCTCCGAAGGATGCGGAACCAGGACTGGCTTGCTGGTGCCTGGGTGTTTCGTAGGTGACGCTGGGCGAATTGCTCAGTGGAACTTGAGCCTGCTGCGAGAGGAAGCGCAAATCGGAAGCCTGCGTCTCGATTTGCTCCATGGTGGAGGGCCCATTGAAGGGGAGAGGGAGGCGATTGGGGGCGCTCGTTTGCCGTCGGTCTTTGCCCTTTTATCAGCACATTTGGCCGGAAGTAGAAAGGGAAAGAAGGAAAAGGGAAAGAAAGAGAAAAAAAAAAGTGACAAAGGGCGCGTGAGAGAGCGAGCGACAACCCACGCAGAAGACTGAGTGCCCTTGCCCAGGTGCCAGCTAGCCGGGCCGCTTTCCCCCAAAAAGCAGTCTGGAAGGAATTCGCCACACGTGACCTGGTCTGTTCGTGGTGAGAATCCCAGACGACGGGGCCAGCCAACCAACCAGCTTGCCAGACTGGTGGCGCAATGAGCGGCTACCATTAAGCCACTGTCAAGCCACTGTAACACACGCATCCATCCCGTCTTGTACTTACTCTTACTGATTCGTAGGAATCACTACTGGCCTCTATGGCCTGCGTCCTAATACAAGCAGGGCTGCAGCGGAAGCGGTGCGCTTTCGGGGGCTGAGACACCACAGACAAAAGTTCAATTTAATTTGCCCGCCCGGGACTGTCGTGTCGTAGGAGGTATGTAGTTATCTGAAAAGTGGCTGGCTGGCTGATCCAACCACCTCCCGTCTTCGCTCGGGCTCAATCGTTTGCTGCCGCTACCCGTTCATGTTACAGGGCTCTCCCCGCTGTGGGGTCCCACTGCAGCCCGCTGCCCGCTGCCTGCTGCCTCGTGTTGGCTGGGCTGATGATTCCACCTTCATTCTCGTACGGACGGATAGATGGTCGATGACTCGGTTTTTTATTGGCATCGTTAATCTGCAGCTTCATCTCATCCTAGCAAGTTTTTCCTTCTTTCACACCCTAGTCTATTTCCTCCCCCTTGCCACCCCGTGCACCTACAACGCCTTGGCCGGCAGGATGGTACCCTCGCAGTCACCAAAGCCGACGCGGATGCCCTCCTTTTCGCAGTAGCCGTACATGACAACGCTGTCGCCGTCCTCGAGGAACCGGCGCACCTTGCCTTGCCCAATCTCAAAGTCCTGCTTTCCACCCTCCGTCATCTCCAGCAAGCTGCCACGCTCCCGCAGCTCGGTGCCGCTGATGGTGCCCGAGCCCAGCATGTCACCGGCCCGCAGGTTGCAGCCGCCGTAGGTGTGGTGGGCGACCATCTGAGGGAATGACCACAGCAGGTTCTTGGCGCTGGTCTCGGAGATGATGCTGCCGTCAGTCTTTCCATTGGCTGTACAGGGTAGGTTAGCAATCTATGCACAGATGGTGCCATCTTGGCGCGAACTTACTGTTGATGGTGGTCTGAAGCTTAATATCATAAACACTCTTCTTCTGCGACTGCTGCAGATAAGGCTGGATCGCCGTCTTGTTCTCGAGGGGCTCGGTGCGGAAAGGCTCAAGGGCATCGCCCGTCACGATCCAAGGGCTGATGGTAGAACCAAAGTTCTTGCCGTTGAAAGGACCGAGAGGAATGTACTCCCAGGCCTGGATATCACGGGCACTCCAGTCGTTGAGCAGCACGTAACCAAAGATGTACTCATCAGCCTCGTTGACGTCAACAGAGTCGCCCATCTGAGTGGGCTTGCAGATGAAGGCCGCAAGCTCGAGCTCGTAGTCGAAGCGCTTGCAGGCGGCGGTAACGGGTATTTTCTCGGCGGCGGCCGGGTTGGGCAGGATCTGGCCGCGCGGGCGCTGGATGGGCGTGCCGGAGACGACAATGCTGGACGAGCGGCCGTGGTAACCAACGGGAATGTGTGTGTAGTTGGGCTGCAAGGCATTGTCCGGGCCGCGGAACAGGACGCCGACTTTGAAAGCGTGGTTGTAACCGGCATAGAAGTCGGTGTAGTCGCCAATCTGCATGGGGAGGTGCATCTTGGCCTGGCTGACGGGCACCAAGACCTTTTGCTTCAGCGCATCGTTGCTTTGCAACAGCGAGTCGCTCCCGCCCAGGATGGCCTGCAGCTCGGCGCGGACACCCTTGTGGGTAGCACGGCCCGACTCCGCAAATGCGTTGAGCGTGGGCTGCGCAAAGCTGGCCGCCGCGCCATGAATGGACTTGAGGCCGGCGGCGGCCGGGTCGCTAGAGAGCGCCTTAAGGTCGACGATGCTGTCGCCGATGCGCACGCCGGCGCGGGGCGCGCCAGAGCTGGTCGAGAAGATGCCAAACGGCAGGTTGTGGATGGAGAAGTCGCCCTTGGCGTCGGCGGGCACCCAAGATGTGGTAGCAGCCATTGTGATGTTGCGTGTGTGGAAGAATGCGAGGTTTTTTGAGTGTGAAGACGGGGAGATTATGGAAAGATGAAAACGAGGGAAAAGCTTTTGTGATGACTTAAAAAACATGGGAAAATGGAAAATGGAAATGGAAGCGGAACGGCTTGAGCTCCCCTCCTCGACTTTTCTGTTTGTCAGAGAGGGACGACGGCCACCCCCATTTGGCCACCCCGATGCTTGTCTCCACACTGGTTACGGCCCCGCGCCGCGCTCTAAGCCGAGCCAGTTGTGTTTATCATACATTTCCGCTCAAGCAACCAGCCACAGGACGATTCTAAGTGTCCACCAGATCTACACATCGGCAGTGTGTAAGACTTCTAATTCGTACAGCACGTTGAGACACAGCACGGTTCCAAGTATTCACTGCATCTACCCAGCGTTTTAGTCGGCAGCGTGTAGGATACTGATTTGTACAGCAGTCACAATATCACCATAACATGGTTCCGCGCGAAGACTACTATGACTACCAAGATATTTATGCAAGTTTCATACTTTCATGAAATCGGGTCGTGCCCATTTTCTTACCTGTTCTGGGCTCAGGACCTGTTTAGCTGTTGGCCTGTCATTGGTTCGATGGGCCGCATCCATCCGTCAACTCTGTGAAGGCTCTTACCCCCTTTGAACTCATCACGACTACTTACTGACTCATACTTTGAAGTGACAGACTGAGATATCCATTCAAACTCAGCCATTGTTTGTTCAGGAGCGATGCGGCGGGCGCGCCAAAGTCATCGAAGAAGGGGGGCCTGGCCAACCCTAGCCTGAATACGTAGCAGCTTTCTGTTCGGACCTTCGATAAGAATTCGTTAAATAACTGTGGGACATGACTGCTGCCAGTGGAGACCCGAATGGACTTTTAGCAGTTGGCAAACCTTTGAACTGTGCTTCGCGTTGATGGCTTGAAAGATTGATCTTGAGAGCCAGGGTCTAGTTTAGTCTGCTGCTTAAGCCGCCAGTTACAGTCGACGTAGCTAGTATGAAAAGGAAACTAGTGCGTCCAGAAAATTGTTCGACGGTGCAAAGCGATCATTGTATCTAAACACATGCGCGGAACTGAAACTGAAACTGCTTTACCTCGACCGGACCGTATGCTTACACACAACTGTACAGAGTGGTCAAATGGGGGTATGTGACGCTGCTCGGTGGTGGGGGTATTCCCTCGACGGAATGCTCCCGCACCCCGCCTCAGGACCGACGAAAGCCGCCCACTGAATCCAGAACCATGGTCCACTGAATTCCGCATCATGCCGTGCGGGCACCCTTCAAACCACGGCAGTTCGCGGAAGCACGTCACTATCAGCGGAACATCGGATTCCATTCACCTTGTTTAAAATGTTCTATGTGTATTTTCAAGATGTTCCGACTCCTATATGCAGAAAAGAAACCCAAACAAGCCTAGTAATGTATCCCTATACATAATCCCCGGCCAAAGTTGCTACATTTTCCGAAACCCCAGGAAAGACAGGTAAATGATGTTGTCCGCAATCGGCCAACAAGGTACGGCGTTAAGCAAACAACTTAAATCCGGCATCTGCGACATCATCCATATCCTCGTCCTCGTCCGCTTCGTCCTCATTGAGCTCCAGCTTGCGACCAAATAGTGTGCTGAAGAACCGGTCAATGGCGGCCTGTTCCCACTGCCGCCGATCCTCGGACGCCATGAAGTTCTGCACCTTCTCGTGGACGGTGAAGCGCATCTTGCGGCCCTTGCTAGCCTTCCGGTCGACGACCTTGCGCGTCTTGTTCTCGCGCGACGCCGTCAGCACGACCGACGGCACCGCGCTGGTCTGGTGGGATGAGTCCACGGTGCGCTGCTCTACGAGCTCCTTGAGCAGCAACTGGTAAAAGTCGGCGTCGTCAAAGATGGTCTCATCCTCGTTAATCTTTTTGGCATGCTGCGCCGGGGCGCATGACCGCGGCACGCGGGTGCGCTTCGCCAGCCGGTTCTCGGGGTTGTTGAGCTGGTCGTGAAGTGAGCCGACGAGTGTCGTGTTTCGCGAGCTGAGGCCCTTGGGCGCCGCGACGTTAACGCTCTGCACCTTGCGCGACCACTTTTCCAGGCACTTTTCGCGAATTTTTACGGCGCGGCGGTCCTCCTCTTGCAATTGTTCCCAGATCTCGGCGCTCGTTGCTGATACCTCGTAGTCGCGCTTTCTCTTGGTGCCCGCGGCTGCCGGCGCGCCACAATTTTCTCGTAGGTGGCTAATGGAACTGAGCAGGCTTATGGCCGTAGCTTCGGCTGTAGCATAAGATTTCGTAATCGCGTCGTCTGCGTCGTGCTCTTCCTCGAGCGCGCTGAACGTGTTGGCCGCAATGAGGGCCTTTTGTAAGCGAATACGTAAATTCAGTAAGCCGTCGTAGAGTTTTCGTTGTTTTTGAATCGCTGCGCCCTTTTCGATGTCGGCGCTTGGTGTTCGCCCGTTCATGGCTGGTTTGGCTTTCGAAGACTTTTCGCCCTCGTCAACGTCTTCCTCTTCGTCCTCGTCTTCATCCTCATCGCCGTCTTCGTCTTCGTCTTCGTCCTCATCGCCGTCTTCGTCCTCGTCTTCTTCCTCTTCGCCGCTTTCCTCGGCTTCGCCATCAATTAGCGCCTCCAAGCCGTCGCTCATGTCGTCTTCCTCTTCGTCATCGTCCTCATCATCGTCAAGTTCATTATCGTCCCCCTCGTCTTGTTCGTCTTTCGCACTGGAGTCTGACATGTAGTCTGCCGCGGCGGCGCGCTTACTCTTGGGCTGTTTCGGTTTGGAGCTACCGCGAAAGACAAAACCGCTGAGCTTCTCGTTGTCTGATTCGCCAAGCGCATCATCGCTACCAATTTCTGAATCGCCGGCTTCTAGAGTGTCGACATCGAGATTCGCGGTTTCTGGATCGTCGTACTCCTCCTCGTCGGCCTCTTCGTACTCGTCTTGGTCGTTGCTGTCCTCGCCTGAGCTCTCCTGCTCTAGTGCGATGCGACTAACTTTCGAACCGCGATATTGTGGTCCGAGGGAGTTTTCTCCTTTTTGGCGCAGATTGCTCTTTGAAACGTCGACATAGTGCTCGGTGCCAGCATTTTCGTTGTCGCTGCCTTCGTCGCTACCACTTGCTACGATGTGCTCGGTTTCCGGGTCATGGTCTATTCATGGTTAGAGTTGTGAATCAGAAGATTAGCAGAACAAACTTATGTACCTTTCTCGATATGTTCGTCATATTTTTCGAACAGTTTCGCACGCCCCGTAGCTTTACTCATATTTGCTGACTTTGCTATTAATTCGAGAGTGAAGCCTTGCTCTCAGCCCGCCCCACGCCTGGAATTTTCTGCCAGGCCGTTCAACTTTTAGGCGGTCAGAGTAGGCAGTATGCACTGGGAGCTGCTGTGGGTCTTCAATAAGATGGTTAATTGGTGCGTGAATCTGTAAAGGGTATGGAGCTCACTGTCTCTTGTATTCGTTGGCATCTACAGAATCTTGAGTATTTCCCCAACACGCACTAAGGTGAATCTTATCAGTGTTGACCTTCATATCTATACATATTCATTCGCAGATGGATGCTTGAACTTCAAAAGAGGCAATCACCCAATCAGTGTATATTTGCAACTCTCTAACACTATGAGGCCAACCACACGTCGTTTGTTCCATACAGTTGCTGCTTTGTCGCATGAAAATCCTCTCGTGAGCAACATTTCGATTCTGCGTCGACTCAAACGACTTACTTGAACAGGGTTTGCCGCGAGCTGGAACGCCCCCCCACTGGCCGAAAAAGCCACAGAAGCGCAAGATTACAGGCGTAGACAAGGTTATTGCTGTATCGTCTGCAAAGGGTGGTGTCGGAAAGAGTACAGTAGCAGGTAAGCATAGGGATCATTGACCTGTCTATCATGACTCACTAACATCTATAGCAAACTTGTCGCTGGCATTTGCAAGGCTGGGATTCAGGGCCGGTATCTTAGACACTGACATTTTTGGGCCGTCAATCCCGACATTATTCAACTTGTCTGGCGAACCCAGGCTCTCCCAAAGTATGTGCATCACTCTCACTTATTCACTTACGAGGATGTAATTGACAATTTATAGATAACCAGCTTGTCCCCTTGACAAATTATGGCGTCAAAACGATGTCAATGGGCTATCTTGTTGGGGAATCAGCGCCTGTGGTGTGGCGCGGACCAATGGTCATGAAAGCCATACAGCAACTTCTGCATGAGGTTGGTTGGGGCGGCTTGGATATACTCGTCTTGGACTTGCCGCCTGGAACTGGTGACACTCAACTGACCATAACCCAACAAGTGATACTTGATGGTAGGTTTGCCTAGTCGCTCTGCTTGATGTTGCTAACACTGGACACAGGCTCCGTCATCGTGACAACACCACACACATTGGCTACAAAAGACGCCGTTAAGGGGATCAATATGTTCAAGGCTGTCAACGTGGACATTCTTGGGCTTGTACAAAACATGTCGCTATTTACATGCCCGCACTGCAACGGAGATACGCATGTGTTTGGGTCAAGGGAGAGAGTGGAGAAGATGTGCTCAGAGCATAGTATCGAGTTTCTCGGTGACATACCGCTGCACCCCAATATTGGAGATGATGCGGAGAAAGGCAAGCCGACCGTTGTGGCAGAACCAGAGAGTGAACGAGCTGGCGCCTTTCTAGATATCGCCAAAAGCATTGTGACGAAGATTGAGATGCAGGAGCGCTAGTAGAAACTCAGCACCTCCCTTGGTAGGCCGTGTATTATTTATGTAGTATATGTACTTGGGGAATTTCCTGAAAATCCGAATTGACTGATCCCGGCGTTCATCGCCAGTTACTCAAAACCTCAACAAACTCGCGAAAAAAGTAGTCTGGAAGAATGGAGCCAAACTGGCAGTTAGCCTCCGCAGCAATAATCAGGGAGCCTTGTTACCGTGACGACAAGAAGTCTTGTCTGCATGACGCATAGTATGGAAGCCTTTTCATCCTTGAAACACCGGGAGCATGCTCATCGTGAAATAAAAATCAAGTCGTTGTCCTGTAGTGAACACCAGACTCATTAGTCTAAATCCTCGTTCACTTGATAGACGTGGCGGTTTCGGCTTGGATCTTTGCGCATGGCTTGGCCAGACCCAGTGAAGCCAACTAGAGGTAGAAGGGTCAGTATGCTTGCAAACACCACGGGTATAAGTAGAATCGTACCTCTACCGTGTACGCCTTCTGGCGTCCGGAACATGCTATCCTTCTTTTGTGTCTTTCCAAATTTAGATTTTGAGTTGAACTCCTGCCACTTGTTTTTGCCAGCTTCGAGCTCCTTCTTGGCCTTGATCTTCTTGGGTTTGGGCGGTTTAGCCTCAGCATCGACATCCCTGCCCGCATTTGGATATGTCGTTGCGCCGGCCGAGGATACAAGGCCGGGTGTTGACGCCGGTGGTGGCGCAGGAAGCGCCTCAGCCTTCCTTTTGTTGGAGACTGGGCGGATGTCGCGCGAGCGTATCGTTTCTGTGACGTCGTAGCTTTTGAACTTGACAACGTAGACGGGCGCAGCAGCGGAGCCGGTGATGGAGGTAATCTTGGCGGGGTAAAAGCCCTTGTCGCCAGACATCCACTTCGCCATGACAATATCATTTACTTGGTAGGTGACTGGCGTGTCATCCTTCTCCTCAGGTGTCGGGATGGGCGCAGTCTTCTTGAAGGCGGGGTGGTTCTCGCGCGACCATTTTTCGCGTTCGGGCGGAGGAGAGGGCTGCTTCGGTGCTGGCTTTGGGGCCTGTTTGGGCTTCAGTTCTGCAATGTTCTCGTTGAGAAGTTGGACAAAGTTTTGCAACTCTTGTTCAAGAGCCTTGAGTTCCACATTATCGGGGTCGTCGCGCAGCTGTCCAAGAACAAGGTCAAGCTGGAGGAATCGTTAGCAGAGTTAAGGAAGGCGGGCTTGTTTCGGTGACGGACCTGTTCCTTGTACTGGTCTTTTTCAGCCTCCAATTCGGCTAATCCGGACATGATGTGATTGAAAAGGCCTCGAAGCACAGAAAATTGGAAGAAACACGACAGTCAGGGCGATGCAGACGATGTTTGCGGAAAAATGGCAACCAAGTAGGTAGGTAGAGGTAGTTAGTGTATGACAGAGGAGAAGGTAGAGGCGCGACTAGGAGGAAATCTAACAGCGGTGGGGCACGTGATCCTTCTGTTATAAGTCATTTGCTATGATTGCTTATAATTGTTGCCAAGTGCAGTGAAGAAATCACAAATTTACTATACAAGTAGTTCTTCTCAATCTTTAATTAGCAGGAGGGGTACTCATGGATTCTTTTCATGTAGTAGTCTACAGGGCTTCCCGTGGAATCAGGTAACCGTTCATTTACCCTAAGGAGTACTACAGGTAGGTGGGTAGACACCAGTAGTGACACTATTGAAGTAATCATTACACAGCGTTATCACGCGGGGCTTTGTACACCCTAATGTAGCCTCAAAGACCAGCGGTTCATCACGGTGGCGTCAACGTTCCTGTGATTCACGAGCCGTATATAAAAAGGTAGCAAGCAGCGCGCCCGGTGTCTCGGGACAGCCACGACGACACGAGGCCGACAGCGCCGTCGTCGTTTGGCAAACAAAACTTGTCGCGCCCCGCCTAGGCCTCGTTAGCCCCGGTCTCACCTCGACCTCACTCAACTTTCCTCCTGTTCCGACCGCCTGATAGCCAACCCATCATCCTCAGCAACAATCAACAATCGCAGGACCGCCGCATCATCACTCAGCCGTCGCATATCGAAATCAAGACTTCCGATCACCACCTGCTCCTTATCCCGCCCTCAATTGGTTGATTGGCCGACGGTCCAGCCGGTGTATAGCGCCCACCGCCCACCGCCACCTCCCAGTGACGCATCTGGAGTGCAGCGTCTCATCACCGTCTTTTGTTCCTTCACCACCACCACAGCTTGTGTCTCACTGCTGCTGCAGCTCCTTGATTATACAGCGTCGCAGCGAGCCGGCTCGGTACCCCCGACATCGCAGTTGCGTTTGGCCCACGTTCTCCTGCACCCGCAGCCCAATTTCGCCCCCCCTCCTCGCCGCCCATCCAACCGAAGAGCCCTGTCAACGCCCCCTCGCTGTGCTGTCAGCGCAGCCCATTGAACGAACCATGGCGCGAGAAAGAGACGGGGACAGCACATCTGCAGCACCCGATGGCCAATCAAAGCATCGCGACCCCGACGCCCACAGCGACGTCTCTCACCAACAGCGCCAGAAGCCGCAGCATCAAAAGCACCACCACGTCGCCGGCCGACTCCATGCCCGTGTCCCCTCCGCCAAGGTCCTGCACACAAAGTCGCACCAGCATGGTCAGGCCGCGCCCAGACTGACTAGGCGCACAACCTCTCCCGGCGATCGCGAGGCCAATCGTCGCCCAAATTCTCACCGTCGCGTCAATAGCGAAGCCAAGCTGTCGCGCGAGAGCTCCTCCGGCAATTTCCCCAAAAGCGCATCCCAGTCCAGCCTCAAGCGCAACCGATCCAGCATCGAAGTGTCTAAGCGCATCCGCTCTTCCGACAAGCTACCTAGCAATCCCAGCAGCTTTGCCGTCAATAAGCACAAGCCCAACAAATCCCAGGTGACTTTTAACATTGGCGTGGACGATCCCGAGGACGAATGGGTTGACGCAAGCGGTTCCAATTCGCCGCACATGTCACGAAAGGGTTCAATTCTCAACAGTGGACAATCATCACTACAGCGCAATCCTGCGTCCAATAGTAATTCTAGACCACAGACGCCCAATCAGCCTACGCAGCCGTCCGCGAATACTTCGCCTTCCGAGCAGGAGCGTTTGCGCCACAAAGAGTATCTTACATCTCGCGTGTTGAAGCGCACTATGTCGCACGGCGCAACCACGCAGATGGCTACCCAAATAGCGCAGGCGAGTCTCCCACGCCACTCTCCGGAATCTAATGGTCCCAACGGGTCTCTTTCGACATCTGGCAACCATGACGAGCTGATATCGAGATTCGTCGAGACCCCTGGATCTGGCATCGCCAGTGAAGGCTCATTTTATAACCCTTCCGTCAGCTCAAGGCAGCTACCACCAGTCTCTCCTCGCGTGCAGTCGTTTTCGAGCCTATCACAAAACGGCTCAAGGCAACTCATCTCCGACATTGATGACAGCGCGCTTATCCCGAAAGCTCCGCGACGCACTACTGCCCCTAGAGCAGAAACATCCCGTACACAACAGAAGCTAAACCTGCAGCGCCAAAGCTCCGCGCTCGAACCCAGCCAAGCTGTCGGTGCCGTTGGGGGCGTTGCCGGACCTTTGATTGGTATAACTGGCTCAGGTTACGATGGTGGTAGTAGTCGTGACCCACGAGTCAACAGACTTATGGAAAGGGCGGGCATGGAATACCTCGTGGTGCGGAGATGTCAGAACCCTGTTGCCCGCTCTCTCAATCGTCTCGGTCGCTTGCCCGACCTCGAAAAGAGTAAGCGCATCCCTCGTCCTAGCACACCTCTCGTCAACGGCAAAAGAACCACAGCTGAAGCACCGGCCCGGCATTTGCGCAACGTAAGTATGCCAGATTCAAGACAAGCCGCAACCGCAAGAAGGGTGGTCACTATCCGGAGTAGCGGTGCTGGCTCCAGCTTCGAGGGTGACGAGACGGGGCGATTGAGCGAAAGAATAAGCGGCTCCAGCGCTACAGAGGAGACTGATGATACTGCCACGTTGCTGAGAAATTTGTGGGAGAAGTCGATGGAGCTCAGCGCAAGCACCGACTAGGAATGATTCGCTGCTCAAATTAACCGAGTACTGTGCAGATTATATTTGTTGTTACACTTTGGCTTTACTATCACGGCTGCTTTGTTCTATATTATAGCCTTTGCATGGTGTTTTTTGGTGGGGGTTTGGAGTCGATGGTGGTTGCTTTGGTATATCATGGGAAGAGCAATATTTGGAGATGATGAAGGTAGTAGCTCTGGACATACATTTTATATTAATACACATGGCGTGTTTTTTGACCATGAACCGGTCGCGTTGAATCGGCGCAGAACCATTCACGAGCGGGATGACTTAAGAGCAGTAGCGAAATACCCGTGGTGCAGGAGCGCTCTGCGATACAATCGTTTTGAGTTGAATTATGTAGAAATCAGTAAGACTCCGATTTATCTTTCTTAACGCCTACGTCGGGTTCTGTTGGACCCGATCGTTGAAGGATTCATAGCTTCTTCGTTGTCGACGAGTAGGTCTCTATGCTACAATTGAGTGAGAGTTTCTATCAGGTTGCCTTGACGGCTATATGACTAAATTTTTAAACATTGGGAGACAAGAGATCGTATTTGACACATCGTTCAACCTGTCTTTGGTTAGTGTGCTGGGCTTCGCCATCCGCATAGTACGAAAGAAACTTACATCTTCGATGCTTGCCTGCAAGAACTTTCTCGTCTCCAGACCGACCCAAAGGAGGACCATGGAGAAGTCGCCGACACCACCCGCACGCTGCGTGCTGAGCTGTCGTAGGATGGGCAGGGAGCTGCTGAGCAGGTCCACGTCCGGGTTCAGGCTGCGGCCGATGCCCTCGAGCAGCAGTATGCTAATGACAACATTGACAAAGTCACCCTCGAGGCGGACGTGGTGGCCGCGAACCATGGCGAGCACCTGCTGGAGAATGTCGCCAATCTTGACGTTGCCGAGCGCGAGGGTGCGGCTCTTGACGCTGAGCACGAGGTGCTGCATCTTGAGCGCAAAGACCTCCTTGTCGAGCACGGCTTCGGGCTGGCGGCAGCGCTCGCACATGAGGTGGCCGGCCTTGTAGCCGTCAAACTCGGCGACGGCGCGGAAGAGGTCGAGGAAGTTCTTGCGATTGGTCGCGTTGAGCTCCGTTACGAGGCCCGTGTCGATGAAGACGAGCTGCGGGCGGAAGCCCTCGGCGTCAATCGTGGCCAGCTCCGCCTGCCAGGCGGTGCGGTCGCGGCGGTATGGCCGCAGCCGCTCGAGCACCTCTTCGGTCACGTCGGACGGGTCGTGGGCGGCGGGGGGCGCGTCGGGCGCGCGCCGCATGGGCAGCTCGGGCCGAGCGGAGCGGTAGAAGCGCACCATGATGTTACCCGGGTGCAGGTCGGCGTGGACAAAGTTGTCGAGAAGCAGCATGCGTAGGAAGGCGTCGAGCCCCTCATCGGCAATGTCGTGCTGGAACACGCCGCCGCCATTCTCCATGAAGTCAGCGAGGGGTATGCCCTGTGCATACTCCTCAATCAGCACGTTGCGCGTCGTAAAGTCGGTGTACGGATACGGGAACCACGCCGTGGACCTGTCTTTGAAGTTTTGGCGAAAGGTGGCCAGGTTGGCCGCCTCGATACGGAGGTCAAGCTGCAGCTTCATCATTTCGCCAAACTGTTCCACCTCGCCGGGTAATGAGAGCCACTCCATCGTGGGGATGGCGTTGAGCATGGAGGCAAAGAACCCCATGATGCGCAAGTCGCGTCTAACTGTTCGCTCAACATGGGGGTGCAGCACCTTGATAGCCACGTAGGTCGAAGGCACGCGGCTGGGCGAGCTCATGAGCACCGTCTTTACATGGTGCTTGACATTATCCGCCATGTCCTTGTTCATGACAATGTCCGAGTCGGCTGGTGACGCCACATCCGGCTTCAGCTTGGCCTTGTATACTTGTGCAATGGCGCCGACGCCGAGCGGCTTCTCCTCAAACTCGTCGAAGATCTCCTCAAACGGGCGTCCGCCAAAAGCGGCCTCGACCGTCGCCCGCGTGACGCGCATTGAGTGGGCGGGCGCGTTGGAGTGCAGTTTGGACAGTGATTCGCAGAGCTCGTTGGGGAAGATGTCGGACCGCGACGCCGCCCACTGGCCAAGCTTGATAAAGGCCGGGCCCGCCAGCTCCATGGCCTTGACCATGAAGCCGTACCACCACAGCGTGCCCTGGCGCTCGTCATCGCGCTCCGGCAAGCGGCGGCCGAGCCAGACGATGGGCACGGACACGATGACGGGCACAAAGATGGCAACGAGATGGAGGAACCGTACGCCTGTGAATATAGGCTCCCAGATGTACAGGTCTAGAAACAATAGCGCCTCGTGCACAAGCCGCGATAAGCCGCGATCATTGTTGTCAACCGCCTTGCGAATCTCCTCCCGCGACAACTCTAGCATGCGCAGCTCGCCCGTCTCATCGGTCCCGCCGTTGTCCTTCTGCGCGAGCTTGACAAACGCCGCCGTGCCAATGGCTGCTGCGCCGCCAGCCGACGCCCGCAGCGCAGAGCCGTTGCTCCGTTTACCGCTGCCGCGCCACGGTATTCGGCGCGGCGCATGCAAATATCGCGCGCATTGCGGTCGGAAAACGAGCGACGTCGGTTTGAACCCGGATGCTTGTCGTAGGCCCGACCGAAGGGTAAATCTGCCGAGGAGCAGCTCAACCCTCATCTCGATGGGCTAATTGATGTGATTTCCGTGTGCGCTATTGTTCTCATGCTCGATTCGGGGCCAATGTTGAAAATGGGTTTGATGTTGATGGGACCTTTGGTCCCGGTGCGTGCCGACAGACACTCTTGGGTTGCCGTTCACCAGAAAGTCAGTGACGTAGATGCGCAGGGGCAAACCTAACCCACCACGGCAAAACGCATGCTAGCACTCGGCCATATCAGGATTGTTAGTGGCTGAGCTAGTAGCACAGGTATCTCCTAACAATGGACGCCCCACGGACTGGCCGGGATGGCGCGATAAGATTAGAAATTTCTCCGTCCCTATTGTCGGTGGCGCTGCGCTGATTGTTCCTTTTAGCCGGCCCAATCTGCTTCGACACATTTTCAACACATTCATTTCAAACTTTCGTCTAGCATACGACCTTGATCACCATGGGATGGTTCTGGGCTGATCAGTCGCCCGCCATCGGGCAGATGCCCAGAGACCACCTCGCTGGCTTTGCTGGCAAGGAGCCACCTGTAAGCAATGCGCCCACGCGCGAAGCAAATGAACGCCGAACTCTGGATGCTAACATGACTTTTCTAAAAAGGCCAGCTGCCCGATGCACAAGAAGTCACTCGGTAAACTTAATCCTCAGGCCCAGGCGACGAAACCCGCGTCTCCTATCCCTTCTACTACCGGCTGCCCTGTCCCGCACGACCAGAGGGCCGCTGCCGTCGCCGCTGCCACCTCGAAGCCGGCCTCTGCTACCTCCGAGCCCAAGTCGATCATATCGCAGCTGAACCCCCTCAACTACATGTTCCCTGACCTGTCTCAGAAGCGCGCGCCAAACCAAAAGATCGCGCTGCCCACGTCGCGAGAAGAGTCAACGATCCCCAAGGGCGACGGCGCTGGCACGTGGGAGTACCCGTCACCGCAGCAAATGTACAATGCGCTGCTGCGCAAGGGCTATACGGATACGGACATTACGGCTGTTGAGTCCATGGTCTCAGTCCACAACTTCCTCAACGAGGGCGCCTGGGCGGAGATTATGGGCTGGGAGCAGCGCTTCCACCGCGGCCTCTACCACGGCTGGCAGCTGTGCAAACGGGGCGAGGATCACTTCGAGGAGGAGCTGGATCGCAACTGGGACGGCAAGGAGCCTGAACCCAGCCTCATTCGGTTTCAAGGCAGACCAAAGGATATGACGCCCAAGGCAGCCATGCTCCAGGTGCTGGGCTGGATTTATCCATCCAAGTTTGGGTACGTTTTGCTATACCATTTGCCATATAAAAAAAAAAAAACTGATGTCGTGTAGAACTGAGCCCCCTTTTGACCGACACGACTGGTATGTCTCCCGCGAGGTCAACGGCGAGCAGAAGGAGATTCGATACATCATCGACTACTACTCTGACGAAGCTGCTGACGCTGATGAGAGCGACGAGCCTGTCTTCTACCTCGATGTTCGCCCCGCGGCCACGCCTCAGGGCGCCGCTGAGAGAATTATCCGATGGAGCAGCGACGTGTGGTGGAAGGCCATCGGTGGCGACGTGCGAGAGCAGAACCCGCAACCATTCTTCCGCCACAATTCACCCAAGCCTTTCGGCTAAGTGAATGGTGACATGCTTTGGACTTTTTCCACTTGATTCATTCTGCATTTTCCATGAAGTAGCGATGCGACACATGTAACGGGGCCTTCTCTTTCCTCTCCTCTCCAAAATGGTGGAATTATCTGTAATTATACTGTATGTCGGGGTGTAAGATTTAGCAAAACAAGATTTATATATATACCTAATAGCTTCTTTATGTTTCAAGTTGATGTGAAAGAAGTGTCGAGCAGGTCAACTTCATTCATCTCTGCTGAATGTAACTAGTGGATCAGGCGATGGTCTTGTCGGCAGTGACCCAGTGTGCCTAAACAGGAACAGGTTCAGTCGGGCCCGCTAAAAAGTTGACCTGACATCGAATTTTATCTTCATCTAAAAAAATCCCGTCCAGAATTCTGGGCCCCAAGAACATCGCTGCCGACCTGTGCTTGATCTCCCCGAGACTGGAGATGACGACGGAGGCTACAGAGAAGCTGAAGAAGTCGCGCGCCGCGTCTCCCGAGACGACAGAGGACGGCTTCGTTCGCCTTCACATCACCCCATTTGACGCCGACCTGCTGAAGATTGTCGTGCCCGCTACAGCTCTCCCCAACGCCCGCAACATCTCGTATCATTCCCTGGAGACATTTCCCGAAAATCGATTTGGTTTTGTTGAGCTTCCCCAGATGGACGCCGACAAGATCAAGAAGAAGCTCAATGGCAGCATGCTGAAGGGCAGCAAGATGCGCATAGAAAAGGCTCGTCCTGAAAAGCGCATCGAGCCTGACTTGGTGGACGACACCGGAAAGACTGTGAGAAAGTCAAAGTCAAAGAAGAACGACGACGATTCCGAGCGACCAAAGAAGCGCAAGCGCGAAATGGGTGTCATCGACGGGGTCATGCTCGACGACCGCAAGGTCAAACGTGGATGGACGGAACCTGCCGATTATAAGAACAAGAAGAGCAAAAAGGACAGCGCCAAAGAGTCTAAGAACATCGAAAGAGACACTAAACGAAAGCAATCGAGATCAAAGTATATTGAAAAGGAGGAGTGTCTGCTCAAGACGAGAATGCCACCCAATGAAATGCGCAACCTGCCCGAGGAAGATGCCAGCACAAAGAAGAAGAAAAAGAAGACTTCTGCCAGACAAGTTACTGTTCACGAATTTGAAAAGACGACCAAATTCATGAGTTTCCTGCGGACGGCTGCTCCAGAGACTGATGGCAAGTCTGCGACCGAATTTATCGAAGGCAAGGGCTGGGTGGATGAAGACGGCAATGTAGTAGAAGTTCTCAAAGAGAAGAATTTGCCAAAGGCTCAGCCCAAGAAGACTAAGAAAACGCCAGCCACGCCTGTTGAACCCGAATCTGAAAACGAGACCACCAGCGAAAGCGACACCTCTTCGGACGATACTTCTTCTGAAGAGGAATCCGAGGACGAGCCAATGAAGGAGACAGAGAATCCAAAGACGAAGAAGCTGGCAGTGGTTGACAAAGATGATAGCTCTGAAAGTGATAGTTCTGATTCAGGCAGCGACAGCTCCGATGACGACGAATCCGATGACGAGTCTGAGACACCCACGCCTGAAGTGACTGGCAGTGCCACTTCCAAGCCCTTGATGATTGATATCCCACCCCCTCCGACGACGTCCCGGGTCATTCACCCGTTGGAAGCGCTGTTTAAGCCCTCCAAGCCAGAAGAAAATGGTACCACGACCCCGGCCGCGGAGAAGAAGATAGGCTTCAGCTTCTTTGGCGGCGATGGCGACGAGGAAGAGCAAGCGGAGGACACCGTCGAGAGCGGGACGGCCGCCGTACCTATGACGCCCTACACCAAGCAAGACTTTGATTGGCGCAACGTGCGTAGCGCAGCACCGACGCCGGACACGGTCCACCCTGCACGCATGCGCAGCTTCTTCCCTTCGACGGATGAGGACGCCGAAATGGCCGAGGCTGAGGAAGAGGAGGAGGACGTATACGACGAGGACGGCCCGGACGAAGGTGCGGGTGCCGCAGGCCAGCAGGGATCCAGCGACTTTCAAAAATGGTTCTGGGAGAATAGGCGCGACCTCAACCGGTCCTGGATGACACGGCGAAAGACGGCGGCGAAGGAGAAGCGAAACCGTGATAACAAGGCACGTGCCTCGAAAGCAGCATAGACGTGATGTCATGATGGTTACATGTGAGAATTTGTACATGAATTTAGAACATTCTTTTGATCGTACGTCATTGAAACCATATTGGACGGAGCCGTTTCCTCCGCTTTGCTGAACGCCAGTGTGCACTGGGATGAACTTGGGAGCAAAACACTCACTGGCAAGGGAAGATGTACATAGTATTCATCTTGATGATATATATATATATACATATACATATATATATAATGAGAGAGATATATACAACGCCTTTAACGTCGGCGACATTCCACACCAACGCCCGTACGCCTATGCAGGCTCTAATCAAACACCACTTTTGATCCCGCAAAAGCTGTGGCCTTTTGTGCGTCCTTGGCCTTTTTTCTCGCCTCCCAGCTCGGATGCAACTTGCCTTCGTCATCCCGCTTCGTCGGCGGCGGCGGCGGTCGTCTCGTCTCCTGCTGCTGCTGCTGCTGCTGCTGCTGCGCTCCTCGCCCCGGGCCGCTAGACGACGAAAAGGGATTCTTGACGCCCTTTTTCCACGGCGTCTTGCCGTCCGCCGCCGCGTCCACGGCGCCGCGCTTCCGGTCCCAGCCGTCGTCGCGTCCGCCGCCCTTGGCCCCCTCCCGGATGTGCTTGGCGTTTCTGCCGTATTTCTGCTCCCAGATGGCGCGGCGGGCGCGCTGGCCGCGGCGCTTCGTGGGCGGCGCGACGTCGACGTCGGACGCCGACTCGGAGCCTGATATGTAGCCGCCCATGAGGGACGGCAGGAACGTCGACTCGGTGGGCGCGCTGGCTGGGACCGCCTTTCTGGTCCGCTTCCGTTGCGGCTCGGGCGAGGGCGAGAGGGAGACGCCTCGGGAGGTCATCTTATTGCTTCTTGTGGCTGTCTTGGTGGGCGCTTCTTCTTCTTCGTCGTCGTCGGTTTCGGCTTCCTCGTCCTCTGCGACCTCTGCGTCCGAGTCGCCGCCGGATACAGAAATGTCGTCTAAATTGACCGTTTCTTTCCCGCGGTACTTTTCCCATAGGCTCGCACGCTCGTCGTCCTCGTCCTCGTCGGAGGAGCTACCCAGCAGCCCGTCCATGGCAGCAAAGTCATTTTCTCGTCTGACTTCTGCGTCACTGTCAAGGTCCTCTGTAGGCGGCGCAAGCTCGTTATCATCGCCGTCATCGGAGTCGAAGCCTTCAAAGTCTGTCTCGTCCTCATCGTCCTCCTTTGCAGCGCTCTTGTTGATTTCTGGAGGGGTTGGCTCAGGTTCTTGGGCCTCTTGCGTCTTTCCCTTGCGCTCGCGCTTGCCCTTTTTGCCTTTTTCTTGGACAGGGATCTCGAGCGCCTCACAGACAAAGGTAATGGCCTTGGCGACTGCCTTTTTCACGTTGTCGCGGTTGTAGAGGCCGCTCGTGACATTGTGCAAGACCAGCCGCTCGTCTTCGGCCAGTTCCGGTTTTGCCACGCCCTTTTTGAGCGGTTCGGGTAGGTCTTCGTGGCTCGCAATGGGTTTAATCTTGAGAAGCGACGAGTAGAGGTGCGCGCGCGCCGTCTGATGTAGGTCCAACGACTGCAAAATGGAAACGGGTTAGCAAATTTGGCCGCGCACACACAGGCCAGTAGCGCTGCATACCTTGAGCACGTTGATTTCTCTCTCGAGCTTTCCCTTCTTCTCCGGGTCGCCGGCAGCGTCGCGCTGTCTCTTGCTCATACGCTGGCGTTCAAAGCCCTTGGCCTCCTTGAGGGCGCGAGAAATATCTTCCTGGAACTTTTCCAGGTGGCGGATCGACAACGAGTCGGCTCCCCTCTTTCGTTTGGCCATTCTGCAGAAATTCGAGCGACTTGTTCTAATGCAATTTACCAAGTTGGCGCGAGAGGCTGCGTATTATATGCTTCGTCTGTTTGCTGTTCGTCCGTTCTCTCGTTGAAGGCTTGTCAAGTATGCTGTCCGATGTCCGATAAGCAACTTTTTTTTTTGGGTTGCGCCGCGAGCCAACATAGTGGGTGGGCCCGCTGAACTAGATCTAGCAGATCTTACAAACTAATACTGTTAATACCGTACGGAGTAATTTGGTAATTTGTCCAAACCACCAACTCAATCAATTTCAGACTCGAGCTGATAATTCAGCCAGTTAGACTTGTGGGCTAACCGCTATAAAGGTTCGGACCACACCATTCGACCGCGGGGAAAACGCGGCTTTCATCTTTCAACCCCTTGTTAACGCGACTTACGCCATGAGATTTTTACCTATGTATATGGCCTGGATCTTTGTCTTGAGTTCTAGCTGTCTCACGAGTTTTCTGGTTTCTGTGTCAAGTCCTGCAGCATTTTCAAGCATGATCTCATCCATCTATCATTCACAAAATCCTGGTGCGATTGATATGCTCTCATGCCCTGGTATGCACTCGCAGGTATGCCTCCCAAGCGATCTGCAACCTTGAAATTACCGCCGGCACCTGCTTCATATTTGGCCAACATGTCTTTGTACGTCTGTAGTCTGGGTAGAGTCAGTGCAACCCGTTCCACCACGGCAGGGCGTGTTTCCACCACTCCGCGTGGTTCAACATCAAGAAAACATTGAAATGGGTACTGGGTAACAACTTCAAGCGGCGCAGCCATGACACCATCGAAGTCGATGACACCAACAACGTCAAAATCCTCATTGACGAGGATGTTGTGCGCTCCGAAATCCCGATTTGCTAATCGAAATGGCCCATCCTTCTGTTCACCGCAAATCCGCAACAAAAAGTTGAGAATCGACGGTACCATGAATGACGGACTTTGCCGTAGGGGATCTTTCGATATCGATTTTAATAAGTGATGGGCGAGATCATCATAGTATTCTGACGATGAGGCCCATGGCCCGCGGCCGGTTTGCAGCTCAGGTCCAATATAGAAATCATTTGCGTCCTCGTTGTAGTAAATGCCACCAATCTGTGGGAACTGGAACGAAGCGACGGTAGCTTGAATACGAGCAACTTGCTTCCTGAACCTGCGATCTTGCTCAGGGGTGCCGAAAAGGCCGCGGGCTGAGCCGTGCTGGACACGTAATTCTGACGCAACACTGCCATGAATGTAGTCCATCAGAATGAAAGGAGCCCCAGCCTCATTTTGGACAGAGAGGTTATACGCATGGACTTCGGGGACTGGAATCGATGTCTTTAGTCTTTTCATGGTCAGTTATCCGATTCAGGACTATAATAATCAGGGGAGACTGCTACCTGAAAAACTTCATACTTGCAATCTCAATTTCCATCGTTTTGGAGGCGGATAAGGCTTCACGATCAGTAGCAGCGTCGGTGCTCGGGAATCGAACCCGCGCTACCCAACTAATACCGTCGACAAAGTCAAGTCTCCGAGTCATATTGAAATGTCCTACAGAGAATTTCTCAGCGAAACCGCAGGAAATACCGCCCCTTTGCTGAGAAGCAGTAGTAGCAAGCGCATCCCAGTTGACAGCTTTCACAAAGTTGGTCGCACGCGTGTGCCATTCACTTCCGGGTTCATATTCGCCAGCTTCAAGCCACGCATCACTGCCAAGTGAACGAGATGCTTCGTCGGTAGACATTCTGATATTATACGTTCGCGTATAGTTTATGATGAAGGGACTGTTGCGATGGGAGAGAGTAGGGTTTTGAATGGGTGGTGACTCACACCAACACACGTGATAAACGTTCCTTGCGCTTACCTACCTAGGTATGTAGAGTCAGCCATAATTTGTGTTATCCGACTTACAATAGGCAGCCTGTTGCCGGGAGAGTGTTGTCCACTATACTAATTAAATCGGAGCGTAGTTTATCATTTGTTTCTTTGCTGCTACCATTCTACGAAGTATAGTACAAATAGACGTAACATTCTTCCTTGACTAGGTTCCCAAGTGACTTCTCTATCCTTTGGGATGACGAGGCCCTGATCGTATGTGCAATGCTGGAAGGTTGGAGGCTCGCTGGCTACCCTGTAGACAAGCAAGCTCCCATATTTCCCGAGGCAGCTTATGACGCGAATTAGCCGTCCCTCCCTGCGCCGTTGTGAGTGGGTGTGGGGTGCCTACCCGTTGGGAAATAAGCAATCATGGCATTATATCCGTAAAGGCTCGCTCTTGGAAGTGCCGGGATTGTTTTGCTTAATGCCGCTTTTATGACGGATGGAAACCGGGCATCAAGGGCCTGGATAATATTGCTTCGGGAGCAGGCCGGTTTCGTGATTCATCTTGTTATGAATATCTGTAAGAAACGGGACCCTTGCTGTAATAACAGCTGGCCAGTTAATTATGGATGAGGCAAATTACGTACCAGGACCTTGCAGCAACCACGTTCCCGCGATATGAGTCGAAATGACTTGTTATACTTGGCCCTTGATAGGCCACTTATCAATTTCAGCGGCTTTGGGTTAAAAATTCCGCAGCGACTTTTCCCGATAGACGCCGTTTTAAATCTTGGCCGGTCGCGTAGAGGCGTCAAGCCACACAGGGGCCTGTGGTGGGTGTAGACTCCAGTATACCGAACCCATCCGATGCGGCATCCATAAGATCCATAAGAATCCGAGATAGTGAGACGTGGCTTTCAAGTCGGCGTCTCGCTGTGGCTCTGGCTTGAGAAATGTCCGGTTGATTTTGGATTTGGCATAGCTATGAGCAGAGCTCTTGAGCATCTCGGGTTGACGGAGAAGTCAGGGCGTGTGAGGCGCACCGGGCCTGAGAAAGCTCTCTGGCTGTAGTGCTGTATTGGTACAGTGGCACGCTGGCACCAGTAGATGGTTCATGGGCAGCAGTTACACATTCCGTCGGCTCCATTGTTAGCAGCCTCGCGTGGCTGCGCTGAGCGGAGCTGTGATGAACCTAGTGAGGAGGAGCAAAGGCTCCCCGCAACGACAGGGGTCACCCAAGTTGCAGCGCTGAGGCTAGTTAGCTTTGGCGAGCAGAGCAATCGACCCATTGACGCAGTTTTGTTTTCGTGATCCATTCTTGACGGCAGTTGTCCGTCCTGCTCGGTTTTATCGATCGCCTGGGGATAATGCCGTGGTTGCGCGGAGCAAGTGTCGGGAATCGAGTCGGGAATCGAGGTCGCTGGGTGAACTGGTTTATGGACTAGTTATTGCTCCGCCGGAAGGATGGTATTGAATCATACATGTACTGGTATACTGGTATATGCGCCTCTCAATAACACGAAGCAGCCATGCAAATGCACATTTGCTGCGCCATCGCTGGCTAGCAGTGGCTATGCTGCCTTCTACGTGCCTACTGTAGTACTCATGTACCCCGAACCAGGCCTAGAATGTACTAATCTTAGGCAATAAGCTGCGGCCGCTAACATTGGTCTGTCAATCACAACGCTGCCATTAAATTCGCTAGCAATCGGCACAGTAGCTCCGTTGTCCGTCTGGTAAGTTGCATGTAATGTCACGACTGCCGGGCGACTGGCGCAGGTCGCGAGCATCTACCCCCGGTGCCAGCAAAACCCGCGAGAGCATCGCGACACTTTATGCCATCTACCCTGTGCCTGATGATCCCAAGTCGACATGCTGTCGAAGCACATGATCAACCGACGACGAAGATCAAGGTCGGCGGCGGCTTCCTGTGTGTGTGCGCCGACGAGCGCTAGTTAGCATGTAGACAGAGAGGCAATAGTGATGCACGCGACAAGGAAGCTCGGCGCAGTGAAAAAGATGGTGTGGTGGTGGTGTACCTACGGGATACACAAACAAGCCTTTTCACACATTCTCTCCATGTTTACAATTTACCTCTTGTCGACGATTGCTGGCTCAACCCCGCAGTTGGCCACCATGGCTGGCATTGGCTTTGGCGCTGGCGTCGTGGCTGCCACCCTCCACACCCACCATACCAAACTGATAATCCAGAACAGGTGACTGGCTGGCCTTGTATCGTCCATGTACTCTCTAGCCACTACTCTCTTCTGCTGCTTCTTGATCAAGTGAGGGGTTGCGAATGGCGACGACGCCGCGCGCGGTGGTTCGGCATCAGTTCTCCAAATATGTCTTCATCAACGGCTGCCACGCGCCTTCTTCTCCTCATTTCCAACCCCTCTTCCTCATCCGCTTCACGAAACCCTGAATTCTAGATTCAACAACTTCTGTCTCCCCAACGCTTGTCCTTGATTGATTTCCGTCCCTTTCTTGCGTATCGCCGCGAGCGCCTGTCGAATTGCTAGACTTGCCTTGCATTGAGCCCCCGCCACAGCCGCGACGCCCTCACACGGTCGGCCGTCCTGTCCTGCCCCTTCTTTCCCGTCCCTCCAACCAACGAGAAAGAAGGCGACTCGTCTTACATCAACTTACAAGTAAGTCTTGATGGATTCCATCATGCAAGCGCCCCACTGCATCGGGCCCGTTGTCCCTCATCGCCGGGGCCGCCTTGTCCGGGCTGTGGTATTGCCCACCGTCACAGAAAGCTGACCAGTGCCCGATTGTCAATGTAGATTGACGGCGACGCTGCCATTTGCTCAGCCCTCTATCCGTCATTCTGTGAGGTAAGCTTTATCTTATAAGTCGCGACCCGCCACGATTCTCCCTGCTCCGATTGCTGCCGGCGGGCGGATCCCATCACGAATCCACATTACACATGAGCTGTAAATGAGAGCCGCATTTTACAAAACATGGGTGCCCTTGGCTTTGCGGCTCCGTCTTCGCAACCCTTGGCGAGTGTGTTAGTTGCCGTTTCGGCGGCCAAACACGGCTTTTCGCCCGCCTCGAGTCAACGCCATCATGTCAAGGGTCGTCTCTAACAATCCGGTCTCATCCGCCATGTTTCGTCTCATATTTGGTCTTATAGCCTGCTTTCCTCCTGTCTTGTCTCCGGATCCTGGTCTTGTCTCCTTGTATCGAATCCGTCTATAGCAGTGGAAACTAACAGCCTTCAAAATGCAGGCTCCCGCCGAAGCACAGCTCCCGTCTTCTACAACGTCCGAGTCTAGCTCAACACTCGTCATGACTACCGGGCCATTGAAGCAAGCGGCCGAGTCCGCCCGATCGAGGACTTCTGAGGTTATGAAGAGCGATACCGTTGCTCGCATCTCCAAATTCATCCATACCCCGTACATGGTGGCGGCTCTCCCCTTCATCAATGGTGGACTTAGCGGCATGGTGGCCACCTCGGTCGTTCAGCCCGTCGACATGGTCAAGGTTCGCATCCAGCTGGCGGGCGAAGGAACCGCATCTGGCCCCAAGCCAAGCCCTATTGCTGTCGCTCGTCAAATTATCGCCAGTGGCAAATTTACCGACTTATACACTGGGCTCTCGGCCGGTCTTTTGCGTCAAGCAGTCTATACGACAGCTCGTCTTGGCTTTTTCGACACTTTCATGGGAAAACTTGGCGCCCGAGCCAAGACCGAAGGCCGAACTGTTGGTTTTAAAGAGCGTGCTACTGCTGGTCTAACTGCCGGCGGTCTCGCTGCCATGATTGGTAACCCGGCAGACCTTGCCCTCATTCGCATGCAGAGCGATGGCCTGAAGCCGCTTGCTGAGCGTAAAAACTACAAGTCTGTCATCGATGCTCTATCGTCCATCGCCAAGAGTGAAGGCGTCGGCGCGCTCTGGGCTGGCGCCGCCCCGACCGTCGCCCGAGCCATGGCCCTCAACTTTGGCCAGCTCGCCTTCTTCAGCGAGGCCAAGGCTCAGCTGAAGCAGAATACCGACCTTTCTCCCCGTATCCAAACTCTCGCCGCGAGCGCCACGGCAGGATTCTTTGCCTCATTCTTCAGTCTCCCGTTTGATTTTGTCAAGACGCGACTGCAGAAGCAGCAAAAAGGACCCGATGGCAAGATGCCTTACAAGGGGATGGCTGATTGCTTTACCAAGGTAGCCAAACAAGAAGGCCTCATGCGATTCTACCGTGGTTTTGGTACATATTATGTCCGCATTGCGCCCCATGCGTGAGTTCACTTACACCCAACCGCAACCGGCTGTACGTATTGCTAATTTGCTTTGCAGCATGGTGACTTTGATCGTCGCCGACTACCTTGGTTGGCTCACGAAGTAATTCTTAAACTGAACCTCGAATTCATGTCTTTATCTTCTGTTTTACTTTCTTGTGTCACAATTTCCTTGCCGGGGCTTACGGCTCCTGTTTATTTCTGTGTGGGCGTTTGCACCTGTTCGTGGCGCTTCACCAGCGCCATTTTTGCTAGTCAATTTTGCGGTTGAGCTAGACAGTTCTTGAATGATACATTCTATACTGCTAATTTTATTCTTATGTGCCGTGAACTGCAGTGATTTTGTTGTTGAAGGCATTATGAGAGAAGCGCACGTGATTTCGTGCTCAACCTTTACACGCTAATAACTACTAATGACGCATTGCGTGGAGAGCTCCAGTTTGGACTGCTCACTCTTGCGCCAGACATATTCTGGCAGGAAACCATTGTCTGCTGTCTGCACAATCCCACACTGCTCGAATATGTAGAAATGGTCGGAAGAAAGCGGCGATCAAATGCCGCTGGCGGCCCAGGAAGCAGCAACGCTGTTGGTGTCACAGGGGATATCTATGGCGAGATGCTCGCTGAAGCAGGTGTGCAGGGATCTGCCTCTCGAGATAGCATCAATGGCGAGTCTCCGATGAAGCGGCGCCGTCCTGGCAGACAAAACGCTAGTCGAGAACCGAAAAAGGGGGGCGAGGCGACCGTGACACCGACACCGACAGCGACAGCGACCGCGGAGGAACTGTCCGGCGAAGACGAAGACGTTGAGTTTCTCGATGTGCCTTTGCCACCCGCGCAGGTGCAAACTATCGAACGAGATTCGGAAAACGATAGTGACGACGACGAAGAGGACATGATATTCGAAGACGTTGATCTCGCCGCTCCTCCGGAAAAGAGTACGGCTACTGCTTCGTCAGCTGTTGAGCCAGGAGCGCAAGATCTCGAGCTCAACTTGACGTCCCAGCAGGCCGCAAACGTGTTGTTGAGACGCAACACCGAACGCCGGAAACCCATCACAAAGGAAGAGCGAGATCAGCGACTCGCCGTGCACAAGATGCACCTACTCTGCCTGCTCTCGCACGTGGCGCGGCGAAACGAGTGGTGCAACGACGCCCAAGTGCAGGACACGCTGCGGGCACACGTGAGCGACCGGACGGCCGACTACTTGACGCCGGGGCCGCACCTCCCGCAGTTTGGCCAGTCCGAGAGCCTCAAGACGGGCCTCAAGCAGGCGGCCGACGCGTGGCGCGCCAAATTTGAGGTGACGGAGCGGGGGCTGCGGCGCGCGCGCTGGGCCGAGGACGCGGCGCAGCTGGAGCAGTACCAGCTCCCCGACCACCTGGAGACGTGCACCGACCGACACGACTTTCGCCGTGCGGCGGAGACGCTGCAGGGCTCGCGCGATGTCGGTGCCCAGCTGTACTGTGCGCTGCTGCGGAGCGTGGGCGTCACGGCCAGGCTCGTGTGCTCGCTCCAGCCGTTGGCATTTGGCAACGGAGCGCCGACGCTGCCCAAGACGACACCGGGCAAGACTTTGACCAAATCGCCGGACAAGAGGCTGGGCAAGACGCAGCGGGCTGAAGAGCTCCGTTCCCAGCTCGCGCAATACAAGGAGATGGCGGTGGCGACGGCTTCGACGACGAGCCCCGCCGGGCCTTCCGCGCGACGGCGGCTTGGGCACCCACACGCTGCGAATCGCAATTTCGAACCGAAGCCGTCACCATCGCCTACGAAACCGCAGAAGAGCTTTGCGACACCGGTGCGGCTGCGCGAGTCTGCGTATCCCGTCTACTGGGTGGAAGTGCTTGACACGGGTCATCAAAAATGGCAGCCGGCGGATCCGGTAGTCACGCATACATTTTGGAGGCCGAAATCTATGGAGCCTCCAATCACGGATAAAGAAAACTGTATGAGTTATGTGGTCGCGTTTGACGAGGATGGTACGGCACGAGATGTGACAGTTCGATACGCAAAGGCGTATGCGGCCAAGACAAGACGTTTACGAGTTGACGGGACGGATGACAATGACTGGTGGCGGACGGCGATGCGACCGTTCAGACGTCGACACCGGACAAACCTGGACCAGATTGAAGATATAGAGCTGGCAGGTGTGGAAGTGCGAGAGCCCATGCCTCGCAATGTGCAAGATTTCAAAAATCACCCTGTATTTGCGCTGCAGCGACACTTGCGGCGCCATGAAGTGCTGGTGCCAACAGCGGTGCCGTCTGGTACGGTGAGCTCTGGTAACAAGGGCCCTTTGGAGAAGATTTACCGGCGGCGGGATGTTCGGGTTGCCAGGACCGCCGACAAGTGGTTCCGCATGGGGCGCGAAGTACTGCCCAACGAGATTCCTCCCAAGTGGCTGCCCAAGAGTAAGCGGACCAAGCCGAGACACGACCGGCTCGACGATGACCAGCGCGCCGAGCAGGACGCGCAGGACGCGGCCGGGGTGCCCCTCTACACGGAGGACCAGACGGCGCTCTACGAAGCCGCGCCGGTGCGGAACGGCAAGGTGCCCAAGAACAAATTTGGCAATATCGAGGTCTACGTGCCGAGCATGGTGCCGCGCGGCGGTATGCACGTCGAGCACGAGCTGGCGGCGCACGCGGCGCGGCTGCTGGGCATCGACTACGCGCCGGCGCTGACGGGGTTTGCGTTTCAGGGCCGGCAGGGCACGGCGGTGCTCCGGGGCGTGGTGGTGGCGGCCGAGTACGGCGCCGCGGTGGAGGCGGTGCTCGCCGGGCTCGAGGACGCGGAGCAGCAGCGGGAGGAGGAGGGCCGGGCTTGGGCGGCGTTGCGGCTGTGGCGGCGGCTGCTGATGGGGTTGCGGATCCGCGAGCGGATATGGAGCGGCGTGGATGAGGCGGAGAGACGAGCGGCGGAGGAGGAGACGGACCGGGTGTTAGAGGGGGAGGATGCGGACAGGGTGCTAGAAGAGGCGGATGCAGTGGAAGAGGAGGATGCGGGGGAGAGTGATGTGACGGAGGAGTACGACATGATTGTGGATGGGGACGATGCTGAGGAGTATGGTGGTGGATTTCTTGTAGACTAGGTCTGTTTGTTTTGTTCTGGATCATTGACTCATGACTTGCGAGTCTGTTTGTACTAGTGCTGGAAGCAAGGACGGGCTTGGATTGAAGATGTATCGCCGGCACTACAAGTAGTCAATGGACTTGTTGGAGGCGTTCCAGGCCCTCATCAATGACGTCCCTGGAAGGGAAGTAAGCGGCCCTTGGAGGCATGGACCGGGTATAAAGGTGGAGGAGTTTCCATTCCATTTTCGCCTCTAGTAGAACAAGGCTATCTTGGAGCATTCCGTCATTCTTGTGAGCTGATGCAATTCCATTGGTGCTCCTCAGGAAGCCTGATGCTAACACTGTGTTACTACGGAGTACTGGTTAGTAGATGATGAGATGAGATGAGGTTGCTTGCTGGTAGTGGTAATATGTATTCAGTTTTTCTGGAGACATAGTCGGAAACTTGGTGTGTCCGACCCGGGGCGGGCGCTAGCTGGGGTGCTGAGTCAATTTCCGGTGTCGTGTGTCAGATGTGTATCCGTACAGTGCACGGAGTACGTCCGTACCTATGTATGGCATTTATTGATGCTTCGTTGCCCATGCTCAAGTCTACAATTCTTTTCAATTGCTGCGTTTGGTCGAGTCTCTGACCCTTGGCCTGGTTCCGAGACAAAACGGAACAAGTCTCGGGTCGGGAATAGACGATGAAGAGACAGTGTCTATTAGTGCCTGCCAAGCACCGTGGCCCATGCAAGGCACCATTGAGGCAGATGATTGCAGAGGGCAAGAAACAGCATAACTAGCCCTTACATAATAGCCGGCCATACTAGAGACGCGTCGAGGCTGCTTCTAGGCAAGCACACACAGCACACACGTTTGAAGGCCTTGAACACGCACTAGTGAGAAACACCGTCCTTGTCTACGAGACGCACTGTTAGAGTTGATGACGATGCCGAGTCGCCGCCAAGGGGGCGCGGAGGCTGTGTTGGAATTAGAATTGCGCTGGGCGACAGACAGCACGGCCGCCAAGAGCACCGGCGGCTTGGGGATAGCGGCAGACCAATGCCGCTTCAAAACTAGCAATTCTCTGCTCCATCCAGTATCGCCAGCAGCTTCTGCAACGTGGACCGAGAGCAAAGGAAAAAAAGGCAGGCAGTTTGCGTCATCACTGTCAGCACCCAGCAGCAGCAACCACCCGCTGGGCTGAGCCGACCGCAGTTCCCACTGTAAATAGTTTCGACCGACCCCCCGCGGAGCATACTCAGCCTGGAATCATTCTCCTCGGCCGTGTCCGTGCCATCCATTCGCGCCGCTTCCATATTTTTACATTTTTACTGCTATCAATCCTTTCATTCTCTACTTCCTCTACTTACTGTACACCTTTCCTCTTCTTTCCACCATCCTCCCTCGGCGAATCCCCACCGACTTTCAACCCCACCGCGCCTGCTCGCCACTCGCCCTCCAACGGCCAACTCGTTACCCACGATACCGCGTCACCAAACAAACGCCGATTCTTTGTTTGCCAGAAACCGTGTCCAGTCTTGTTGGCTTCGAATAATCGCTCGCTCGCTTTCTTTTCTTTCCGACATTTTCTTTCTCATTCGCTCTCGTTTCCTGAACGGCTTGTTTCCGTTCGCCGCATCGTCAAACGGCCGCATTCATGTCATCCTTGTCGCATTGACTGACACCCAGCTCGACGCCCATCACACTCGACAAATTCTCGACAAGCGCCTCGGCCCGCGCGCCGCCATCTGTCGCGCGACACCGAGTAACAGTCCCGAGTCGCAGATTTTCTGACAAACGACGCCGCGCCGGTTGGCGCCGCGCTCTCACAGTCCCTTGCCCGTCATGGCTATCATTCGGCAGACATGGACGCTGGTGCGCAAGAACCTGCGCAGCCTGGTTTTCCGCCACTACGCCATCATCTTCCTCATGGCCTTTTTCGTGCCCCTCATCCTCGCCGTCTTCTTCAGCTTTGCCCGCAATCTCTTTGTGCCGCCCGCCACGTTTGGCATCGGCTCCATCCGGCCCCTCATGCCCATTGGCGAGGCGCTGCGGCACGGCCGCGACGCCGGCCGCACCAAGCTCCTCCTCGTCAACAACGGTCATGCTGGCGGCGACACTGACAAGGTCCTCGACGACGTCGCCGCCACCGTGGAAGCCGCCAATGCAGGCGTCAGCGTCGTGCGGGTGAGTACTGAGGTGGATCTCCTGACCGAGTGTCGTAGCACGCTCCGCGGCGTGACTTCGTGCTTCAACGCCATCGTCATCCGCTCATCGCCTAACGAAGGAAGTGGCGGCATTTGGAACTACACTATCCGTACAGACGCTGCCTTCTACCAAGTCCCCTTCAGAATCCAGGTCGACAAGGGCGACAATGTTGAGCAGATATACCTGATCCCTACTCAGCACATGGTCGACAAGGCCATTGCCAAGATTTCAAGTCAGCAGGACCCCCTGGCCGACGTGCAAGAAAAGACCTTTACAAGTCTCACCAGCGATGAACGTCTCGCTCGGACACGCCGACTCTATCACAAGTCCATCATCAACTTCCTGGGCGTCGCCTTCATCGCCACCATAATCTGGATCTCCTATCACTTGACCGGCTTTGTAGCCACCGAGAGAGAAACAGGCATGTCTCAGCTCATCGACGCCATGATGCCTGTCCGGAAACCCTGCTTCGCCATGTTTGCTAGACTCCTTGCCCATCACTTGTCCTTTTCTCTCCTCTACGCTCCCGCCTGGATCCTTGGCTCCCTCATTATTAGTTTTGGCGTCTACAGCCACACCAATGTGGCCATTGTTCTTATTCTTCATCTCCTTGCTGGCCTCGCTTTTGCCTCCATGTCAATCATGATTGCCTGCTGCTTCAAAAAGGCCCAGCTGAGTGGCATCACCGCGACATTGTCCATGTTGCTTCTTGGCATTCTCGCCCAGGCTCTGAACAAACCTGACACTGTAGTAGTCGCCTGCCTCTCTGTTCTATTCGCCCCATGCACCTATGTCTATGCCATTATCAACATGTCTTGGTTCGAGAGATTCGGGAACGCGGCCAGCCTGACGTCCAGCGCCCCGGAAGCTTCCTTCAAGTTGCCAGTCATCTTCTTCTGGATCATGCTCATCCTTCAAATCTTCTTGTATCCCCTTATTGGCGCCATCTTCGAACACACCTTATACGGCACATCAACCAAGGGCCGCAAAATGACAAGCGACGCTGCCTCTATGCAGGACGACGCTGTGCGGCTACGCGACTTTACCAAAATCTACAAGCCCGGTTTCTTTTCCCGCATCTCTCCGTTTGGCTCCAAGAACCCCGTGGTAGCCGTCGACAAACTGAATCTCAACGCTGGCCGAGGTCAGATCGTCTGTCTTTTGGGAGCCAACGGCTCGGGTAAGAGCACCACTTTGGATGCCATTGCTGGTCTCCATAAACTAACAAGTGGCTCCATCTCCATTGATGGTGCCGGTGGCCTGGGTATCGCGCCGCAAAAGAACGTCTTGTGGGATGATCTCAACGTCACGGAGCACTTGCGCATCTTCAATCGACTAAAGTCTCCCAAGAACCTTGCTAGCAAGGAAGAAATTGATGAGTTGATAAAGACAATTGACCTCTGGCCGAAGCGCAAGGCTCTTTCCAAAACACTCTCTGGCGGCCAAAAGCGCAAGCTTCAGCTGGGAATAATGTTGACTGGCGGAAGTGCAGTCTGCTGCGTTGACGAAGTCAGCAGCGGCATCGACCCATTGTCTCGCCGAAAATTATGGGACATTCTCCTCGCTGAGCGTGGAAAGCGCACCATGATCCTCACCACTCACTTCCTTGATGAAGCTGATCTGCTTGCTGACCACATCGCTATTCTCTCAAAAGGAACTTTGCGAGCGCAGGGCACGTCTGTCGAGCTCAAGGATAGGTTTGGCGGTGGATACCGTGTCCATGTCCACAAGACTGCTACGACGAGAGAGCTGCCGATTATGGAAGGCGTCACGAAGAAGGATGCGTTTGATCAAGTTACCTACGTCGCCCCGACGTCTGGCCTTGCTGCCGCTGTCATCAAGAAACTCGAAAGAGCGCAGATACCCGGGTACCGGTTCTCCGGCCCTACAATCGAAGACGTTTTCCTGCAAGTGGCCGAGGAAATCCAGGACGAGGAGGCTTTCCGCACCGGCAGGACGCCGACGGAAAAGCAACGCGACCCCGACAACACGTCCGAGAACACGGCTGAAAGCGAGCAGCAGTCACAGGGTTTACAGCTCATGGACGGCAAGCAGGTCGGCTATATGCGTCAGGCCTTTATCCTGTTTGCCAAGCGCGTGACTATTTTGAAACGCAGCTGGCTCATGTATGCCCTTGCTCTCGCCATTCCTATCCTTGCCGCCGGTCTTACAAGCCTCTTTGTCAGCGGCTCGACGTTGCAAGGTTGTGCCCCCAGCGACCAGGCCTCCAAGGTTGGCACCGAGGACGGATTCAGCCAGATTCTCGATTCGGATACCAGCGAAACTCTGGCCTTTCTCGCCGGACCAGCCTCCAAGGTGTCCCCGAGCAATCTCTTACGACTGTTCGAGCCCATCCTGGCTGGATCCACTAGTGGCGCGTCTGCTGGGACTAGTTTCTTGAGCAGTCTGAAGCTCGTCGACACGTTTGCTGACTACGACAACTACATCACCAACAATCCCGGCAACGTGACCATGGGCTTTTGGCTCGGTGACGACACCAGCAAGCCGAACTTTGCATGGGTCGGCAACCTCTTCATAACCAGTTCCATTCTTTCGCAGGAGCTCCTCGATGTGATGCAGACAAACACGTCCATTGCGACGACTTGGTCGGCCTTTGACAGGCCCTTCGTCCCGAACATTGGCTCCGCCCTCCAACTCGTCATCTACATGGGCCTTGCGCTCGCCGTGTACCCGGCCTTCTTCTCGCTTTACCCCAGCAGCGAGCGCCGGCGCTTCGTGCGGGCCCTGCAGTACTCCAACGGTGTTCGGCCGCTGCCCCTCTGGCTGGCGTACCTGTCCTTTGACTTCATCGTGGTCCTCATCACCTCCGCGATTGTCACGGGCATTTGGGCTGCGTTGTCGAATGTCTGGTACCATGTCGGCTACATCTTTGTCGTCTTTTTCCTGTACGGCATCTGCTCCATCATAGTCTCCTACATCATCTCGCTCTTTACCAAGTCGCAGCTGGGCGCGTTTGCTTGGTCGGCCGTGGTGCAGGGTGTCTTCATGTTGGGCTACCTCATCGCCTATGTCTGCATCCTGACCTATGTCGACGCGAACAGGCTCGACAACGTTCTGCGCGCGACTTACTTCATCATCGCACTCGTCTCCCCCATCACGTCGGCCGTGCGGTCGCTTTTCATTGCCTCCAATCTCTTCTCCATTGCCTGCGACGGCACTGTTCTCTCGTCCAACCCGCAAGGCCTTCTCTACTACGGCGGTCCTATCCTCTACCTAACCATACAATCCATAATCCTGTTCCTCGTTCTGCTCTGGTTGGACAGCGGCTCGCCCTTTTCCTGGCTAAGCCGCATCTTCTCCCGCAGCCGGCCCGCGACCGACCCCGAGATCATGGACCAGGACGTGCTCGACGAGCAGGCGCGCGTCAGCGGGCCCGGCGCGCAGGATGACGGCCTGCGTGTCGCCCACTTGATCAAGTCCTTTGGAAAGTATACTGCCGTCGACAATGTCAGCTTCGGCATCAAGCGCGGTGAGGTCTTTGCCCTCCTCGGCCCCAACGGCGCCGGCAAGTCCACTACCATCTCCGTCATCCGCGGCGACCTGAAACCTAGCCGCCATGGCGGCGACGTCTTCATTGAGGGCGTCTCCGTGACCAAGCACCTGCCCCTCGCTCGCACGCACCTCGGCGTGTGCCCACAGGTCGACGCTCTCGACCAGATGACGGTCCGCGAGCACCTCGAGTTCTACGCGCGCGTGCGCGGCATCCCCGACATCCAGCACAACGTGTCAGCCGTGCTGGTCGCCGTTGGACTCGGCGCCTTTGACGGGCGCATGGCACACGCCCTGTCCGGCGGCAACAAGCGCAAGCTGAGCCTCGGCATCGCTCTCATGGGCAACCCGGCCGTGGTGCTCCTCGATGAGCCCTCATCTGGGCTCGACGCCGCCGCCAAGCGCGTCATGTGGAAGACGCTTGCCGCCACCGCCAAGGGCCGCTCCATCCTCCTGACCACGCACTCGATGGAAGAAGCCGACGCGCTCGCCGGGCGCGCCGGCATCCTCGCCCGCCGCATGCTCGCACTCGGCACCCCCGACGAGCTGCGCCACCGCTTCGGCGATCTCGTCCACGTGCACCTCGTCGCCAGCTCGGCGCCGCGGACCACCGATGCCGAAATGGACGCCATCACGGCCTGGGTCCGCAAACACCTGCCTTTGGCCGACGTCGACGGCAGGACGTACCACGGCCAGGTGCGCTTCACGGTGCGGGCGCGCGATCTCGACATTACCACCACAGGCCGTCTCCTGCAAGAGGAGAATGATGCGGGCCACATTCCTGACCAAGAAGATGTTGCCCCATCGCCGCACGCCAGCGAGTCGGCCGTCGGCAGCCTCGTCGTGCTGCTCGAGGAGAATAGCAAGCAACTCGGCATCAGCAACTACAGCGTGGCGCCGACGGGTCTGGACCAGGTGTTCCTGTCCATTGTTGGGGAGCATAACGTGCAGGAGGAGAATTCATAACTGTAATTAAAAACATGAAAGCCCCAATGTTATTTACAATGCCATTTCTTTTTTTAGATTTTTTTTTAGAATTCGTTAGAATTGGTTAGACCTTGTTGTTTCTATTCGATACCGAACAAAGAAGGGTTCGTCCTCTTTTTGGATCGTATTAAACCAAGGTATGGTCAGGCGACTTCGCATCCTCTCTTTTCAGCCATGGTTATAGACACTTTTTTCATAGGCACCAGTATCAAATTACTGTATTTTCCAGCAAAGGAGCTTCATCACGTAGAGAGCGATGTCTGTTATTCTTCCAGAAAAAAAATTCCCTTCTCTGTTGTACATCTCTTCCGTAGAATAATCTCATTCGTGTACCAAGATCATAATTATACAAAACAAATTCAACAACCTCGAATTCTCGCATTTTTTTCAGCCTCTCTTCTGTTGCAAGCATCGGTCTATTCGCCCAGCGAATCGAAGAGAAAAAAAAACAGACAATGCATCTGTTCCTTACTTGTGTGTATAATGTATGCGTGACCCATGGATGGTTTCCGGTTCTTCAGATGCTTTGCACAAAAAAATCATTACAATAGTCACAAAAGGACCGATCGCTCCCCACCGTTTCCCCTTGAAGAAAAAAGCAAACTCCCCCAAGTTAGAAAATCCTCGAAGCCCAATCCATAAGACGCCGTCTGTCCGTCTGCTTTTCTCCCGTGTAGGCGGTATGCAGTCTGTCCCTGAAACCTCCCTCTCTATTTTCCGTTTGCCTTTAGTTAAAAAAAAACGTCCAAAATGATATTCATCAACCGCGTCATGAATCGCTCTGTGCTTCAGCCAGTGACCGGCTAGAGAACCAGCCGCCTGCCTCCCACTGCCCTGGCACATATACACTCGAGTCTCGAGCCTCGTCGTCATGGATGCCTCTCATCAACACACTTAGACGCTTGAAGTCTATCGGCTTCAAAATCCAGGCGTCGAAGCCAGCATCAACATACTTCTGCCGTTCCTTTTCGACCAAGGATGCAGAAACCGCAATGATCGGCACCCTTCCATTGTGCTTGGCCATGTCTGAATGACCATCTTGCCTGGATTCCGCTTCCATGGATCGTATCATCTTCGTGCTGGTCAATCCATCCACAATGGGCATCTGGCAGAATTAGTATATGCTTGCGGCGTCTCTAGCGGGAAAGCTTACCTGCATATCCATGAGAATCACGTCCACCCCTGAACCGTTGGACTCGAACAGAGCAGCACAGTCCTCGCCATTGACAGCGTGAGTCACAGTGTGACCAACACGCTCGAGACGTTTTCTCATAATCTTCAAGTTGATGGGGTCGTCTTCCGCTATCAGAGTCCTCAGGGGACTTTCTTGCGCGATACTGTCGTTTCGTGGACGTACAACTGAACTCCCGATTTGAACAATTTTCTCGGCAGGTCGCGCTGGGCTTGCGAGTTGTGACATAGCTCCTTCGTCGGGGATTTTCACTGCCTTTATGGGTGTCTTGGAGTCTTTGACCGGTACTGTACCCAATTCAGGACGTGACGGCGATGCCAAGATCCCCTGATTAAACTTCTCCGAGGATGCGCGGTCGGTAGATGCGCTCGTGGTGCTCTTCGAGTGCCGCTTCGGGTTGAAATAGTCGTGTTCCTTGCTGCCTCCAACCAGTGGTGTTTGTATAGCGTCAATAAGACGATCCGCATCGCTCTTTCCGCTCTCATAACTTTCACGGCTAACTTGACTCCCGCTCCGGCGACTATTACTACCAGTACTTGTGTCTCTCAATGTAGGGACCTTGGAGTCTGACCCTCTCTGCACAAGGGTTATCTCGCCTTCTGGTCGCGTCGCTTCGCTCTGCGGGGCTCGTCTGACAGCGGGTACTGCTTGTCCGTTTGGCTTGAATGGGTCGAGCTCACTGTCGGGCAGTTGAAAAGGCAGCTGGATAATGAAACGAGAGCCCTTGCCAACTTCAGACGTCAACCTGAGTTGTCCATTCATATTTCGCACAATTCTACCAACAACAGCCAAGCCAAGACCAAGGGTTTGTGAGGAGCTAGGGCCCTCCGTAGGAGATTCGCTTGAATTGGACATTGTTGCGCTGACTTGTTCCAAGTCCCGGAAGAGAGCATCCAATTGACGAGACGTCATTCCTGAGCCCGTGTCCGTCACTTCAAATTCGATAGTTGCTTGCTTCTCTTCCAGTTCTGTAATTTGAATGCTGATTTTGACGGAACCTTTTTCGGTATGCTTGACTGCGTTTGCAGTGACATTTGAAAGGGCCTGTCTCACCCGACGTGTATCCCCATGGACAAACCTTGGCAGTCCATCGTGTCGAAAAACTTCATAGGCCAGACCCTTTCTATCAGCATCAATCTTGAATGGATCTGTTGCTTCTTCTATGCAGATCCCGAGATCAAAAACCTCATCTTTGATGAGGTTTTGGCCTTCTTCTGCTTTTGTGAGATCAAGAAGATCGTTGATAACGTAGATGAGAGACTTGGATGCCGAGTGCGATCGTACGAGATTGTCTCTGGTTTCGCTATCGAGACTCCCTTCTAATGCGATTTCGAGATAGTTGATAATGGCATTCAAAGGTGTCCGGACCTCATGTGCGGAATTGGCCAACAAAATCCGCGTAAGCTTTGTGTTTTGTATCGCAGCCTCCTTTTGCCTCCAGATTTCGATGAACTTGCCATAAACCAGGCAGAGAACAGAGGCTGTCTCAACATGTTCCTCGTCCCATTCACGGCATTTGCCGACAACAGTTTCGTTCCAAACTTTGAAGCTGGCTCTGGGTTCGAGATACGCAGCAGTTCCTTGTCGAAAATTCTTTTCATAGGGATTTCCGGCCCATTGGACCTCTTTGACTTGGCCTTTGCGAAAGAAGACAATAAAGTCATTGCCGCCGACACTGAGGGGTACATATAAAAACCCGGCAATGGAATGAAACCCGGGGGGGTATCGCAGGTCGGGGAAATCGAGTCTGACATCTTGTGACGCCAAAACAGAAGTAAGTCTCCGCATACGCAGGTATTCAAGCAACGCCAATGCTTCTTGGCTGTGCTCCATGACACCCATTACTTTAGTCTCGTCCTTGATCGAAAGAAGACCACAGTCAGCATCGAACAGTTTCAGCAGATCATCAGAGGATGCCACAATATAGCCGGATGGGTTCTTATCGGTTGGTGACGTATTTATGAGCTTCCGAGCCTGGAGACGGGAAGCATAGGAAAGCCGTTCAACGTTCCTGGATGCTGTCTCCCCGATCAGTCGACATAGTTTACGAACAGGAAATGATACTCTCATGCCGCGCTCGCCATACGAGTGGCAGGCTATCAGGCCCCAGAGTTCGTTGAATGCGTTGATTGAAATAGACATGGAAGATCGAACCTCCATGTTTCCGAGATACTTGACGTGGATGGGGGACATGGCCCGAAGGTAGGCGTGCGTCATGTCTAAAGGAACGTCCAAGTCTTGTTGAGAGCGACAGACAATTCGAGCCGTGGTCTGATCCCGATCATATATCAGTCGTACTTTGTTCACTTTGTACAGCTCACGGGCTTGGCGAGGGATATCCGAGGCAGGGAAGTGCAGTCCTTTGTAAAGGTCAAGTGTGTGTGAGGTATCAACTACCTCTGTAACGACCTTGCCGTTGAAAGTTGAGTCAAACTGGTAAATCATGATGCGATGAAAGCCTGTGAGTTCTTTGACAATGCCGATGAGGATCTTGAGAAACAAGTCAAGACTGGTAGCAGATGCCAGCTGTTCCTGTACCTGAGACAAAATGTCAAAGACTTGCATAGCTCCTTGCTCCCCACGTCGTTTGCGTGCACTTCGAAGAATTCGTAGAGGCTTGCTGATAATTTCTGTGCTTTCTTGAAGTGCTCGCTCAGAGGGGTTGCTGTCGAGTGTGTCGGCTGGGATATCGGGCGTAAGCTCGTTCGGCGGCCGCAAAGGATTCTCGATGTCATCATCCAATTCAAATTCACAAATGATGAGGTCAGGATGAGCGGCATTGATATGAATGGCACACCAGAGCTTAACCGCTCTGCCAAGTTTCGGGTGGCGGATAGAAATGCTGAGAATTTCAGGTCCATTCGTGGCGGGATCCGCGTCCTCGTCCTTGATGAAGTCGATATGGTCGAGGAGGTTGTCTTGTTGGTCGTCGGTCATGATGTCGAGAAAGTTGGATAGGCGAAATAGCGACCTGGGAGAGTAGCCAAGAAAACGTTTCGAGTTTTCGCTAACATAGCGCACGAGAAAATTGCCGTCAGTTTCTTCTTGCATAGCTAGCAAACAGCCAAAGGCCTGGACGGCCCCGGGCGTATGGATGGGTTCGTCTTCGCACTGCTGCAGCACGCCGTCTCGTCCTGTAATAATGGAGTGTCCCTCTTCCGTGTCGATATGGTTAAAGCGGGTGGTGACCAAGGGAATGTCAATGGAGGATTGTGCTTCGGATAGTTGTGATGAGAAGTCCAGGTCACCCTGAATACCAGATCGACCAAGGGCTCCCGATTCAGCGTCGGTACCGGGTTCGGATGCTGTTATGTCGAGCTCTATGGGTGCCGTAAAAACATCAATGCGAGGGCCATCGGTCGCCCCGCGGTTGAGCTCGACGGAGGCTCTAGAGCGACCACGCCCAACGGGCGACATGGGAGAGGGAGGCACAGAGCCGGGACGAGTATCTAGGGTACCGCCTCCGGATCGAGTCGATCTGGCGACCGGGGTCCCAGCTGAACCAGTGTATGAGGCGCGGGAAGCATGTTCATCGGCTTCTGACCTGCAGCTGGGCTTGTCGACACTGACAACAGACCGGATCGGGAAGACGAGATCGCTGACTTCAGTAGCTGCCGAGGGAAGGCCAATCTGAGAGTCCGAGGTGGCGTTGGGAGATGGTGCCGACTCACGGCCAGGGTCCGGAAAGGCATGCGAAGCATCTTGACTGAGCGAGAGGGGCTCGGACGGGTGATGCGCGAGATGGCGAGCCGCATCCTCGGGTTGGCGCTCGTCGGGTCGATCTGCCTGCGAACTGCTCATCCTGAGAAGAAGAAGCTGTCTCGGCGCAACAACGCTACAGCAAGAAGTGGCGAGGAGACAAGTTGCGGTATCGAGCAAGAGCGTAAAGGCAAAAAAAATAGTAATCAAACGTTAATATTAGTAGTCAAAGGCGTAGGTAGGCGCAGGTGGGGGTGGAAAGCGAGCGTGGTGCTAGTCGTCGTATGGCGGCGGGGGAGACGTTCAGCGAGGCCGCATGCCGCCCCAGCTAGTTCGAAAAAACGGCCAAGTCGAAATGGTTTTGACGCGTGCTACGAAGCGGCATGGAACGGGATATATGAGGAAGACAAGGAGGGAAGACGGGGGGCGGACAAGCGACGAGACGAGATAGGCCGTTTGGGCCTTGATGGCAGATGGAGTTGCTGCAAATAATGTGAGCCACAGTGCCACAGTGCAGCCACAAGCAAGTGCCTGGGCCTGAAGCTTTGAAGGTTGGGGGGGGGTGGCGCCGCCTCAGCGGCCCTGCACTATTATTATCGCTATTATTCATAACTTGGCGTTTTCACCACCATCTATACTTCTGCAGCTTCCATGACTATTACATGACACTCTTGTATTGCGTCTAATAATTGTACACTTGAGCCCGTTAATTAATCCAATAATCCGCGCCCGTCGGCAACTTCTCCCTGGGCACATTTCGCTTGCCAGCTCCCCGAGGCCTTTCTCCACAATGCTCCGGTGCAGATGCTCCGGCATTCTCGATCGCCTCCAACCCACCTTGACCGACGTATATGTACCTAGGTACCTATGTACCTCCACCATCTCGCCACTCAGTATTGCGGTAGCAGGCTTTCTCTCTCTCACGGCCAGCATCACTTCGACCCATCGCTCGACGGTCGTTCCAATTCTCAAAGGTTGTTCTGCGCCACCGTGCCGCTGCTAGGTTGACGATGATCCCTGTCAATATATAGAACAATGCAAAAACGCCACCACGTCATCATTCAATACCACGACCAACCTCGAGCCACGGGCCGGATTCCGCGTCGTCTACTGCAACTGCAACTGCAACCCAACACCGGCATTTCAATTCGAGGCGCAACGGCAGCGCTCTTAAAACCAGGGTTCCGTCCATCTCGAATATGTATCCGAGGGCGGCGAAACCTCGCATAATGATACGTACCCTAAATACACGTAATTCATATTTTATTCCGATTGCGCAATAAGGGACTCGGCTGCTTGCGTGGTCCATATCGTTACCCGTGCCATCATTCGCTTCGGTCATTGTAGTTAGAAAGAAACTATCTTTGCAACTCCCAGCGAAAGCCCTGGTAACTCATTGTGAGACATGCATGCGCCTCATACACATGGTGGCGCAACGGTGGACAGCGCCCTCTGCAAAACATAACCCCCAGTACTATTCCAGAAGGCGCGGCTATTCTAGTCAGAAATATGCCCTATTGTCCCTATTGTGTAGTATATCCTACAATCGCACAACACGAAATGTGTACGGGCTGTTTGGACCGCATCACCTCTCCACCGTTTGTTCTTCTTTTGCTGCTTTCCTGGGATTTCTTCGCGCGCAGGAATATGAGAGAGCATGCCGTGGCCAGCTTGCAATATGTGATAGACGCTCATTCGTACTGACCCCAGGGTGCTTCTTCCTAGACTCCTTTAAATGGCCTCTCCAGTCAACAGTGTAAATGTCTCGGCGGGCCTTTGGGCACGGGCTCGATCGACGCCTTTGCGCTATACCAGCATGACCATTCTTCACCAGATTGGAAAGAAAGAAAAGCTGCATTGCAGAATGGCTTCACAGCTACCACAATCCCGGTTCTATTCTTGCTTCTGAGACCTCCATTCGAACATGATAGCACTGTGCAATTGGCCTCCAGGCACGATGTTCCAACAGGAAGCATCAGAAACTCGTCTCTCAGACACAACTACAACAAACTACCTAGAAATTAAAGTCCGCATATCATTATTCCTTCAATTCAGATAGTACTGCATTGGGAGTCTATCGGGAATAGCGTTTATCCCGGGCTGAGTGGTCTCCGGCAGTACTAGTCTGCCAAAGTTCCAAAACGCAGGATACATGCCAGGCTATCCAAAGACATTGTAGGTGAATTATGGATAATCACTCGGAGCTCCCCATAAGAGGAGTAGTAACGCTGTCTGCCTTCTTGAGAGAACCCCGATCTCTCAGTGCCCCCGAAACTCAGGCAAGGTGGCGATGCGGATGGCGCTCTGTGCACCAGCGCAGGTTGCGCCGCAAAATGAAGTTGACAACCCCGACATTTGACTTGAATGACCGACATACTCAGAATGTATCATAGTGCATGCCAAGAAAGCTAGGCAGACATCCGTCGATATCAGCTACCAGGGTGACAGTGTTGGTTCTGACATGGGCATTCCAGGCAACCTGGGGTTAAATGCAAACAAGGATATTGGATTCAGAGCAATTGAATTCCCAGCTGTTTTTAAGGAGAAGAAGGAAACAATCCACAGGACGACTTTGGCAGGGCAATACCGTCAACACAATCACTGGGATCGTTCACATCAAGAGCAATTCACTCCCCAATCCACTTGTCATGAAGGAATCGGTAGGCGTGTGCGCCCGAAGCAGCGTCTCTCTTGCTCAGATATACATAGCTTGCGGCATACCTTTCTTGAGATGTCGTCGATCTGAAAAGGTGATAAGTGAGAGTGCATTTGTTGCTGTGTTGTAATTTGGTTCGACAACCTTTGTCGCAACAAGCGTCGCGGCTTCACTTCCGGGAGTTGGGCTCCCTCCAGTATCAGAAGCTACCTAAACTTGTGCGTACAGATATATTCTGCCGCGTGGAGAGTCAATAACCCTGGATACGATGGCGAACAGCGGGATCTCCAGTTCCATCTAGCCCGATGCCTTGACAAAGGCGCAAGGAGGAAACCTCGAGCACCGTTTTGACCTGCCCCGGGGGCAGGCCGTAGCCTCTCCCCCAGATGAGTGGCAGTCAAGTAACAAGCCAGGTCGAGCTGCATCGCCTACGGTTTCTACATGATCACTACCAACTTTGCCAATCTGTCTCTCCGTGGAGTCAGCTTTGTTCGACGTTGAAACGTGCGACGACGGTGTGATGGTGTGGAAATATGTTGCGTAACGAACCTTGGTCAAGTTTATTGACGCTGAATGCCGTCGATGAAACTTCTCTGGAAGCTCTCCAACGGCGACACCAGTGTCATCATCAATCTCGGCTGGCCTTGACAAAGCCTTTGGTCGCAAATCGTGCGCCCTTGTGCTACGTCGGCTTGGCATTCCCACCAAGGCGCAGTTTTATCAAGATTCCGATTAGTGCCATCGTTCTCGCGTAGTACATAGCATGGGAAATCTGGCTGGCTCCTTGACCGGTGGCCTGTAGAAGGTTTTGTTGGTCATGTGCGACGAAAGAGACATGTCGTCACCACGCTGCCTGGCCTTTGGACACTCTGACGGGAAGATGTAGGCGATGGCTGTACTGTTCAGTTTCGAGATCAATTTGATCAAGTATCATCATCATCTTTCCGATGCTGCTAATGATACCCTTTTGTCCTGGTCCTCGCGAGAGGCGGTTCGACGACGCAGCCAAAAGACACACTTTGAGATGCAAAAAAAGCTGACTGGCAAGTGTTCTGCAAGTAGATATACGCCAGCGCGACAACACGGTGCAAGCACATGTTGCATTATACAGAGACCAGGAACGTATCCTACGGGTTCCAAGTGCCCTGGTCGCTCTGTTGTGATGCAGCCCATCGTACAGTCTATTCACACAAAAGCAGCGAGACGGACACCGTCATGTAACTACAACCAATATTCAACTCATCGCAGGCGTTGAAGCCATCTCCAGTCGAAATTTATCAGCAGCGAGTCAAAAGAGTATTCTTCTACGCCAGAGCGAAAACATCCAAGCCAATGGGGGAACTGGCAGAGAATGTCGATACCGCACCGAAACACGAGGGCCTCGATGCGGAAGCTGGCGAACAAAATCATCACACATGTCACGTTTTGCATTCTTCTACGGTCACACACACCTAGACAAAGATATGCACATTCTCCTTGCTTGCCTGCACACATCCTAGTCCAGAGGAGCCGTACGTTTTTTTTTTGTTTTTGCCTTCTCACGGGGGCCGGAGCCACGGCGTTCCCCAAGTCAAGCCACTCCCCCAATTGCGCCATCGAACGTTGTATAGGACGGCAAATAAAAGGTTGGCGACGAGAAAAACTTGCAGAGGAGGTTCCTTAGCAAATCAAGGCTAAAAAAACACACATTTTGTACGCGAGCCGATGGGCGCTGCGTTCATGCCAGGTCGATCGCTCGGGCCGAGTACAACGCCGTCGAGGTGGCGCGGTGAGGCCGAACAACAGACGAGCCCAGCAGATTCTGCATTCACACCAGAACGGCATCTGGGCCCCAGCCCCAAAGCCAGCCGTGCGTAGTTAGTTTGGAAAAAATACCTTGGAATAGAAACGTGTGGTGGTGGTGGTGGTAGTGGTGTGGCAGACATTTCCGACAGCGGAGGAGACTTGGAAAAGTTTTTCATGGCTTGATAGATAACGATAAGGCAAGGTCATTTGTTACTACTGGTAACGTGTAAGAGGGTGGGGGCGCTTGAAGATGGGCTAATAGGTAATATGGGGAGAGTGGACAAGTACAATGGCGACGAAGAGGTGCAAACAATCAACAAAGAAACGCTGAATAGTCAGAAATGCGCCGTCCGATCCGCCAAAATTTTCAGCGACACATGTCTACATTATTCCCTACGAGTACATTCGCAAGGCCATCTCAATCCGTTCTGCTCTTACACCCGACATGGATGCCTTTCGATGGGCCCCTCCTTGGCAAACATACCTACGTACGACCTAGTAATATGCTGGACGAACGATGGAAGACGGAGTAACCTCTTGGGGAAAGAACCATTCTTTCATCCTACTATCCAGTAATCGTATTATGACAGAATCAAGCGGCACTCTCAGCCTTCCACCCTGTGCAGCACGAGCGCAGCCCGCCAACCACCCAAATACTGGCATCTCCGGGGTGGTCCCCAAGGGGTTCTGAAACGCCATCTGTCGGGTTGAAAAAGACGGGCCGAAGCTAGTACCGACATGGCGATACCAAAGGCAGGCGGCAAAAGGCTGCTGGGAGCCAAGCAAGCGACGAGCAACGAGCGGCGCGCGCCAGGCCGGGCCAGACCAGAATTCAGTTTGACACAGCTCGCGCCACCATATCCACACAACAGTCCGGCTTGCTTCAAATTTTCTGATGCTCACTTACAGCAGCGATGCTGTAAAACGTTAGTCCAGCGCCTGGGCCAGATGCTAGCTATTAGTTGGCTCCTCCAGGCGAAGAAACGCCCTGAGGACGGGCCGGTTTGTATTCATCCTTCATGAGACGCCAATCACGGCTCTCACATAATGCGCCGGGTCTAAAATCAGCAACCTGTCCCAACAAATGACAAGGTTGTCGTTTTGGCTGCAAGTTTGCTGTTCCAACTTGTGAACCAGCAAGGATTTGTTGGTACCGTGCTTGTTCCTGAATGAGTATCCGTAGTTACATAGCGACCCTGGCACCACAAGTCCCTGCACTGCAGAAACCTCCTGTCGCGTGGTGCTGCATATCGGCATCGGGGGATCCCTGCTACAAGAGCTCGGGGTCCTGAACGCCGCCCACGAACGTGTGAACGTGTCTGGTATTCTCATTCCGAACGTCGTTTCAATCGTCTTCACAGTTGATACTGGTTCGACGTTTCATAAATAGTGGCCGCCACACAAGGTGGAGTTTGCGCCAGCTTCGAAAGACGCCCATTGTCAGTAGGTAGTATTCCAATCGTCAACTTTATGACTGCCGCAACGATACCCATCGTTCGCGCGTCAGCACTTTGTCGACATTCTAGAATGCTAGGTGGAACAGCCTGCTTCGAATATGGGACTGGGCCTTGTATCAGAGCCAGCCGATGGCCCAGTTATGCGACGGTTCGACAGTGTCCGATCCATTTTCGACCAAGCGGCTGAGACATGAGAACAGTTGTGATAAATTGCAATGCGCCCCGCAGCCACTCAATGACAGCTGTTGATGCGACCGACATGGAAAGGCTCTTTTGGGCGCTTCAGACTGATCAAGTAGTTAAACCTTTTTTCTTTCGGCCTGCCCGGAAAAGGTCACGTAAAAGAAAGGATCAGCACACCGTACAATGAGGCGCTCTTTTCCAAACGGCGCCGTTCATTCTCATGAATCGTAGACAAGGCTTTTTTGGTCAAAAAGGCTGAAGTACAGTTGAAGGGGTGCTGTATGGAGTACGGGGTCCCTTCAATGCCTTTGCACTGATCCTGGAGAAACGATCCGGGGTGTGCCTTGGTCGCCGCCGAGTAACGCCATGCGCATAAGCTCCAGGAGGATATCTGACGTCCTGCGTACAAGAACGAACTAGCTTTGCAATGTGGCTGCAGTTTCCGCAATGACCCGAGCAGCAGCGATTCGACACATGCTTCAACCTCGTGTGGCACGGGGTAGCTGGTGAATGGGCGGCTGGACAAGGGAAAAGAATGCCTTCTGGAACCGAGCTTACTGTTAGCTGCCCAAGATGGGCCGGCTGACGGGAAAACACATGACAAAAATACTTGCAGCGACGCGTCCAGTTGCTGGTTTGAGAGAGCCTCCCTGACTATCCCGTGTATGGACAGAATACTTCATTAATGCCACACGCTAGCGCCTCTGCCGCCCTAGCCTCGGGCCGGCATGATCGGTTAGGTTAGCTGGCTTTGATTTGTCTGCATCAGAACGGGTAGTAGCGACCGTGGTTTTCTTTTGCTTGTGAGCCAAGACAGACTGCTCATTTAGCGACTTGTTCTCACTGGGCCAGAGTTGGATGTGCCGCCCGCTGTGTTTGGGGATTTGCAATTCTTCAGCCCAGCCCAGCCCAGGTTCATGCCGTCCCGTCCAAAGCGCACACGACAGACAAGCATTAGTTAGTAAGGTCGCGGCCAGTCCGCACAACAGAAGTCGCCTTTGAAACATCTCCCACGTTTTTTCTTTCCATTCATTCCGAAAAGTCAAAGGCCCGAAACCCCTAGGCGGGGGCGCCGTCTGGCATCGGAAACGTCACCAGGAAACGGGCCTCGCCTCAGCGTGAACATGGGTTCCATGCACGCTCGACCAGGTGCTTGTTCGGGTGCAGCGCAGCACGCTTTGTAAAGGTTATAATACGCTTATGAAGGAGGCCTCGTTGATGACTACCTGTAAGGTCAGGGCACATGCATGTCAGCAATCGAGGGGTCTGCTCACTAGTTAGGTATGCCATCTCAAACCCGTAACGTAGAGCTGCAATAAGACACATCAAAGCTGCAGCCAAGCTCGTGGTGCTGTCAGCATCGCAGTTCCGAATCGTCCGCAGGGTCCATGAAAAGCGCTTTTGCATCCTGCGATTCGCGTATGGGACACATAACTAATCCTGCCATGGCTCTTCTTTTCACGTCCAGTCTCCGACAAGGAGGGTGGCAGGCGAAGATCATACACGTCCAGCCCTAGGTCTGAACGATGCCATCCATATTGCCAAGACCATCCATCGATGCGTGTCCGTCCCAACTGCCCAAAGGGCTTCTTGACAAAGTAACTACCTGCCAGGGTCTCCATGTTTTATCCCGGGATGTCTTATTACTCATGACTCTTGCCATGACAGAACGATGAGCTGGCTAATACTATACCCGGCCTTCTCCAAAGTGAGAGTTTCTTTTGTGACTCCTTTTCAGCACCCAGCATCAGTGGCCAAAAATTCATTCAGCGCCATGTCCTCAACACTGCACTGAGCTAGTGGTGGCAGACGAGAATCAAACCAGTCCTGCTTGTGCTTGCTGAGCTGGATGGATGAGTTTTGGGGGAAGGCTTACCTGTTCTGCGCAGTGAAGAAAGCCACACTGGGCTACGCTAGCCAGGGTTCCCGGTGTCGCCTCCCTGTATATCGACAGTTATAGTCGATCCTGCAGTGACACAAGGACTCAGTTTGCACACTTGTCTCGGACGCACGCTTGGCGCGCAGTGAGATTCGTGGCAGTTTCCTTCGTCTTCAGACCAGAAAAATGCTAACGGAGAAACAACGGCTTGCCCGGTGCAGACGTCGGCTCAACCCGTGACATTATTCCGAGGTATGCCAGTACTAAAGGGGATTTCATTTCACAGTACGGAGTACTTGGCAGCCCCTTTCAAAAGGAAATTGACGATGACGGCCTTGGCGCATAAATGCAGTTTCACAGGGTCCTATTGCGCGGGGAGTGTCCAGTCAGCCAGCGCCGGACTGATGGAGGTGACAGAATCCTGGCTACGAGTCGCATACCCAAAAGCCACCAGATGAAAGATGCGCACGTCTGCAGAGCCACCAGAGACTTCTCTCTCCGGGGCCATTGTAACATCGGCGCTGTGGTGCCATGAACAGTCTTGTGTCATGCTGGTATAGTTATTCATCCCCTGTTTGGTTTGAGAACGGGCAACGTTGAACTACTGTGGATATTGGTATTTTCCGTCTCTGCAACATCAATGGGCATGTAACTGTGGTCAGTGGAGCATTGTCTGGGTACGAACCGAAACTGGGCCGTACCTATTAATTACAGAGAAGACTCGCTGTCTAGTCAGTTGGGCTTAGCAAAGATGGCGAGAAACTGTTGTCTGTATTTTACTTCTCTGACTGCTTTGCCGCCATCGGCGTATGGCGCCGGGCTGGTTCCGAATAGCGACTTTCTACTTGCTAGTATGGCAGTACCCATCACTAGCGATGCTCGTGAGTCGTGGATGGCGGGGGAGATGGCCGAGTTCTGGTTTGGAGGAGTACGTAGGAAGTCGCACGCGGCGGTTGGCGACGAGGGCGAAAGGCGGCGGACCTCACTGGCCGGCCACCGCCGCCAAGAGGGATTGCGTGCTCGGTGGGTGGCTCACAACGATGGTCGAATTGCAAGATTCGGGTTGCAGGGCAGGCGGAGGCCAGAGTCTCGTGAACCAGGGATGATCGGGGTAGAACCTTTCAGAGGAGATTGGTAGCGAAACACAGACTCGGGAGGAGCAAAGAAATCATACACGTCGCCTGCATCTGTCTGTCGAGCTGCATGATTCAGTGTTGTACGGCATGTGGTGCCGCCGCCGCCGCCGTCATGCTGTGCGATATAATATACAGAGAGGCCAACCAGAGAAGGCTGGCGCTTCTACCAGGGCAAAGCCGATAGCCTGGCGGGGTGTGAGGCGCTCTCGTGCGTGGCCAGCCACCAATCCTATGCATCTTTTCGCTACGCGCCCAAGATGCAGCAATGACGTAGGTAGTATAGCAAGGTGAGGACTCCAGCCATGGGCGTCTTCTGCCGTGGCCCTTGAGTAATGCCTCCAGGTGCGAAACAGCGTCAACAATGGAAGACAGACTCCAGCCGTCTAGCAATTATCCAAGTTGCAACGAGCCACGTTACGGACTGTTGGGGCTTTTGTTGGGGTGGCAGGCGATTGCGGTGACAACAGGACAACAATCGGCACCAAGTCGAAAAGCATAGATCGAAACAGAAAAGCGTAGTCAGATTTCGAGGCAGGACTTACTCAGATCAAAAGAAGAGTTGGTCATAGTTAATCAATATCCCTCTCATGATATAGTTTACTTTTTTTTAGCCTTATTTTCAGAGGCTGCACAGACGGACTGGCAGTTGAGTTGTCTGTTGCGCGGGAATGCATTGTAAGTGGGCGGTCGGATCGAGGAAATGCGGTGCGCAACAGGTGAATCGAGGGGAGGACGAAGGAGCCTGGTCCTTGTTGTAACACTCGGCCGGACAGCCAAATCGCCAGCAGAAGAGTCAGCCAAGCCCGAAACGTCAAAGCAATTAAAGCATCCGCTTCACGAGTAAGTTCACGATGGCGGCTGGGGAAGCGAGAGGGCAACGTGATGGGAATGGAGCTGCAGGGAAAAAAGGTTTGGCAATTGCGGAGTCGGGAATTTCGCGAATTAAGCATCTTGGCTTCTCCCCATGGAAAGGGCGCCCAGCAGGGATTGAATCAAGAGACACGAGCAAACAGTATCCGTCCCGCCAAAAGACAACGGCGAGGGCGACACAAGGCCGCCAGGACGGGGGCTCTTTTCGTTTCTCTTTCTTGTTAGCACTTTGATGAGAGTGTACATACAATACGTCTAGTTAGCAAGGTGACGAATTCAAGAGCCAACAGCATCCACTCACACCAGAACGAGAGCCACTCAACCATTCCATGGTCGTTTTGGCCCTTTCAGAACAGTACAGGCGGTTTGCTGTTAGTGGGTATCGCCGATGGATGGTGGTGTTTCTGGTTAGCGAGCAAGCCCATGTCGCAGAAAAAAAAGAGACACCTCCAAGCATCATGCATCCAGCCACCGAGCCAAGCTAGGAGAGCTCTCCACCAGGCCATTTCACAGAGCCCCAGGTTACTGGACCCCTGTCCCTCACTTCCATTGAGCAAAGCCTCTCCACTGCTTGCACGATGAGTTCAAGTGCTGTGCCTGCCTTGTTAGCGCTAGGGGCGTGGATGTGACCTTGCTGGGCGGGTGGCCAGGGTGAAGAAGGGTAGCAGCGGGCATGAGTTGAAGAGACGCAAATCGAGTACTATTTTTATTCATCATGCATTGACTGGTCACTATTCGCAACTGCCAAATGTATGGCGCTGGGGGGACAAGACCCTGGCTTGGAGCATGTGTGTGTGTCTTGTGCGTATGTCTGCCAGAGATGCAGTCAGTCCACTGCTGGGCTCCGTCGGAGCGGTAGGGAAAGAAGCAGCCTGCAGCATGTAACGGAGACAGGCTGGAAATAGATTCACAAACACGTTTGGGTTCTTTGCTGCGACGTATGGCATGCAGACCATCATGACGGGTGTTTTTGCTGTCTTCTTTCGGATGCCGACTGCTTGCCACCAAGTATTCCAAGCGTTGCCCTTCTCTTCGAGTTTCCGTTTACGGGCGGGCTGATTATTAGCCGTGGCTTTTGGAACCAGTAGGTTTTACAATTCGCAATGACAGTGCCATGGAAGAGGAGCCGGAGAGCGCCCGTATTAAGCCAGTCGAGAGCTGCACGTTGACGACATTGGCGGGCCGGATTTTTTGGGCCACCAGGACGGGACGAGGACGCCAGTGGTTGGGTGTGATGGCCATGCTGCTTTCTTGGGTGCAGAAAACATGGCCCAACTTGACAAGACTTGTGTTCTCTTTGGAGTAGTACGTGGTCAAGCGGTTGTACCAGGCCGGAGTAGAGGAAGGCTGCTAATAAATCGAGAACACAACTCGCATGAGCTGCTGCTGGCCGGGTCCCTAAAAGTACCAGTCTGTGGCTCTGCAGGACAGGAAGAAGGCCGAGCCAGGCCGCTCTCGCCCATCGTACCGCCCGCTACCGAGCGATGTTCCGATCCGGCGTCGGGCGCTTTCGCCATCGAGGGGCGCCGGCAATTGGTGGTGGGCAGGCGAAGTAGGCGGGCGGCGAGACTAGTTAGTTAGGGAAAAAGGTTGAAGTGACTGCAAAGACGTGGGCGGCGCCGCAGCGCTGATGAGGATAGCCCGGATAACTAGGTGCTGCTTGAAGCCGTCATAGAACCCGGTTCAAAGGATAATCTAATTGTCGTCGTCAAGATTACAACACTCGAAGCTGTTGTGCTCAAATACCATGGACCCTGAGGGCCATTTCGGTTTGTACGTTGCCGACAGACTCGCAGGAAGGTGCACCAGCATGACATCCACGGAGCCGCTCAGTCGTCGCGACGACGAGTTCAGCCACGGATGCAAATTTGTTTTTCTTGGGCCATACTGTGTAAGCTGAGGCTGAACACTGGCAAGTTCGGTTGCAGGGGTTCTCTGAAGTTCGAGTTGGCGCTAGTGCCATTGCAGAAGCACCGCACGATGGCTTGCATCGTGCAAGAGTTTGTAAAAGTGTGAGGCAGTGGGGGAAAGCGGTACAGGCCTCAACGTTGCAGGCCTGAGGCAGACGTCAGGCACTCGACTAGAATCGTACCGTCCAGTAGAAAGGCTCCACCGGGGGCTTGCGCTGGAAAGTGGCCCACCGTAGCCCTCTCTCGTGAAGGCTGGCAATTGGGTGCTTTTTTTTTTCATCGTGGATGAGGCGGAGCTGAGAGGGGTTGAGTGGTGTACATAGTTACTTGAACTCGGGGCAGCAGGGCAAAAAACCATTGAAAAAAATACGAAATGTAGTTTGTCCAGAATATGGGGAAAGCAAGAGTGCTTTGCTGTTTAAAGACCCCCGGACATCTGCGCTCTGGACTGACTAGCTTCTACAAGGAACGTAGAGGTAGGTACCTGCCGCAGCTCGTGTCGAACCCATGGAGAGGGCCATCCCACATCCCACATCATAAGCATCATCAGGAGCAATATCATATTTACCTTGTGAAATTTGTTCTGGTTAGTTTAGTGAACCTGCTGGACCTGGACGGCGCTGTTCCCCATTTTCTCGTCCCTGTCAGCCCCTCCACCTCCCACTGGGGCTTGGGGGATACTCACGAGGGAGACCAAACCCACTAACACGCCCACTGATACGTTCACCCGCTGCAAGCCCGTAACTGCCCTGTCCAGGCCAGCACACGCCCTCCACACCACCCCCCAAACGCCAATGGCTACCCTCTTTGTATTAAGAGGTACCAAGGTATTATAGTGGGTTAACGTTTGGGCGAGTCCAACTGTCCAACGCCAACCCGTGCCTGTGTGTGAGCGCTGCGTCGCTGGAAAGCCCGAGTACCAGTGCGGCCTTCTTTGTTCATCGTAAGAGACTTTTTTAGGAGCACTTTTTGACACTTGTTGAAAGCGGTAGTAATTGGCACTTTGCGGTGCGGCGTCGGGCTTATTCATGCTCGGTCAATAAGGTAGGTAGTTACAAGGCTGCAATTTGTTGACAAGTTCCAAGTGGAGATTCTATTTCGATTCTGAAGTTCATGCTCAACCTGTTCGCTAGTTAATACCTTGTAAACTGACTAGTTAGCTTGCTACGAGGGCCTCAGCAACTTGGATTTCCGCAGACAAGGTACCAAGTAGGCAGCTGGCAGAAATAGGTGAGCTGGCTGGCACTTTGCCTGCATGGCTTCGGCTCAGTGGCTGCGTCGAATCCTGTAATCCTGTGTACCTATGCCTGTCTGCCACCACTGCAACAGCCAGGCTTGATGAGTGCAACCTCTGTCTCATCATCAGCGCAACAAAACCTGTGCCATCGCCCACCTCTTTCTGTCTTGATATTCTCCTTCTTTTCCTTTTTTTGGTAACAAACATTTCTTGCACCGCCCCTCCACCGACCGACCGCCCGTCTACTAGTTACCTTGTTGCTTTGAGAGCCACCAAACCTACCTCGCACGCCCGGCTCCCCCCTCTGCCATCTGGGCCTCTTGTCTGCCGTCGAGCTGGAAGCCTGGAACCCGCACAAACGGACCCTGCTCTGGAGACGAGACTGGGAGACTGGACTGGAGACTGGGGCGCACTGCTCATCCGACCCGCCCGCCACTCTGACCTCTTGGTCTCTGACACGCTCGTCCTCGCAGTGTATTAGCGGGTATTCCTTCATACCATCACCAACTGGGCTCCATCGGCGGTACTTGCGTCACCTACACATATGCACCCAGACGTCAGGTACTAGCCAAGCTGCTACCACTGGTATTACCTTCCAGTACATAGCACCCGGCCCAAGGCAACCACCGACCCGTGGTACCAACTTGCCAAGGTGCAGGTACCTAAATACTTGCTACTCCCTCCGCGTGAGCCCCGAACTGGCCGCACCAACTCTCTCTGTCTGAACCCACCGTCTTGTCGTCTCTGCTTGTCTTGTCTGCTTGTCTGCTTGTCTACCTCCTGCCGTCGCCGCCGCCGGGCCACACGCCAGTGACCACCCACATCCACTCACCAAGACTGACTCCCCATCCTCTTCCTCCACCGAAGCTTTTACTTTCTCTTATTCTTCCCGAGAAAAACCCTACCATCCTCTTCCTTACATTCCTATTGCTTTCCTTCCTTCCGTCGCCTGGGTTCCTGCCTCGCATCTGCCTTCCGCAGACATCTACAAACTTCGCAATGATAGTTGACGGCGAAAAGTACGCTTGCGAGGCATGTGTGCGCGGGCACCGTGTCAGCAACTGCCAGCACTCGGGTAAGTCTTTCAGCGCTCCCACGCCCCCTACCAGCCCACCCGTGCAGCGACGGTTCCCAAACCCCACGCCTACTGCCCGCCCGCGCCCATAACAGCGCACCGCGATGGCCTCGTCCGCTCGACAAATCCCTTGAACCCGTCTTTGCCTCGTTCCGGCTCTCAAGCTTTTTGCTAACTGCCTCTTGTCGCATGCAGATCGCCCTCTTCAGCACATCAACAAAAAGGGCCGCCCCGTCTCCCAATGCGCCCACTGCCGCTCCATGCGCAAGTCGCGCGCTGCCCACATCAAGTGTGACTGTGGTGAGAAGACGAGCAAGTGCACTCATCTGCAGCCTACCGTCGAAGGACACACTGGTGAGCCCTATTGAACCTCCCGACCGTGTCTTGCAAGTCCCGCGAGTCCTAACAGGCCCTCTTCTCCCTCGCTCAAGAGACGTGCTGCTGCAACCACGGCGGTCGCTGCACCTGTGCCCTCAAGAAGGAGCCCAGTCTCGACACGGTCCCCGAATCCGACTCGGAACAGGAATCAACCGACATGCACGCTATTGCGCTCGCCGCCGCTCGTCCCAAGCCGCCCTTCCGGCCTAGACGTCGTGCCAATACCATCCACGCCGATGGCGGCCTCTCCTTTGACGAGAACGGACACCACAAGCCCATGGCCAAGCACAACCGTGCTGCTCAAAAGTGCAACCCTTACCAGCTCAACCGCGTCAACTCGACCAACAGTGCCAGTAGCCTCGGAGCTGGTGTCGAGGGCCTAAGCTTCACTCACAACCCCAATACCCCCAAGGGCGTCGTCGGCCGCGAACGCCGCGTCAAGTCAGAAACAGCATCTCCCCTGATGTCTGCTTCTAGTTTCCAATTCGGACCGGCCAACCTGCCTCCTCTGGATCTCTCTAGGATCGACAATGCCGCGTACGTCAACAACAGCTCCTTTGACCTCTTTGGCTCTGGCTTTGACCAGGATGGCCCCATGTACAGTGCCGGCCTCTCGGCTGCCTCTGTCGATTGGAGCCATTACGAGTTTACCGACGGTCGTGCCGAGAACTTTGCTCCTTCCAGCTACAGCCAGACTGGTAGCCGTAGCTTCAACGGACTTTTCGAGTTTGGAACCGGCTCTGAGCAGCTTCCCAACCTCGCCAACACCACGTCCACGTCGGGCGACGTTTCCGAGGTGGAAGACTGTATGCCAGGCGGCGACGACATGGACAGTTTCGGTGGCAACGGCTTTCTGCGGCACAATGTCATGACGGCCGGTGCTGCTGATCTGACCAGCATCGACTACGACAGCTTCTACAAGAACGCCGAAACAGCTGCCATGGCTGGCTCTGGCGTGTCTCTCGTTGAGGAGGACCCCGCATTCTGGATGCCCAACTACAATGACGGCATCGCCACTGTGGACGATAGTCCAGACCCGCTGGGCGCCGCGACGGCAAACAACTTTTGGCAAATGTAGTCGTTTTTTGACGGTCTGCAGGGCCATGGTTGGGTTTCTTTTGTGATTTCGTTTTTGCTTGCACTGGGTTACGGGATACGGCGTCGGGGCCTTTTTTTTTTCTTTCTTTCTTTCTTTTCCGCTACAGGCGTTTCACAAGGGATACACGAGAATCTCTAGAAGGACCACTTGGGATACATTTTGGAAATCTGTTGTATGGTGGCTACATTCGCTTTGCTTTTGTTCTGGCACGTTTTTAACGAGCTCATGAGGCATGAGGCACGAGGCACGATGAGGGAAGGAAACGTATCAAAGCGCTTGGATCTCTTTGTTGCTGTCGCTACGTTTTATGCAGAGTTGTTCTAGGCGAGATCGTCTTAGCTACTTTGTACTTTTTTCTTTGCCTCCTTCCCCTCGAGTGCTGCGTTCTGCAATGCTCGTCCTGCACATACCTTTTTTTTTTCCTTTTTGGGGGGGTTTTGCTTTGCACTATAGAATCTGATGCGCATGAAGCGTAAAGAGGTTGGGCAGGGGTTTTAAAAATGGGTTACGGGGGGCGTTCGGCACGGCTGCAAAACTTAGAAAAAGCTGTCTATCAAATGCCATTGCAAGGTCTGGGTCATGGTCCAAACACGGCAGCGTTCGGAGGCAATCTCCCAACCCTTGCACAGTGGCTTGAAAAAGATGGGATACACTTATTTCGATGGCGTTTACTTGTTTCTTTTTTCTACGATAGACAGATCTGGTTAGAATCACTTTCTTGTGGTGCCTGCTATTTTTTTCTCTGGTGTTTTCTGAGGTTGTTTGATTTGAGGTTTGAAAATACTTGTCGGCGAAAGAAAGACACAGCATATACCCCTTGGGATTGGGCAACAAGAAGAATAAGAGACGGGGCGCAAAAAAAATATTTTTAGAGATGCCTTTTGACTCGAAATACACTATATAGACGCTTCCAGAGCGTTTGATAGACACACACACATTCACGCATGAACTGAGGTTGTCTACCAATAGATTGAGGCAGACTGACATGACAGGCTAGGCATGTGCTGCTATTTTTTCCCTTGGCATACGTGACGGCCCCGTTCATCGCCGGTGAGGCTTGGGCCTGTCCTTGACACAGTAGGCACGCATAGGCACGCATTGGCACGCATGCGGGGGCTGTCAAGGAAGAAGTCGGGGCACGATGCCAATGTGATGATGGTCGCATGTACCGCCTCCATGTCTAAGCCACTACGCCATCGGGCCAACTGGGCTGTGTTGGCAGTAGCTCAGTCATCATCAGAGGAAGAAACGACTCGTTTTATTCTTCATTATTGTAAGAAAAATCAACCTTGTCGTGGTACCAAGACGGTTGCATCCAAAAAGGACGTTTCGAGAGGTCACTGCTGAACGGGACGGAATCGATCGGTTTAGTCGGCCCAAAAAAAAATATCCCCCACCTGGCATTGCGGGCAAACGCGGGGTCGAGGGGGGAAAACACGGCGGAGAAGGAACCTGGGCTAGCGCCCGGCGGGTTTCTTCAGTGGCCAACGCCAACTTGGTTTTGAGACATAATTATGCCGGGGAAGCATGAACAAGTGCCGTGTTTCTGACGAGATGTATTCCGGGGGTTTTTTTTCTGTACAAAAAATGTGAAATATCTGTGAGAATCTATTGAAACAGGCGGCAACAAAAATAAACTACATGTACGCGACGAGGGCCTGTTCCCGGCCCCCAGCCTCTATAGCATGAAAGGATGGCAAGAGAGGAGCGGCGCAAACGAAACAGGATGGAAAACAGGCTGGCGCGGTCTTTGAGTAGTCTCATGCAAAATTCGGCCGATCAATGAGTAGCGTGCGAGGCAAAATTGGTCGCGCGCTGGCTGCCCAAAGCAAGTTGCCCTGTTTCCCATTGCTGGAGCCCCCCCCCCCGAACCTGGGGACCGGACAAGTCCCGCAAAAAGGCGCAGCAGGTTGGCAGTGGCGCGGGCAAGGATCGTTGGGATGATTTAATTTTTCTTTCTTCGAACCGACGGCCGGCCCACGTTCCGTAGAAAAGGTTGGGCGCTCTTTTTGTTAGGACCGGGAAGGGAAGGGATACAGTGAGAGCGGGTTAGTGGCGGCGGCGGAAGAGGGTTGTGGTGGCTTAGATAGATACACAGGCGTTGATATATGTATGATGGACGATTTGAATGGCATGTAAGGGCAGGTAGATACCAAGGAGAAGAAGAAGAAAGCAAGTAAATTCCTAGGAAAGAGCAAGCAACGATTCTCTAGTCAAGAGGGAGAGATGGAGAGGGAATACTCCCGTCTCTTACATGGCCATGAAATACAACTCCCCCCCCCCAGGCTCTTCACAGGCTGATTCAACAACTCTTCCTTTCTCTCTTTTGGTTCCCCCTCACGTCCCTCTAGCAAACAAGCCATGTCCCAGCTTCGGTGCTACCTGCTAATGTAGAGTTGGAATCCACAACACATGTGAGCCAAGTCAGGTATAATTTCCTGCTGAGCTGACCTTTCGTCACTTCGTTCTCTGTCCATCTTCACCCTTCTCATTGCTCCTGGCTTTGGACTCTCATCAACGCCCTGAAAAGCCTGCCGATATAAAGCTTTGTCCTTCAAACTACAGCCCGTGTCGCCCCTCGGCAAAGAACCGCGCCCTGTGCTGTACGACGGAGGCGCGCCCCAGGTCGGGGCGTCCACGGGAGGCGCACTGTCGGGCCTCGGGAAGACGTGCCGCTTTTTTGCGCTATGCAGGGTTTTGTCCTGCCTGAAAGACGATGGGCAATCAGGCGAGATGGTCTTGAATACATTTTGGTAACTTGGGGCTAAGAGTCATCATGACTGAATGCTCCCTGCAAGAACTCCATGGCTTTACTCCAAGATAACGGGAAATTCACTTAATTACGTATTCATTTTTCATTTCTATCCTTTAAAGAGTCCTATCAAATCAAATTTCATGTAAGGAATCAAACAGCAAGATAGTCAAAGGTAGCAAGACCCCCAAAAAAAAAGGTGTCAAGAGAAACCTGCCCATGAGCTCCCCATTCATAGTTCCGACCGTCATGCGTTTCTCTTTACTACACCTTTCACAAGCAAAGCTATCTGCTTTTGTTTTCCTAGTATACACACAACTTCGCCATCATCTTCGTGGCCTGATAAAAAGGTCACACCAGTCTCATAGAATACACGTACAAGAAAGCATAGTCTGCGTGTGAGAGAAGCCGCTTGGCATGCTATCTCACGCAAGTTCCAGGTATCCCGTGGCGAGAGATGCCGCCACCGCTGCAGCAGCCGCAGCGGCGGCGGCGGCCGCTTCGCTTTCCGGAGGGGCCGCACCCTCGTGCGCGGTCGCGAGGTCCGCGAGATGCTGCAGGCTCTGGCTGGCGGCCGCCGCGTCCGCCGCCGCCGACGACGACATCGGGCGCGTCACCTCGGCGAGACGGTCGCGCACGCCGGCCCAGTGGTTGCCGCCGACCTCAACGATCTCGCGCGCGAGCGCCAGGGCCTCGTCACGCGTGCGCTCCGACTTGGACAGCGTCGTGAGGGACATAGCGGCCAGCGAGACGTAGTGGTTGACGAGCGGGCTGCGCAGGTGTGGGCTTGCCAACAGCAGCAGCGTCACCTCCTTGGTCGGCCAGAGCGTCTCCGTGGCTGTCGAACCCGGCGTGAGGAGCGTGACGAGGAGTCGGCAGTGCCAGTAGGCGAGATGGATGAGGGGGAACGATCCCGCGTCCATGCGCGCGGGGAGGTCCTCACGGTAGTTTTCAATATAGTCCGCCAGTATGGCCGCCATGGGCACGTCGGCGGTGGCGACGCCGGCCGGGAGGTTGGAAATGACATAGGATATCCGGTTGAGAAGCTTGGACAGACCTGAGGGCAAACGACTGTTAGCGGTGTATTCAGAGATAGACGAGGCACCAGCGGAGCGAGGCATCTACGTACGTGTAAAATAGAAGCAGGTGTCTCCCAGGATTGCGTCCAGTCCTGGCGGGGCCACAACACTATTGTCCGGAATCTGAGCCGGCTTTCCCGTGCCAGCAGCGTACCACCGATCCATGCCGATGAGCGACCACCAGATGCGCGTGGAGAGGGCGTCGTCCGAGTCCGTCTCGCCAGCAGGGTCCACGGCCGGCAGCTTCCAGAGCTTCATGCTGTTGGCCAGCCCGACGGCGCGCGAGAGCAAAAACGGCAGCGTCGATACGGAGCGCCAGTCGGCATCGATGATGAGCAGCAGCAGCGTCTGCGCGTGCACAATATCCGTCGCGCGCGTGCGCGGCACCTCGCTGCTCTCCCAGTCGTGCAGCAGCGCGCTGGCCTGCTGAACGTCGCCCGCCGTGCTCTGGCCCACAGCGAGCAGTGCAATCTCGAAGGCGGTCCGAACGGTCAGGGGGCAGTGCGCCAGCAGCGCCTGTTGGCGCGTCTTGGTGGTGGCGAGGATGGGGTAAAGGGGTTGTACCGAGTTGAGGAAGTCGTTGAGCACGCCCTCGTCAATGTTTGGGACATGCTCACCGTCCTCCATGGTGATGTCGCCGACGTCCTCGGCCACGGGCTTTGAGGGCGTGTCATTTAGAGCAGAGGGCTGCGGTGCCAGAGATGCGTTGTGATAGTAAGTGTCCGACTGTGCGGGTTCCGGGGGTATCGATCGGGGTTCTGATCCCCAAGGTGCTTGGCGATTGGGGGCTGAGGTGCTGAAATCATTCGAGATACTCGAATACGGACGCTTACGATTAGCATCGTCTACGGTGGCAGTCCCGTTTGTGCCGCGCTGGCGCTCCGCGCTGAAGAGCTTGTCAATTTCATCTTGCGGCATGCCACCATCAGATTCAAGCTTGCTCTCGATGCTGTTAATTCGATCGGCAAGCTCTTTGATATAGCTACAGTTGATATCAGCAACGCTGCAAGTTCGAAACTGAGATGAGGAGACCTTACCCTTTGCTAGGACCTCTTTTCTGCGGTACGCGACTGAAGAGACAGTTAATGGAAGCCCGCCCGCAACTGGAACATGCAGTCTCGCCAGTGTCGGATTGTGCGTCGCATTTGATCTTTTTCCGCCGGCACTCATCGCAAGCACGCGAGACCTTGGATCGTTTCCTAGGCGGCACGCCACCTCCCAGGTTGTACTGAGAGATGGGCGGACCGACAGGCACCTGCATATTGTGCTGAACCATGTGGTCCGAGGGAGGGGTGTCGTGCACATAGCTTGGGGTGTGGTGATCAGGTTCGGGATGAGGCATGATGCTACGCAGGCCGGTCTCATCAACGCTCATGCTGGGATCAGTCGCTGGCAAAATGTCCGCACTTGCCAAACCTTGACCCAGCTGTGCCGCGAGCTGCAACTCCTCCAAGTTCTCTGGTCGCGAATCATGCTGTGGATGCTCTTCTGTATGAAGATGGCCTTGATCGTCTACGTGACCGTCGACATGCTGGTGGGAATGCTCGTGGTGTTCTTGGGTATCATCTCGGCCGTTGGAATTATAAAAAGGGCCCGCGTCCATGGCTTCAGCTCCTGGCGACGGGTAGTTCAGGTTGGGGTCGTCGGCCTCGCCATCGCGACTGGGACTCATAACAGGCAACGCTGCAAAGGGGGCAAAGGTATTCCGATGGGGGTCGCCCAACAGCAGGAGTTAATGGTCCTACCACAGAAAAAATTCGTGGTTTAGTATGTTTATATCGTGCAGCGACGAAAGCCGTACGCGACTTATATACAGGTCGATGGTGTTAGCCGCGACACTGCTCCCTCGTCGCGTTGGGCAAAATCTAACAAGCCAGCCATTGTTAGCACGCGTACCAGCACAATGCACCAGCGACCGTGAATTGCCCAAAAGTAGGGTGCGTTCATGTCGCTGGCAGAAAAGGAAGCGAAATGCCGACTTATACAGAGCCGTACCTGGAATCCGGAGGATGATAAATGCGATGGACCCGTCGCGCTGAACGGAAGAGGAAGAACTCGGTGCCGTGAAGCGTGTATTTTTTAGGTGCGAGGCGATCAGACCACGGAGGTGGAAGAATTTTTCTGCAGCCTGGGCGGAAGGCGAGATGGGATGGCTTAGTCATCATGGTCCGCAGAGCCGCGTGAGTGACATACTGGTGCTTGCGGCTCCGTCAGCATATAATCCTCCCTTTGTTCCCTATACGACAATTCGACCACGGAGTGCCTGTGACGAAGCCGAAAAGGATGGAATCGATCTAGCAGGGAATCTTATGGCATATCCTACCCCAAAGTCTTCCCATATGGGCTTTCTCTCCGACCCCACGGCCCTTGAATCCCAGCAAGCCACATATGGACATCTTGACTCTCCAGAAGTGGGCCTACACAGACGGTGCTCCCAGCTACAACGCCACGGCGTATGGCTTGCTGCACCAGTACAGCGGCATCCCAGAGGCCGATATTGACAGTCACTTGCTACATATTGTAGGGATCTACCATGGCTCTTCAATTTTTCCCCCGTGGAAATGCTGACCTCGCTACAGCGGAAGCTAGCCTGGGATGTATCTCGACAGCCGTTTATAGGTCGCTGGAGGTTCCTGCGGTTTGCGGAACCTCTAGATCCATACTACCAGCAGGTCTTATTTCGCCTTACGCTTCCAAAGTCGGCAGACTGCATACTTGATATCGGCTGCGGCTTCGGGCAGGCCCTGAGGCAGCTTCGCGCCAGTGGTGTGGTTGGTGCCAAGCTCTTCGGTGCGGACATAGAAGCTCGCTTCATCAGCCTTGGGTATGATCTCTTTCGTGACAAGGAGACGTTGGGGGCAACATTTGTCACTGGCGACTTGCTTAACCCTGATGACGGACGACTAGATGTGCTTTCTAGGCGTTTTACAATCGTCCACGCCGACAGCTTCTTCCACTTGTTATCGTGGACAGAGCAGCTATACGCCGCCAAGCGACTAATGTCATGGCTAAGAACGGGTACTAAGAACTGTCTCGTATATGGCAAACAAGTTGGTACAGTGCACCCGACGAAAGTTGCTTCGGCCGGTAGCAGGCCGTACCTGCACAATCAACAGAGCTTCCAGAGACTATGGGATGAAGCTGGGAAGATGACGAATACAAGATGGTATGTGGATGTTGAAAGGAGTGACGAACTGGCAGACTATGCAGTGGGGTTGCAAGATGGGTTGATGTCTGTAAATTTCGCGGTATATCAGTTGCCATGATGTGTACAGATGACGGAGTTAGTACTTGGGTGCACCTTGGCGAGGCAAGCTAGCAACAGTATGTGAAACAGTGCGCAAGTTGCGGGAACAAATGAGACTCGGGTATAATTGTAGCTCTTTGTGAATATGAAGGATCTTTTAGCATATAATTTCTACATCTTGTAGTAATTCTATAATATTCTAGAGTATTGGGAAATATGTTTTCTTTCCTCTTATGTATATGTACTCTATACTTGCTCCTCCTCCTCTACAGCTACAAAGTCAATTACTCAACTAATGAGATGACTTACGATAGTTAGGTGCCTGGTACCTTTAGAGCCGTTAGAGCCTACTAATAAATGATAAATGTGTGTTGTAGCCCTGTTATTAATTATTTCGCCGCCACTCTGGCCACGTCTCTCGCTAGGTGGCCTGCCTGCCTAGGTATATTTAAAAATAAACATGAGAATTCTTTTTCATTCTCACACATGATGATTATAACATGGAATCCAGTCATGTCACAATAACCTAAGCTAGCATGTCATCCCCCCCGCGTACCAAGGGAGGGGGGTACTTAAACTGGCCCACAGGCTGCCTGCCGCCTCCCTGGGGCTTCGCTTCCCCTCCAAGCCCCTGTCCAGTGAGTTCCTGTCAATCGCGTCCCACCTCATCCGGAGAGCTTCAGTTGCAACCTCTGCAACCGACAACTACGCCATCGCGCACTGTCGTGCGTCGCCTTTTTGAATGCCCACCGTCGCATACAGTGACACTTCATTCTTTGAACTATGAATATGCGGATTATGTGAAATCAGCCAAGATGGATGCAGATTGGGACGAGGTATGCTGCACTGCCCCAACACTTGGCCTCTCCGCACCGCGGTGATGCGCATGCGGGCAATCGCGCGCGCACGTCGGCACGCACGATGCGCTCTGCGCGGAACATGATATTCTAACACATGTGCATGCTCCAGGTCGCTCGGATCCAATTCCCGCCCGCGGGCGTCCACGCCCTACCGACCCCGGTCACGACCATGATGTTCGATACATCACAGGAACTCTTGTGGACGGGAAATGACTATGTACGAGCTCCCTGATGGCACGTACCTGCATAACAGAGACATATTCTTACAAAATGAAAAGGGACGCGTTACATCCTTTGTCGGAAGCGAGCTGCAGCGCTACACTTCGTTCAAAGCACACCTGTCCTCCGAGGGACCCGTCCGACAGATTATGGTCAACGATAAAGGCGTGATCGTTCTCGGAACCAACGATGTTCACATGTCACATAGAAGGGGTGCAGCAATGTGGCATATCAAGTACGTACTGTACAGTCCCAGGACGCGACTGTCTCGCTAACTCGACAATTAGGCACGAAGCTATGAGAGATCTGCGATGCATGAGCTTTACTTCCAAAGGAACCACTGAGATTATTGCTGCTGGAATACAGGACACAATGCTTGTTATCGACCTCAATAAAGGTGATGTCGTCAAGCAGGTACGAATTGCCAGAGCCTGTTGCTATATGGAACCTGACGTGAGCAGATCCCAACCGACCACCAATATACTATCATGAAACGAGGCCGTTATATCTGCGCCGCAACCCAGAATGGACTTGTCAATCTACTCGATCCAGTCTCCTTTGCTGTCGTCAAATCCTGGAATGCTCATTCCGCCTTGATCAACGATATGGATGCCCAGCATGATTTCATCGTTACCTGTGGCTTTTCTCTACGACAGGGCCAGACTTATATGCTGGATCCGTTCCTCAACGTCTTCGATATCAAGAAAATGGCATCTATGCCACCAATCCCTTTCCCGGCCGGAGCTGCCTTTGCTCGCATGCATCCTAAGATGCTTACGACGAGCATCGTCCTGTCACAAAGTGGCCAGATGCACGTGGTTGATCTTATGAACCCAAACACCAGTAATGTCAGACAAGCCAATGTTATCAGTTATCTCAGTATGTTTGAGATAGCTCCATCTGGAGAAGGGATGGCATTAACAGACGCCGAATGTCTGATTCATCTATGGGGATCACGTACCAAGCTCCATTTTGTCGATCTTGCAACTCCACTCGAGTTTGCTGCCACAGACGAACGCTTGCCTCTCTTGGACTGGTCTCCCGAAACGTCAGTATTTTTGCTCAGCTTTCAGACTCGCACTGGATGCTAATGCGCTGCAGACCACTCAATACCGTGGGACTACCATACTACCGCGATATTCTAGCTTCCGCATGGCCGGATTTCATTTGCGACGTCGGAGCGCCGCCCCTCAAACTTGACCCGCAGTTCCTTTCTACACTCCAAGCTACTGGAATCCAGGCCACTGGCCTTGCTTTGTATGGGCGCAACACACGCGGTCTAAGGCGGAATCAGGCAGAAGACACTCGACACCTGACCAAGTCTGTCAATGCTGGGCTCAAAGCGCCAAAGTTCCTGAGTGAAAAGGCGCGTGAATTGACCAAGTCAGACACCGACGAGAGAGCCGATGAGGTGAATAACGTACTCGTCGAGGCTGAGATCGAGAGTAAGAAATCCGAGGTACCTGCCATGTATGGAAACGTGGAAATCAAATACAGCAAGTTTGGTGTCGACGATTTCGATTTTGGGTAAGTCAGCCCTTCCGCCTGACAGGCCACAAACTAACAAAACCAGATTCTACAACAAGACAAAGTATTCAGGACTCGAAACTCACATATCAAACTCATACGCCAATGCTCTCCTGCAAATGATGCATTTTATTCCTCTTATCCGAAACCTTGCTCTTCGTCACGCTGCCACATCGTGTTTAAGCGAGATATGCATACTATGCGAGCTGGGCTACTTATTCGACATGCTACAAAAGGCTGAAGGGTCTATCTGTCAAGCGACCAATATGCTGAAGACGCTTAGCAATCAGCCGCAGGCTGGCGCGCTTGGTCTTTTGGAGGAGGATCCTCGTGGTTCTTCGCTCAACATGATGCTTCAAGGTTTGACGCGCTTCCTTCTCGATAAAATCGTACAAGACTTCCGGTTGATAGAAGGTACATCGGCGCCAATGGAGCAAGTTCTATCAACCTCTGCAACTAGCTCTATTAACTGTATATCTTGCCGCAGCGAATACACTCGCCCTGGGTCGACCTTGGTTAACGATCTGATGTACCCCTCTCCGAAACCACAGGCAAGAGTCACCTTCTCTCAAGTTCTTAAAAGCAGTGTGGAGAGGGAGACGACATCTAAGGGATGGTGCGGAAAATGCAGCAAATACAAGAGCATTGCGACAAAGAAAACTATCCACAGCGTCCCAGCTGTTCTCGTTTTGAACACAGCGATCAACAGCCCCGAACATCGCCTGCTTTGGTCGACGCCAGGCTGGCTTCCGGAAGAAATCGGCATCAGTGTTGAAGAGGGTCGGTTCGTTTGTTACGAGGGCGAGGATCTGAAAGGACGCCTTCAGCAGGGCTTTCAAATTATTACCGTCTATTCCTTGATTGGTATGGCAATCAACATCGAGAACGGACAAACTCAAAAGCCACACCTGGTGTCAATGATCAATGTCGCGCACGCTGAGCAGGAGGCGCCGGGTAAGAGCCAGTGGCATCTGTTCAACGACTTTTTGGTGCGCCCAGTCAGTACGGAAGAAGCCCTTACTTTCAACACTTCCTGGAAAGTACCATCCGTCATTGCCTTCCAGGTCAAGGACGCAAACAACAAGATTGATTCGACGTGGAAGGATCAACTTGATACTTCGATTCTGTACGAAGACATAAACCCGCACCCTCATGGGAGCAAGACCTACAAAACGCTTGAACGGGCGACAGAGAATCCAGGTCCTGAGACTATCATTGCCCTGGATACTGAATTCGTTGCTGTCAGGCAACCAGAGATCGAGATGAACTCGGATGGTGAACGCGAGACAATCCGACCAATAGTATATGCTTTGGCAAGAGCCTCCGTTGTCCGCAGCCAAGGCGAAGAAGAGGGACTGCCTTTTATTGACGACTACATCACTATTAAGGAGCCAATCGTGGACTATTTGACATCCTACTCGGGCATTACTCAATCAGATCTAGACCCACGGGTATCCCAGCACAGCTTACTGCCTCTCAAAATGGTGTACAAGAAGCTCTGGGTCCTTCTCAACTTGGGCTGCAAGTTTCTGGGGCACGGTCTGAAGCAGGATTTCCGCGTGATAAACATCCACGTACCCAAGTCGCAGATTATTGACACTATTGATCTATTCTTCCTGAAGACAAGATTACGGAGATTATCACTCGCCTTCTTGGCATGGTACCTGCTCAAAGAAGACATTCAAATGGAAACGCACGACTCCATTGAGGATTCACGCACCGCGCTCAAGCTATATAGAAAATACCTCGAGTTTGAAGATGCTGGAATTTTGGACCCGATGTTGCAGGACATTTATCGCGCCGGCCGAGACGTCAACTTTAAGCCGCCGCGGAAGGACGGGCAGGACGTGCAGCGAATAGACACACCGCCGCTGCCGGTAGATGGAAATGGAGCCCCTTCGACGCCGGTGAGAAAGGCCGCGACACTGGCGACGCCCGGTTTTGGATGCACAAACTGGACCCCTGGCAAGGGCTCGCCGCTAAGATAGGTAGTTGTAACAGGAAGCGTGATGTGAGCATAGCGGTGGCCGAGGCGATTTTGATGAAGTGAATCGTTACAATAGATTTATGGCCAATTGAACTTTCTAATTGCATTGTTATGGTAGTTAGAGGTGAACGTGAGGTAAACGTGACTCGGCCAGCGTCCTCACACAAGTTCAAATGACGAACCACATAACTCAAGTACGTTGAAGCGACTTCAAAGACTGAATAGTTCGCATGGAGCAGCTTCTTCTCGCACACCATTTTGATAATATTCAATGAGTATCCGCATTATCTGCTTTCTGCTGTCGTCAATCCCGTGGCTCTCGCCCCTTCCAAGCATCCGTATGTAACAAATATATCAACCAGCCACCCTTCGACGCGCGCGCGCGCGCGCTCGCGCAACTATTCTGGGCGGCGCTGTGGTACAAAACATGTCGGGAAACAAGGGGGAAAATAAAAAAGAACAAGGGGGGTAGAAAAACATAAAAACATGTCTGGCCCGCCAACAATCTAGAGCATCACTCATAAAAACGCCAATGAACAGGAAGAGGCAGCTGACAAGAACAAAACAATGAGCAGAGACGGGATATAACCGCGGCAAGAGGGATGGAAAAAGAAGAAAAGAAGAAAAAAACACAGCTTCTGCGAAGGAAAGAGAAGAGAAGAGATGGAAAAGTGGTGAAAAAGGTGCATGTTTCAACAAAGTTTTGTGCTTTCGAGTTCAAGCGGAATGTTGCTCTGCCATAATCGCTTCAGCAGGCTCGTCGCTTCAATTGTTTCTCTTAAAATTGCCTGTTCCCAACGCCCAGTCTATGCATAGAAGCAATATTTCCGCTCCAGTGGTTTTGGTTTAGCTTTGTTTCTAGTAATCGCCCGTCTCGCGTGCGCCCTTGATCCGTCCACGGGCCTGAAAACAAGTATCCCTTCCCCAGCCAAAAAAGAAAAGACGTGTAACGGTTTTACAACGCGACGGCCGGGTCTGGGGTCGTCCAAATCACGCGATATATCTGGCGACCTGAGGACGTCTAAGCCACGCGATACGCCCGACGACTTCGTGTAGCCGCACTGACAATGAGCGGCGTGCGTCGTAAACCGCGGCGGGAGCTGGCGCGCAGTCGGGCATAGATTCGAGCCTCGGTATCGGGTGGCGCCGTGCCTCGTACGCCATGCTACAGCTCGGATTCAGCGCCATTGGTGGACAGGGCCATTGGGCTACCGTTTTGAGGTTGGTTCTGCCTTTGGCGGAGACGTGTGTTGCCTGGTGGCCGCCGGCGCACGATGGCGCGGCTGGTGGCGGCGGCTTCCTCGTCGTCCGAGTCGGGGTGCTGTTGTAGATAGAGCCGAGCCTCATCTAGCTCGGTGACATCGGCAGGGCGTTCTCTTAGCCATCGCATGCGGGGGCCTGTGCGAGCGCGCTCCGACACCTTGAAACCGTAAATCTTGGGCTCATATATCCGGCCGGGGCCGAGGCCAGGGGCAATGTTCTTGGCATACATGCCGTTTACAATTCCCTCGCCGTCGCCGATTGGAATGCGAGTGTTGATGGAGGTCAGCGCCTCTGAGCCACGGCGCGTGAGATCATACTCGGGAAAGGTCATGAGGAAGAGAGCGCCAAAAGTTCGGCCAAAGAAGGCGCCATCGACGGTTTGGAAGCGGCTGTTAGGAGGGACGTAAACGTCGAGACAGGCGGGGCAGAAAAGCTTGACTGTGTCCTCGCCAGGGATATCAGACAATCCCACCGGGAGAGTGCGCGATTGTTCGCAGTGCGTGCGCGGGCAGGAGCCAAAGTGTCCCAATTCGTACTTTTCGCTCATCTGTTGTATTCCGACTCGTGAGCAAATGAATCTCTGATGAATAAGACCGTAGAGTAGCTCCGCGGAAGATTCAATGACGGTGAGATCGCTGGCAATTCTGGCGTGGGTTCTTCTCTCGTTGCCAAAACGCGAGCTATGCTCCATGGCGGATTCATTGTCGAAGTCTTCCTCATCCTCCTCGAGATCTTCGTCGTCTTCTTCAGGTTCCACATCGAGGATCATCTAAAAGCGAAGCGTCAGTAGCTCGCGCAGAAAATCAATAATTGGTATTGCAACCGTTTCGTACCTCCAAAGCCTCCTTGTACATGTCCACTTGCGTCTGCAAGCCTGTCAGGTTGAAGTCATCTTCAATAAAATCCTCAGACACCTCTGCGAAATATTCGTGCCCGAGCAGGGAACAAAAGCTCGTGATCCAAGACTCGGGCGCGGCCGAAGATGTCGACATGGCGCCGCTCGAGAGGTCCAAAAGTTGACGTTGAGAAACCTTGTCAGGCCTCACGTCTAGCCAGCTCGGGAGTGGGAGGGTGGTCGAAGCTCCGGGCTGTCTTAGAACGCCTCTCTGGTTGGTGCACGCGTAGAGGCTTTGCAGCGCAGGTCGTCTCTCGCGCGGTACACGGAAAGGATCAGTACCACGAAGGGCTTGTTCAAGAGAAGAGTCCCGTGCGCGCCGCTAAGGCGAGAAAGATAATTCCTCCGCTCGGTCGGGAGGCTGGGATAAAGCTGCTGAAACGGCGTAATATGGCCTTTTGATAAAGTGGTGGTGGTGGTGGTGGGATGTTGCGGTGGGGAGGGGCGAAAGACACCGCGCCGCCGCTGGTGGACTTGGCGGAAGTTGAGTTTCCCCGTCTTCCGCGAAAGCCGTTGGTAGCATCCTCCTGTTGAAGATTACTTTCATGACCTTCAAACGCAGAAACAAGTGCATCAAATCTCGACAATTATTTTGCTTTGTTTTTCACGTGTTCCTTTCGTGCTGATTGGCAAGGTTATGTCATCCCCATCCTTCTGTCGCTCGGCAGTAAGGCAGTTTCACAGCAGCGGAAGTCGGGGGCTCGCTGTACTCCCTGTACAAGCATTCCACTGGAATGCTACAACAGACATCATCCAGTCATTCAAACATGGTGCCTTTACAGAAAAAAAACCACTACTTTTCAGAAAAGACCATGGTTCCCCGACATCCTCGATACCTGCCTTGCACAAATGGTTCCAAAACCCAGCGCAAGGCTCTGCTGTGACAGGGGTGGGCTTGTCCGAGGACCTTCAAAAGTTTCATGAGCTGCCTTTCCCTTACGAGATATTAGGGACATCGGATGAAACTATGCAAGCTCTGCATGCCTTTTGCAAGTCGCTGGTCGCAAGCCAAGATATGGAGGACCAAATACTAGCTGGCATCTTACACTCGACTGTCACAGCGTCTCCCGGCAACCGCTTCTTCCAGCTCTTCGCGCCTTTGAAGCTGCTATATAGAGCATTGGAGTTCAACCAGCTTAAAAAAACGCATGGAGGAAACACTGTGGAATTATATATTGCGCAGTCGCTCCTTGCGGATCTTCCACCGGCCCTACAACAAGACTTGCCAACTCCGGCGCTGGTCTTACAGGCTGGGAAAGGCGACGTCTACAGTTCGTCAATCTGGCTGGGCACTGAGCCTACATATACCCCGCTCCACCGAGATCCCAATCCCAATCTTTTCTGTCAGCTCTACAGGCAGAAGACTGTTAGGCTTCTCCCTCCCAATTTGGGAGAGCAACTGTATCTCCAGGTCCAGGTACAGCTCCGGCTGCAAGGGAGCAGCCGCATTAGAGGTGTAGAGATGATGGATGGAGAAGAGCGCAAAGTTCTTCATAAAGCAGTTTGGCAGCCCGAACTCCCCGTTGATGAAATGTGTGAGGCGGAACTCGATGCTGGAGATGCGCTTTTCATACCAGAAGGATGGTGGCACTCTGTGAAAAGCAAGGGAGCATCGGGAGAGCTGAATGGGTCTGTAAATTGGTGGTTTCGCTGAAACACCCGACATGTACAACCTACTACCGGATGACTTGCATTATCGCAGCACTATGTACAACAACACCGGCCCCTGTATCACCGGACCTTGATCATCAACTGTCACGCCCGTTCTGGCTCATTTTTTGTTCCATGCCTCATTCGGCTGCACCGCGCTGTGCAGGAAACATGTGAGGACATGATCGGGAACCGAAAGATGAGACTGTTGCTGTGTTTCTTGCAGAGCGGCTAATCTGATGACGAGTTCGAGGAGAGATAATGATGTGGTAACCATGCTGAATAGATTGCTCGGCTCGCTTCGGCTGATACTGGCGGCCGTGTACTGCAATGGTGTCGCCTCTTCACTGTGCTGAGAGCAGTCTTGGTCAAGGCAAAGAGAGCTGAGTTTGCCGAGCATGTCGTCCGTAACAAGCTCGTTCCCCGTCACCTGTTCAGAATCCTCGCTACCCACCTGTATAGACTCTGAGTCACTCTGATCGAGTTCACTATCATCAGAGGCGTCTGCCGTATATATTTCAAGAGCGATCCACTTAGGATCAAGATATGATGGAAATTGTGAGCTATGTGGTGGAGCACGATTCGATTCGTTAGTTCGGGGCTGTGGTGGTGCTATGTCTTCCCATTCACTAACGAGTTGGCAATCTACGTGGTGCTGTGTCTCGTCATCTGGTGTGCTAAATTTTCGTGCTTTGCGTAGGTTTGTGGTGTCCAGTTCTCTTTTTAGCAACAGTATTGGGGTACTGTTGGCTTCCAAGTCATCCTTGATGTTCAGGATAGCGGCAGAATTGGTGTACAAAATTTTGGTGATTTTCGAAATTGGTATCAGGTCAGTTTGGCTGCTTTCCTCGGGGCTTTCTGGGATGTCGTGTAGTCTTCCGTCGTCCCTATCTTCTGTAATTTCCAGATGATAAGAGTAGGCTGAAAGATCTTGCGGCCCGCTTTGCAGTTCCTGACTTGGCAGGCAAGGTGTGCGATAGAGTCTCAGACGAGCTTTATGCAAAACTTCTTGCCAAGTAGGCTTACTGATACTGTCGAAATCAAGACTTTGAGAGGAATTGTGTCCAGAAGCTTTTGCCGAAATTTCGTAGGAGTAGCCTTTGAAAACCATGTATATTGAGACGACAAAGTCTGGCCCAACTTGGACTGTCGTTTGTGGCTTGGCTGTGAACTGGCTGTCGGCGATCATAAGGAAAGCACTGGCTTGAAGCATTCGTGACGGCGAAACAGAATCGGGCAGGCCTGTCGACAAACTTTCTCCGGACGCCGATATGGCTAGCTGGAGAAGCGGTATGCTTCCATTTATACGACCGATGAGGGCCCTAATGTCTGTGATCAAATGGCGAATCGTCGTTTGGTTGGCTTGGAGAGTAGTAACCGATGCGATTTTGTGGCCCAGGAGGGCTATGTCTTTTTGCATTGATCCGGTTAGGGCTGATGCCGATTCCAAAGCGCTGTTTCCCTCGCCCGATCTAAGTTCGATTAAGTTGATGGCGGGCGTGATAATCTAAGCTGGGTTAACACGTCAAGCGTGGATCGTACCTCGAGGCCTCGCATACCTGGATTTTACTGTCCAAATCATTCTGGAGAGTTTTTAATTCCTCGTAGAGTTCTTCATCGCCTACAGTGGTAAGAAACTGGGAGTATTGTTTCAGTGCATACGATGATGTAAGGACGATGCCCGATCTGACGGCGAGCTTCATGGCTTGCATGCCGACCAGCGAGAGAAATTGTTCCATGGCGTGTATTGCGCTTCATTTGGATGTCGATAGAAGAGATTAAAAGCTTTGGATTGCTTGACGACTATTGGTACGGCAGTGCCCAAGGCATTTATTTACTTCTGTCTAAGTTTGCAAACGAGCGATGTACAGTGCGAATATTGAAGTTGCCCCTCCACCACCATTCTCGCACAGTTCAAAGTTTGGACTGAGTCCAACGCCCGATATCATCCCGAAGTACGAGTCAGCGTTTCTAAGAAACATGAAAAACAGGAATAACATTTTCCCAATGATAAGCGAGTTATTTTCGGTCCTCGTCAGGCATGGTCTACACAGCCTGCAAATATAGTGCTAATAGTGCGCACTTGAACTTGTCGGTATTGCCCCTCCACAGCTCATCCCCGCGACAGTCTCATGGTGGGGCTCGAATTTTCACCACGCAACCACTTCTGCCCAGGCAAAAATAACAGTCAGGCTTCAACTCTGAGTCACTCTGCGTGAAGCCTTAGCTCTCCCAAGAAATTGCATATCCTTATTTGAAGGGTTCTTGGCTGTGGCAAGCGCAACGACTCCCGACTCACCGGCGAAACATCGAGCAGCGACAATCAAATTTCTCCCCACTACTCGGTCGTCACATACACACTTCGCTTTTCCCCGCTACGCCGCAGACATGTCGAACCTCAACTCCTGGGAGGATGATCCTTCGGCTCAGGACGAGCAGCTCTCTCGACAGGCCCAGCAGCAGCTCAATATGAATGCGGCCAACCAGCAGCAGCAGGGTGCATTCCGCCCAGCCATTGCTTCCTTCCAGCCCGGTGCTTCGTCTTTTCAGCCAGGCGCTCAGTCTTTCGCCCCCGGACAGCAATATGGCGGGGGATATGGCCAGCAGTACCAACCGCAGCAGTACTACCAGCAACAGCAAGGATACTACCCACAGTACGGTCAGGGCCAGGGGGGACAGCAACCCATCCAGCACAACCAGCAGGGCTATGGTGGCAACTTCAGCCAAGGATACAACCAAGGGCAAGGTATGTTCTCATAAGGATTGTCTATGTCTTTCTGTGGCTTATGAGGTTTACAGGTTACCCCCAATATGGTCAGCAGCAGGCGCAGCAGGCGCAGCAGGCCAGGCCTCAAGCTCCCAGAGCCCCCGCTGCTCAAGCAGCTCCTGCGGCAGCCAGCGCTCCCAAGCCCGTTGCCACCAAGCAGGGCGGCGCCAAGGTTTTGAGCATTGGTGGTGAAGCAACCCCCAAGCCCAAGGTCGCCAAGGTGCTTTCCATCGGCGGATCATCTGGCCCAGCTAAGGCCGATGACAAGGCCGATATCAAGCCAGAGCCGACCGACAAGCCCGAAGCTGGGCAGAAGACCACAGCTTCTAAGGCTATCGAAAAGACTGGAGAGAAGACTACTACCTCTAGCGGGCGTACCTCGCCCACCCCCTCCTCTGGTCGCTCCAGCCCGTCCGGGGGTGACAGGAAGCCCCAGCGCGAGATCGACGCCGTTGTGAAGGAACAAGCGGCCGATGTTGACGAAGCTACGCTCAAAGAAATTTATGGCAAGGAGCACGTTAACGTCATCTTTATCGGTCACGTCGATGCCGGGAAATCCACTCTCGGTGGTTCGATCCTGTACGCAACTGGCATGGTGGACGAGCGAACTATGGACAAGTACAAGAAGGAGGCCAAGGATCTCGGTCGTGAAACTTGGTACCTGTCATGGGTCATGGACCTGACGAAAGAAGAGCGTTCTAAGGGCAAGACTGTCGAGGTTGGTCGCGGCTTCTTCGAGACTGACAAGCGCAGATATAGTATTCTCGATGCCCCTGGCCATAAAACCTATGTGCCGAACATGATTGGTGGTGCTTCTCAGGCCGACGTTGGTATTCTGGTCATTTCGGCCAGAAAGGGTGAATACGAAACCGGTTTCGAGCGTGGCGGCCAGACTCGTGAGCACGCCATGTTGGCCAAGACGCAGGGTGTCAACAAGCTTATTGTCGTTATCAACAAGATGGACGACCCTACGGTAGAGTGGTCGCATGAACGGTACCTGGAATGCACAACGAAGCTCGCCCAGTTCCTCAAGGGAACCGGCTACAACCTGAAGAACGATGTCTTCTTCATGCCCGTCGCGGCCCAGACTAGCCAGAACATCAAGGACCGTCTACCAAAGGGCAAGGCTTCCTGGTACGAGGGCCCGTCGCTGCTGGAGTATCTAGACAGCATGTCTGCTCTGGAGCGAAAAGTTAACGCGCCGTTCATGATGCCTGTCAATGCCAAGTACAAGGATCTGGGAACTATGATCGACGGCAAGATTGAGGCTGGTGTTATCAAGAAGGGCATGAACCTTGTCATGATGCCTCGCAAGCAGAATGTGGAACTATCCGCGCTGTACGGCGAGCAGGAGGAGGAAGTATCGATACTGCAATGCGGCGACCAGGTTCGCCTGCGTCTCAAGGGTATCGAGGAGGAAGAAATTCTGCCCGGCTTCGTGCTATGCTCGCCCAAGCGTCTTGTACACTGCGTCTCGGAGTTTGAGGCGCAAATCAGAATCCTTGATCTCAAGAGTATCTTGACATCTGGCTTCAACTGCGTTCTGCATGTGCACTCAGCAATTGAGGAGGTTACGTTTTCTGCTCTGCTGCACAAGCTGCAGAAGGGGACCAACCGCAAGAGCAAGCTGGCCCCTACACATGCGAAGAAGGGCGATAGCATCATTGCTCGCATGCAAGTGATTGGTGGCGCTGGCGCCGTCTGCGTTGAGAAATTTGAAGACTACGCGCAGATGGGTCGTTTCACACTTCGTGACCAGGTAAATAATAATGCGATGTGGGGAAGTAATGACGAAGTTGCTAACAAGGCTCGTAGGGGCAAACAATCGCCATTGGTAAGATTACGAAGCTGATCCTGGAAGATTAAATACAGGCGGTAGGGGTAAAATTGAATGATATATGGAAAACAAGTGAGGTATGGGCAAGAAGGAGGAGGGAACTGAAAAGCATCAAGCATCAGGTCGGGGGATGAGTTGCCAAGCTCAGTAAGGACGATTTAGAAGCTTCATAGGCGATAGCAAGACGAGTTTTTTCAAGAATAGAGGATGCAATGACGATTGGCCTAAAGTCTGCTCGAGACAGGTGAAGCGTGTGCGGTCGAGCCCCGGGAGTGCGGACGGAGGGGTGAAGTCGGAAGCGGAGCAGGTGGCCGGGGCCGGATTGCGGAACGCGGAAGGGGAGGCGACGCGGTCAGCGCACAGAGAAGGCCGAGATGATGGCCGAGTTGAGCAGGTCGGGACCTATGGAATAAGGGGTGTTGCTTTGGTCTGTGTTCGGAAGGATGCGGACAAGGATATACAGGACGATGGCATCAAAAGCGTAATGGACGATGAGGGAGCACGGAATGCCTGAGGACGAAAATGAACCGGAGACCAGGAAGGAAGTGCGGTCGAGACAGAGGCTCTTGCCGTGAACCGAGACGGTCGGCGAGCCAGCAGCGTTCTCAAGACCCAGAAAGGAGTGGGGGGATGGGGGAGTCAAGGAGTGGGAGGCTCTGGCAAAACTCCATTTAGAACTCGACTAGTGGACGTGGGGTGGGTTTTACAATTAATGAATTATCAACTAGTTAGTTCAATGTACTTTGGAGGTCACTTGCGGGATGGCAGTCGCGCGTTTTAGCAAGGGGGGAGTGTGTGTGTGGTGGTGAAGGCGAATTGATGCGATGCAACGCAAAGCGGCAAAGCCGGGACGGATAGGAAAGGGTTTACGTAGACGGAGTACGTTGGTGTTGTCTTTTCTTGGGTGCGGCGGGAATATCATGTTTGACATGTGCCAGTGGTCGGGAGAGGCAGTGCCGGGGACCCGGGGGGGGGTAGATGGTTGGAATGCGCAGCAAGACAGGGAATAGAAAGGCATGAGCGGCGAAACCGATAGGGAACATGTACTTTGTAGATAGGAGCAAATAGGGATGTCGGGGGGGGAGAGTAGTACAACAGTACAAGAAGGACAGGTGAGAGCCTGGCGCAGCGCGTCACTGCCACATGGTAGGCCTTCGGATCGGGACGGAGAGGAACGATCTTGTTAGGCAGCTCTCGCTGGGGGTGTGTGGGCGCAGACGGTGCGGACTGTGAGGCATTTGAAACGGAAGTCCGGATACTACTAGACGGGACAGATAACGTCAGGGATGAATGGGCAAAACGGACAGAGATGGCTGGGGGCGAGATAACGGTGGACTGGGCCATATGTAGTGACAAACACAGATTGTGTACCAAGTAGTTAGGCATGTGTGCCTGGGGGCCTGGCGTCGATACGGGTGCGAGATGTGTGTTGTGGAAGCGATTGAGTGTGTAGATGAAGGGCGTGGGGGTTGATTTTTGTCCATTTCCTTTTACGGAAGTTGCTTTCGCTCCGGGACAACAGGCTCTGTTTCTGCTACCGACTACAGACATGGGATGATGCGTTATGGGAAAAGAGCCTGTTGGGCAGGCATACCTTTTGTCAACAAGTTGTGCCCGATATTCTTGAGCGAGACGCAGGGTAGGGTAGGTCGTGGTCGGGTAGGCGTGCATGCAAAGTGGCGGACTATTTTTATTTTATTTTTTTCTGACCGCTGCCGAGAAATTGAATCATGTAGCTGCAGAAGGAGAGGAGAGAAAAGATAGCTTGAAAAGAGGGATTTGGAACAAGGAGACAAGAGGCGGTCATGTTGTGAGAGCAGAGAGAGGCATGGCAAAAGGGTATAAGTGGTTGGCTTTGACAGCTGGAACAGAGCGGCCATTGTAGAGGAGGAAAAGCTGCGCCAAAAGGTGGTGTAACCCCAAAAGAGGCACTGGTCATGGGGAGAGGATTATTATTAGTTAGGCATGGCGCGAATAGAATGCGAACAAGGCATGAAATGTGCCCTTGTAGGCAGGCAGGCGGTGGGTGGGCGTGGGATGGCGATGCGCATTTGGAAGGTTGCGACGGAGCTGGACATTGGGATGCCTTGGCATTTTCGCCCATTGCGGCAGGCCCAGCTGCTGCAAGAAGGAACAATAAAACAGTGTTGGACCGGGAAGAGCGGTAAACCAAAAAAAAAACGAGGGCTTGCATCAAAAAAACACAACATGTAATTCGTACGCCTGGCATATGCCCTTGTTGAGACGGGAAGCTGAAGTGAGTGGCTAAGCAAAAAGAGCCCAGAACGTTGTTCTGGAAAATAAGCTCGGGGGTAAATGTTTACACACCCTCTCCTCTTTTTTTTTTCTCGTCTTTTTTTTTTCATTTTATTGCAAGTTTTATTTTTATGCGGTGCTTGTACAAATTACAATTTGTTTGATTCGACCTTGCCGGGCAAAGTCGGAGAAGGCCGGTTGCATGCAACAGACGCGCGCGAGTAGGTTTTTACTGGGCCCGGCGCAAGGCCCGGACTTGTTCCGTTTTTTAGAAATAAAAAAAAATACGAAGAAAAAAGGGTGAAACTTTGACTCGTCAAAACAAAGCACACGGCCACACGGCACAAACGAGCCGAGAGTCGAGTGGTTGGACCCGTGGTTCTACAACATCCCATCTGACCTGTTTTACACGAACAAATCCTGGCCCAGCAGGTTTATCCATAACGAGGCTGAACAAAAAAGTGCCGGCGCAAGCCGCGGTTGGCCAACGGACACTCCTGCCCTCGTTCGTGAAAACTCGGAACATGATGAAGAAAAATTGAGCCGCAGCGACGGTTGGAGGGGGGCGTGTGCAGGCGGGCTGGGCTTGGCTTTGCGGGGAGAGCGCCAGTGGGAGCGTCTTTTTAGTGGGCGAGCGAGCCACAGGGGCGGGGGAGTCTGGGCGGGGGAGTCTGGGTCTGCAGGGGACATGGCAGAGGGGGAACAATGCACAGCGACAGCCCCAGCTGGACGAGGGAGAGTACAGGTTTGGTTATTGGGACGTTTTGCCTTTTTATTCGCATTTTTGCATATATATATATATTCTCGCCCATCTTCAAGTTTCATCTTCATCAAGTCTCGTATCCCCACCCCTAATCCATTCATCCATTATGAATTCCTCGCAGCTCACATCACAACTCGCATGTCCCCCTTAGCAAAGCAGTGGCTTAGACCCCACGACGGGCTGCCCTAGCGGAGCCGCCACTTGGGCACCACTGGCCCTGGCCCCCCCAGACTTGAACTTTTTCGTCCGTCAGGTGGTCTGTTGGTATTTTTAAAAAAAGTCGGAGTGGCTGGCCAACGCTTGAACAGCCTTTTTCAGTGTATCAAAATGGAGTATCAGTACTACCTCCTAACTTAGTACTAAGAGAATGGTCCACATAGGTCCAAAAAGATGCGTGCATGCATTTGCCCTCTACTGCACACCCCCTCGATATACCAGTAGCGTACCAGTATTCCTCATCATTCCGATATCCATATGCACCTTTCAATTTCGAACCATTATTCGTTTATTGTTTCTTGTCCATTTTATTTCCTCCCCGTACCTGGCCGTGGGTAGCGTATATTTGCGTCCATTGGGTCGAAATTGGGCGCCCATCTTACTTGCCCTGTAGCCACTAATACCACTACTACCTCCAGCGTACCGAGTACAAAGTATAGCACCCAGGATTCCAGTCAAATTTTACACAATTTTAGTATTGTAGGGATCTTCGTCTGCAATCTCCTACTCTTATTCTTCATGTCCCCTGGTATTCTCAATATTCTCATTACTTCGTACAACGTCTCGTGAGTCGTCTTGTTCCTCGCCCGTCGTATGGTGGAACCCCCGCGCCTCCCCCCCGGAAACGCCCCCCCCAAGCTCGGGTCGGCGCCGTCATCTGACGAAACCAGCAATCCAGACCTGGGTCTGCTTTTCGCTTTTCGTCTCTCTGGCTGCGTTTACTGCCATGCCCTTTTTTTTTTTGCCCCCCTCGTGATGATTCGACGGGGATCATTGGGATCATTGTGAAACTCAATGGCGTCTGCTCGTACGTTGGTTTCTCAACCTGCTCCGGCTACACCCCCCTGGCCGGGGCCACCGCTCCTTCTCCGTCTACCGCCGGTCCGTCTCTGACTCCTGAGAGTGAAGTGACTCTTTTCAGATCAAAACGGCCCGTCCCCAAATGGTGGCTAGTGGGAGTGGTAGAATCTAGAATCTAGCTGCCAATTTCCCCGCGTCCGGCAAGACAATGGGCCCAGGAACAATCAGATGCGCACTCTTCTTGTTGCAGCCCATTTGCCGTCATCCGGCATCATGTCTCTACTACTGTACTACTACTGGTAACTGGTTAGTTGGCGCTCATGCTCCTCTAGTTGCCTTGAATGCTCCTCAAGTTGCTTCCATGATTGGCGTTATCATGGGCTCATGACGCCAGCATTTTGCCTATTTAGACGTAGCTTTGGGACAACGAGCAGCCTATCATGAGCTAGCTCTGCCACGGGTCGTTTTCTCTTGTTGCGAGACGATGACGGCGGACTGACAATGCCTTCCAAATCGCTTCTTTCCGGCAGCCGCGTTGACGGCCAAACTGGCTTACTACATGTCTCGTAAATCCCGGGATGGCCCTTTTCAATGCGTCTTTGTATTAGAGTAAATGAATCGTCAGATCAATTCGTCTTTATATATATATCAGGGAATTCTGCCTCTCATTCGCTTTTGATTTTTGACTCTTGAGCAACAAGCAACAAATTGCCATTCTCAACCCCCATTCTCTCTCTCTGCCTTGTTCAACGGCAGTTTATCCATTGCCACTGCTACCTTGAATCGATTTTGCTGCCTCGCCATTTTCAGTATACGATACATAGTATTTGGCGCACGACTTCGTTTCTTTCCTCATCCGACGTCTTGGTGTTACAGCCTGATTCAACAAGGACAGCTGCCAAACGCCACGCCAGCTCGACACAGCCGTCCTGCACTGCAACGACCTAACTAGTTATTGCATCCCGTTTATTCCAACAGCACAGTTCAAAAATCGAATAAGCACACGCCCTTTATTTTTCAGTGGACTTCTTCCAAGGAAAGCAAAAGAAAAAAGGACCCATCCATTGACGAGCCTCGACATACTGATCCAAGAGTACCTACCCTCGCTACACTCTCTCTCTCTCTCTCTTCCGAAATAATATCGTGCCCCGACGCCTTGGTCGCACAGCCCTGTCCACACATCTTTTTTTACTTGTTACCAATAGTTACTTAACTACTTTTCTCGACTTGTTCTTTGGCGCCCGCCATCTCTGCCCCAGAACCACCAACTCCATTTTTCGCCCCATGCTCCAAGAGTCTACTGGGGGATTTACACACACCGCGCCGCAACAGAACATCACGTTGCTGCCTTGAGCCTCTGTTTTGCCCGCCTTGCAATTTTGATTCATCGCTGTTTTCGACACCGACTGATTCTGAGCCGCCCGACGTCTGCTCTGCAAACTTGAAACTTTCAAAAAACCCGCTCGGAAGACGGTGCAACCTGTTCTTGTACCGACGGCCTCGCCCAAAATCGTCCCGGCTTCTTCCACCCCTTGCCAAATCCTTGTGCAAAGCACACGCCTCGCCCTTTTACGCAATACAAACCTTCGTGTTGGCACTAGCTACTAACTAGGTAAACTACTGGTGCTTAGTAGCCAGAACCGCACACCCCTCCCTCGTCACATCAGGCCGGCCATCCCCCCCCCCCCCAGCCAAATCTCCCGGCCGATTCCACTCTGTGGAGCGCAGCTTTGAATTCCTCGTCTTCGTCCTCGAATACGTCCCGGAACCGCCTCTTCTCCCCCTCCCCCTCCTCCGTCCTACTCCCTCTTGGCTACGCACTCACACACACACATATACAAGACGTACCTGTCCCGTACCGTTTCAACCTGATCGTTGTGCAAGTGATTCCTGCACACGCCCCCCTTCCCACTCTTGCACCCGTCGCCCCAATCACTTCTCGTCCATTATCCACTCCCACCCCCGCTGAGTTGCCCCGGCTCAAGAAGCGTTCCAGGCAGCTGAAGATCCAACTACTTGTTCCGTCACGACAAGAGAACTTTGAAAAAAAAAGCCTTGTGGAGGCCCGTTCCCGAAAGTACTTTAATAGCCATGGACCCCGTCGTCAGAACCGCTTCTCCCTATCCTGATCCAACAGTCAAAGGCCCTAGATCTGTTCTTCAAGCTCGCCGTCCGGATTTGCGCAGAAGTATGCTACTCTTCCTTCTTCTTGGCACTTATACATGGACAATGTGTCCTGTCTATGCCTCCTGCCTCCCACCACACCGCTGACAAGCCCATCTAGTGATTTCCAACAGTGTTAACAAGACCTCCCTCCACCCCGGTGGTGTTCAGTACGTCTCGTCGCGCTCTGCTCTCATCCATCACACCCATCACTAACACAACACAACACAGGCCTCACCGCGAGCACACCGAGCTTGAGGAGGAGCTCCACGAGACCGCTCACATTGACTACGACCACGTCGCCATTGTAAGTCCCGAGAGACAGCCTCGTTGACCACAAGGACAAGCTTCAATCGCTAACACGGTCTCTAGATCCACAACCCCTCCGTTGCCGCTCTCTACGAAGATGCTCTGGTACGTAGCACAACACGTGCGATGCCGGCACTGGATGCCGAGCTCGCTGGGCCACTCGGGTGTGCCCATTTCTGTGCGACGCACACAAAGCTAACGGTTGACCCAAGGTTTACGAGACGGGCTCCGCCATCACCGACTCCGGTGCTCTGACTGCCTACTCCGGCGCCAAGACTGGCCGCTCTCCCCTCGACAAGCGAATTGTCCAGGAGGACTCGTCAAAAGATGACATTTGGTGGGGACCCGTCAACAAGCCCATGACTCCCGAGGTAGGTTTATTCTTGTCATGATGCATTATTTTGTTTCTTCTCCTCCCTTGCCCTGCCCTCCACCGCCGAGTCGTCCCGTCGGGCGCGGCACGCGACACACCTTGGGGGGCGGGCGCAGTGCATACAGCCTAGCTCCAGCCCGGCCCATGCGGGCAGTTCGCTGCACCTCTGCGCCGCATTCTACCTTTGCGCCGCCGGCCTTGCATCTGAGACTGGCTCAAGAGAGCCGCATCCTCAGCTCTGCGAACCCGTTCCCAACCTGTCGCGGCCTTGGTGCCTTGCCCTGCTTTGGGAATACCTTGCATGCATGGATCCGGCAATGATGCAACCCCGCATCAATGAATGCATGTGATGGCCTGGATTTTCGCCCCCCTCCCCTTGCCTTGGCCTGCCTTGCGCTTGTGCAGCTGGCTGGGGTGGCCCCTCGGTTCTGCCTTTTTGTCTGCTGGGTTTTTGACGTCTCGCGCTGTTCCGCTCTCGTCACTGCCCCGCAGCACCGAAACAGCCGAGTATAAGCGGAGCACGGCGTGTCCTCGTGGCCGCTGCTCTTCCGACTCGTCCCGGCTACTTTCGCCTACCCCACCTAAGTAGTTGGGCCAATGAGCAAGTGCTTATTGCCCAGGCTCGTGCCTGCCCAATTGGGAAGCTCCACAGCCTCACTCGCCGACCATGCCAGTGCCTTCACTGCCAGACTTTCCTATACATTTTGCTTTCACTAGGCCATTGTCATCATCAACATCATCAGTACTATACGCAGCCGCTAACAGAATGCACAGGTCTGGAAAATCAACCGCGAACGTGCCGTCGACTACCTCAACACCCGCAACCGCATCTACGTCGTCGACGGTTATGCTGGCTGGGATATCAAGTACCGCATCAAGGTCCGCGTCATCTGCGCCCGTGCCTACCATGCTCTCTTCATGCGCAACATGTTGATCCGCCCTCCTCGTGAGGAGCTCGAGGGATTCCACCCCGACTACACAATCTACAACGCTGGTACCTTCCCTGCCAACCGTTACACCGAAGGCATGACCTCTGCCACCTCGGTCGCCATCAACTTCGCTGCCAAGGAGATGGTCATCCTCGGTACCGAGTACGCCGGCGAAATGAAGAAAGGAGTATTCACCGTCCTCTTCTACGAAATGCCCATCAAGCACAACGTCCTCACCCTGCACTCCTCCGCCAACGAGGGCAAGGGCGGTGATGTCACCCTCTTCTTTGGTCTCTCTGGTACCGGCAAGACCACCCTGTCTGCCGACCCCAACCGTGCTCTGATCGGTGACGATGAGCACTGCTGGAGTGACAACGGTGTCTTCAACATTGAGGGTGGCTGCTACGCCAAGTGCATTGGTCTCTCTGCTGAGAAGGAGCCCGATATTTACGGCGCCATCCGCTACGGCTCCGTCCTCGAAAACGTCGTCTTCGACCCCAGCACCCGTGCCGTCGACTACGACGACAGCACCCTCACCGAGAACACCCGCTGCGCCTACCCCATCGAGTACATCTCCAACGCCAAGATTCCTTGCCTCTCCACCAACATGCCCACCAACATTATCCTCTTGACTTGCGATGCCCGCGGTGTCCTGCCTCCCATCTCCAAGCTCGACCGCAACCAGACCATGTTCCACTTCATCTCTGGTTACACCTCCAAGATGGCCGGCACTGAGGACGGTGTCACCGAACCCCAGGCCACCTTCTCGTCGTGCTTCGCCCAGCCTTTCCTGGCCCTGCACCCCATGCGCTACGCCAAGATGTTGGCTGACCGCATCGAGGCCAACAACGCCAACGCCTGGCTCCTCAACACCGGCTGGGTTGGCGCCGGTTTCTCCCAGGGTGGCAAGCGCTGCCCCCTCAAGTACACCCGTGCCATCCTCGACGCCATCCACAGCGGCGAGCTCGCCAAGGTTCAATTCGAGAACTACGACATCTTCAACCTGCAGGTCCCCACCACCTGCCCCAACGTCCCGGACGACATGCTCAACCCCAAGAAGGCTTGGACCGCTGGCGCCGAAAGCTTCGAGGCCGAGGTCAAGAAGCTTGGCGGTCTCTTCAACGAGAACTTCAAGAAGTACGAGAGCGAGGCCACTCCCGAGGTTATCAAGGCCGGTCCGTCGGTCTAGGTGGCTCGATAGTGTGTCCTTGTTTACACGCACACTCTGCATATGCCGTGACGGCTTGAACAACAGAACAGATCTGATGAGGCCTTGAAAATTTTATAATTTTTCCTTTGTCGAACCATTTCCTATGAATTGTCTGGGAAAGGATGGGAACTCTGGCGTTTTTGCTTCATTTACACCATTAGTCCAAGATAGAATGGCCACTGCCATGAATACATTTTCATGAACACTTTTGATGCTTCCAATTTATGCATGTCTGCCCTTGACCACCTATGCAGTCTGAGATGTCTTTTCGATGCAAACAGGATGCAGTTGGGATAACTTTTCGATGTACAGGATGCAGCCTTTACGATGTAAACAGAAAGGCCCCCATTGGTCAGTCAGCCTGACGCCACCAAATCGCGATTGCTGAGCACATGACACACACCTCTACCGCTGGCGCCATGCAGTCAGGAGCTTATTCTGGCGACCGAGTATACGCATCAGGCCGTTGAAAACGGGTCTTTGGCGGCTTCAAACTTTTGTGCAAGGCATATGGGTGCAGAAACACAACCCACTGAGCGACGTGTGTGGTGACTGGAAGCCGACGGGAACTCGAGAAGCTTGAGTACCCCAAAGCAGACGAATACATTTGGAACCAGTGGAATTTTTCTTGAATGTTTTTTTTCCTGTATTTTTTTTAAAGAGAAATATAGTGTGATGACTGAGTCAACAGAAATTTATCGGCTCAAGGTATAAGAATGTAATTTTTTTGGTTTCAAAAGGCGGCCTTTGTACAGGCTATGCCGCGTAGCACAATTGAGTAGTATACTTAGTATGTATAGACAAAGTGCGGGTTCTCCTTGTCAGTCATGTTGGCCCATGCCTCGGGCGACTTGTACGCCTCCTCATTTTGCTTCGTCTTGTCGGCGCGGCGGTGATTCATCCAGGCGTAGTAGACAAAGAGGAGGAATGTAACGAATGCGCAGCCAGCTTGGGTGCCCATGACGGCAAGCTTGGCTGGGCGGAAGTCGGGGGCGTCGCGGGCCTGGAAGGTCTGGGGACCGATAATGTTCCCCAGAGAAAAGGAGCCAGCAATGACAGCGCAGGCAAAGGCGCGCTTTGTGGCACCGGCGACGTTGACGACGGTCCAGTTGTAAAAGATGGCCAGGGGAGCAACGACGGCATTGACCAGGTAGATGCCCGCAAGGATGCCGGAGCGGTTGGTGGTCGGAAGGAAAGACATGAGGGCGCCGCCGATAATGGCCGGGATAATGCAGGCAATGATCCAAGCCCAGCGGTGGGAGCCGTGGCGGATGCCGAAGCCGACCATGAGGGTGAAGAAGATGCTAACGACGCCAGAAGGCATGTTCATGAGGGCAGCCTGCTTGGGCGAGTATTTGAGGTTGCGGATCAAAGTAGCAGAGTAGGTGGTGATGACACCGCTAGAGACGGACAGCAAGACGACGGCGACGAGCAGGAGCCAGATCTGGGGGTCAAGGAGAGCCTCGAAAATCTCCTTGACGCGGAACTTCTTGGACGAGATGCCAGTCTGGTTGACGGAGACGTGCTTGAGAAGAGCGAGCTTCTCGACGTTGGAGAGCCAGGGCGCCTGCATGGGGGTATCGGGTAGGAAGACGATGACGCAGATACCGATGGCGATGGTGATGCAGCCAAGCGTCAGAAACATGGTGCGCCATCCGGAAAGCGCGGCGCCGGGGGTGATGTGCTGGAAGCCGTACGAGATGGCGCCGCCGAGGATCTGGCCGAGTCCGAGGCCGAGATACCAGAAGGAGAAGCGCGGGGCCTGCTCCGACTTGGTGTACCACTGGCTGCTGATGAGCATGAGGGAGGGGCCAATGGTGGCCTCGAAGATGCCGAGAAAGACGCGGGAGACGAGCAGGGTCTGGGCGTTGTGGGCGGCGGCGCCGCATGCCGTGGCGATGCCCCAGAGGGTGACGTTGAGGCCGAGCCACTTTGCGCTGGGCAGGACCTGGAGCAGGTAGATGTTGGGGATCTCGAAGCAGAGGAGGCCGACGAAGAGGTAGGTGGCAATGTTGGAGAAGTCGTTGCCGGAAAAGCCGAGGTCCTTGGGCATGCCCATGACGGCGGCGTAGTTGTAGATGACCTTGTCGAGGAACTGGAGCGTGTAGCAGCAGAACATGAGGGGCACGATGCGCCAGTCGACCTTGCGGCGGAGCGCGGGCAGGTGGACGCCGTCGACCTCGCGCTCGTCGATGGGGCCGACGCTCTGGAGGAAGCGCCAGGCCGTGTCGACGTCGGAGCCGGCGGACGCGGGACGCGAGGCGACGACATCGTCGTGCTTCTCGGAGCCGCCAGATGACGAGTTGGCGCGAGGGGCGCTGGCGGCGCCGAGCTTTTCGGCGTCGGGGGCAGACATGATTTGTCGGTTGAGGAGAAGAGTAGATGAGATGGGAAAGGGGGGGGGGGGGGATATGTATCAAAGTACTGAGCTTTGGGACAATTCCAAGTTGGAACGAGTGCTCAGGGCACGTCTATTGGAAGACGCAACGGGGGCTCTCTCTGTTGTCCTGCAATCGCTCAGCGATGGAGAGATGGAGTTAGATAGAGAGGGGGGGAACAGACGAAATGGACCTCGAAGAGGGCACCATTGGCATTAAAGGCGAAAAAGAAAACGATCAATTCGGGGCGTGGGCACGAGGCGTTTTGGGCGAGACCTTTCAAAATGTGTGTTTGCGCTCCCGCCCTTGTCTTGGACGGAGTTGGACCCTTGTCGGCTGGGGCGCTACTGATAATAACCAGGTGAAAAGTGGTGGAGGTACAAAACTAGCCAGGTGGGTGGGTGGTGGTGGGCAACGTTTTGGCCCGAGTTTTGGGTAGCGTCGAGGGCCGCGGATCGAACAGGGAAAAGAAAAAAGAAAAGGCGTGGATCGAGGGCGAAAAGACGGGGACAGAGGAGAATATTGAAAGCACATAGATGAGGTGCTGGAACGGACCCAATGTTGTCCGTTTGCTTGGCTCGGCGATGATGTCGCAGAGTTGCGAATACCGACCAGGGGGGGTAGCGTTAATCCGTACCATGACCAGCAATCAGACAACCAGTCAGCCTCTTTCGTTCATGAGTCCATTGATTTGTCTTTGTTTTTTTGCTTGAATTTTCTTCTCTTCTCTTCTTTCATTACATAGCTGCCCGAAGTTGTGCTTCGTCACCAATCATGGCAAGAACAACTTCCAGTCCCGACTCCCTGTTCCCAGCTGACAGGCATCTTAACCGTTAGCGGCTTGGCGGTTCTTCTTGGCTCATGTCCACCATGTCCACTAAAAGATGAGCGGGCCAGCCAGCGCAAAATCCCCTCCCCCCCCCCCGATGCAGAGCCCACAAGGAAAGCCACCGACCGGGACGGCTTCTTTTTTACTGCGCCCTTGCGCCCACGCGAACGGACCCCTCTACTTGGGCACCATCTCGCTATTCTGCGCTTCCTCGAGTCACGGCCATCAACTCGATTTGCCCCTCCGCCTCATCGCATTACCCTCGTCCGTCTCCAGTCAGTCGGCGCCCGTCTTGCCCCCAATCGCATCCGATGATACGGAAGTCAAACGGCACGGCTTTCCAATATCCACAGCAAAGGGAGGGGCAAGCTCGTGGCTGTCCCACAGCACATCAATGTATCCCAACAAGCCAGTCTTGCTTTATTACGAACAACAATACATCAACTCTATCATATATGGCCAATCGGGGCAACCAAATACCTCGCTGTGTCTACCAAGTAAGACGGTGGGCTGAACCGATACACGTCAACGCCTCCAAGCCAACGCTTGCGCCACTGGCTCTGGCACTTGTCGACCAGGCTGCCCCGCCTTGTACAATACGAACTACGGATACTTTACTTCTACATCGATATTCACATGTATACAGGTAGATGCGCATTGTCCAAGTACTCCAAACTCTCGCTCGTCCATCATGTACTTGTTTCAGCTGTCAAGCAAGAAAAAGAAACCAAAGACACGAGACCCAAGCAAAACCACCGGAATCAAGGCAAAGCAAAGCCTAATACTAGTTGTTACTTGTATTAATTAGTCTGCTTGTAGCAGACCCACCGTCTTCCAAGTCTCGAGCGAGGGATGATAACTAGAACCAGAGCGATGCGACAACTACATACCTAGTTTTCGAGGTCGCCGCCACCAATAAGCATCCGTCTCTTGACTGTACAAACACGGAGCAGGCCTTTTCTGTTGCATTCTTCCGCCCAATGCAGGGACGATGTGGAACACCTACAACGATTTGCATGTGCCACCGCGGAAATGCTCACTGGCGGGCTGCAACGTTGTCTACACCAAAAATTCTACATTGCGCCGGCTGCACTGGAAATGAGTCTTGACACATCCCCGTCCTGCGGAAAACGGCCTCGCATGACTGTTCGTAGCCTTGCCGCAGCCTCGCATCAGCCTCGCTATCTACCATCGGCAATGCCGTTATCAGTGCCTGCTATTCAAGTCTCGACTTGCATTACAGGCGACGTCTACTCTATCTTTGCGACGCTTGCCTTTCACTAACACCGACGGGCCATTTCCCAGTTGACGAGTTTCATTCGGACAAGGAACATGAGATGAAGAAATCGATAGATTATAAACTGCGCCTCAACCCAATAACGTTAGCGGTCCAGCTTCTCAATTCGTACATCGACTTCTCTTGGACTAGGTGAATTATGAGCAAAGTACTATGCTGTCCGGTCCGGGGATGACATCCTTTGCATGGTTGCACGATGGAAACGTGTTGATGGTTATTCCTGTATATTTCACGACCTCAACGCATACAGTGTACGCATACCACAGTGGTCCATAATGACCTGGCGCCAGAGAATGCTAGGCTGGAGTGGCAGATATCACACTACAATGCGATTCCTCTGCGTCTCGATCGAGGATTCACAGCAAGATCAGGTTTTTACTGTCAGTCTTTCCTGTCAGCCTACCCTGAACATCGCCCCGTCGGCCTCTTTTCACTCATTTGACACCACCACTCTGCGAATAAGCCCAATTCCACCTGCATAGCCAAGACTTTGCAGTGCCTTTGCTCGGGGGCCGTGGACGGCGGCGTGGCGCCGCTAACAAATGACTTCCCCCACCCTCCGCATAGTCAAAGAACGAGATCCTGTGATGTTGCTGCAGTGCATTCGCAGTCGGGCCGCGGATTCTGGATACTGCGTGCCCACCTCTGCTGTCGTCTCAGGTCAGACGCAATGCAACACAGCAGAGACTAGTCAGTCAATTTGCAATATCCAGTTTTCCGCGTACTGTCAAGTCCTCCAGGGGCGACTTTCTCTTGACGGATGATGTATGTCGCGCACCGATGAGGCCTCCTCATCCTGAACGTCAACGTTGTACTTTGAACGAACATCCTTGAACTTGTTGCTTATGCAAATGCGCGCTTGTCTTGGTCTGTTTACTTGGCGGCGAAGATGTTCGACCAAAGGACGCGGCGCTCTCTAGTTAGCAACCGTCGGAGATGTAGAAACCTGGCAATGCCCCCCACGCGGCCTCTGAATTTCTAGAAAAGCTCTTAGCACTCTTCTTCGAACGGTTTCCATGCAGAGTAGGCGCCGTCGACAACGTCTCGCGAAGTTGCAAGTGGACATGAGACCAACTATAAAATTCGACCCTCTCCATCCGGCATTGGTCGGTAACTTGCTCCATAGATAAGGCTAGGCTGGTCACTACGGCTAAAAGGGTCAATCTGCCTGGAAACTTGGAAGTTCGGGAACGTTTTCGTTACGTGATGATGCAGAGCCAAGCGAGTCACGAAATTACGTAACTACATGTACAAATTACATGACGATGACTGGTCACGAACCCCTACCCTTAGCACGGTTGAATAACAGACGGCGTGGCCTATGGTAACTCAGACACCATGTCGCACGAGGATTTGCTGGTAATGGGTCGAGTGACGACGGCAAGGGGGCTCTCCCGTCGGAATGTAAATTAGCATTACAATCATGAACCCCGTTTTCTTGCTCCGAGGGCCAAGACGGTACTAGTGATGAGCGTCCTTTTCCATTTGCGAGAAGCTAGTGCGCCGTTGTTGGGTAATACTTGAATACTTGTTTGTACAAGGATAAATTTCCCTCTTCAACGCGGGCCTTTTTAGTTTTAGTCCATGTCGATCAGCTTGCACTAGGCACGGTGTACCGGATATTCCAGACTGAAAAAGGAAGCTAGTTAGTACCTGACGAAAGTTCTTGTCCATGGACCGAGTTAGCCCGGTGCCAACTTGGAAATCGGTGGTTGGAAGAAGGGGTTTGCGACAACTGTTTAAGGGAAGAGTGCGAGAGAAGAAGCAACCTGCATTGCATGGGCTCACTTTGATACGAAATCTAGCCATTATAGCCATGGGTTCGCCTGCTATATCAGTACCCATTGGAGATTTTGAACCACGGCCCGTTCAAAGTAGATTGGCCGAGAGTAGCAAATAAGCGCATGAGCCGGCTCCCGTTCCCATTCGCCCCAGGAAAGTATGCGGAGAGGGGGGGTGGCAACCCGTCTTTTGCAATCAATATTGTATGCAGAAAGAAAACGACGCCTGCAGCAATGCAAGGCATGGATGAGGCACAGGTGGAGAGGCAGCTGAAATGCGCAGCACGCATTGGGGGCTGTTTTGAGTAAATGGTGATAATAAGCAGCCCGCTTGGCGACTGCAGGCAAAGCCGGCAGGGCTGCGTAACGGTGAATTCGTGTGTATGCGAAAAAAGTCTTGGCTTTTGCCCATTCCTATCAAAAAAACAGCAACGCCACAAGTGGCCGATTTTCCATCGGATAAATTGGATAGGGGGCCGTTTTTGCAGAAGAATTGGTAATTGGTCCTTTCGTTTGTGAAATTATAGTTACCCAGTTTCTACCGCTCTAGTTTGATGGAGACGGGCGGGGAGGAGCGGAGAGCCGCCGGCATACGAGCGAAAAGATCTTCGAGAATTCGTTATTAGCGTGAAGAAGTCGATTCCACTTTTGCCAAAGGACCTTTTAACTCTTTTATTTTCCACGGCATAAATGCATAATGGTTTGCTAGGGGGGGTGTTCCGTCGGTCACAGATGGGGCAGGGATTTCGGATTTTTTGCTGCTCCCCTGGTAAGGTGGGTTATGCAGACGTGGAGAGACGGCGCAGTTATCCCACGCGTTCGGTCGCTGATGGTCCATTTTTGCGTCTAGTTTGTCATGATAAACAGGGGCGGCGAGCGAGAGAGATTGATACGCAGTCGATGGGTTGGGGGGGGGGAAGGCTCTCGCTAATAACACACTAGTCAACTTTTTCTTCATCGTTGGATGCGCGGGTACCAGGGTCCCAGTGGCTATACGAGCCATCGAACACATCGTCAAACGCAAATCAATACCAATGCTATAGAAGCGACTTGGCGACCCCAATACCATGACCCCCAAAGGCTAAAAGGTGGGAAAATCATGATCCGCCGGAAGCAAAAAAACAGGGACGGGGACAAGATCTGGAAAAGAAAAAAAAGCTTGTTGCTGTAGGTAGCCGTGGAGATGGATCGGCACCTTGTCTCGTGCGGCACCATTGCATCACGGGTACTGTGCGAGGCAGCTCGCGGAAGCTCTTCTCTCCGTTCTAGAAAAGAGCCTCGGGTTGGTGGCACAGTTGGATTGGCGGGGTTTGAGAACCCGGGACATGGAGTGAAACCTGACGACAAGGGTGGTTCCTAGAAGGACCACGGGGCAGTCTAGCAGGGAGCCGAGGAACGAGGAGTTCGTGGCATCGCACGGGGTAATAATAGTGATGATGAGGGATAATGAGGGAGAATGTTTTGGGTTCGAATCGGTTCGCATAAAGTGGCTCGTGTCTGAGATGTTGCGAGCCGTCGTCTGGGGTCACGGTTGTGTGTTGCAAGTGTGTCTGCTGTCTTTTTTTTTTGGTTTGGCATACATTTATTTCAGAGACGGATGCCAGCAAGGTCTTGTTGAACCCAACATTGCAAAGGCGGACCAAGGAGGTCTGTTCTCGTTGCACGAAAGCTTGCGGCAGGCAAAACGGTTCGGTACTAACAAGCGGTGTTGCGTCAGCGTTGGTCGTACACGGAGGATTTAATTCTGGGGCTAAAAAAGGGCAAGCGAGGCCAAAAAAGAAAAGAAAAAAGCCAAAAGATGAGATGAGAATTGGGCGAGTTGGTCAAGGCGGGCGAGGCCAGAAAAGCACAGACGATGATTGCCAGGTTGGTTGGCGAGATTGGTGCGGGTACTAGTTTGGCATGGCCCCCAATGCTACTAGCGGGCTAATTCGTTTGTATTTAGTGGCATTTTCCCAGACTGGTGGGCTTTATTTACCTAAATTATACTAGTTCAAATTGTATAACTTTCTTCAGCGCTGGGCGAGGCCGGTAAGGAAGTAGAGGAGGGCTTTCAAGTTGAGCCAACTCCTGTCTCACCTCGCGGCGGCGCAACCCCTCATGCCTTGACGCCGTTCATCCCACCCTCCTTACCCTCCTCCCTCCTTGCCTCCTCCTCACCACCCTCCTGAGGTATGGCAGCAGTTCGAGCCTTGGTGTGCCACACACACACACACACCCTCGAATCAGCCTCAGGGTTCTTTTCGCATACCGGCCCCAAAATGAGACACCTTTCCCCTCCTTCCACGCGAGTCGAGTGATTGCAACCGTTTATTTTTTCCTTGCTCTTCTTTCTTTTTATCCTCTGCCTCGCCTGCACCGTTGTCGCAGTTCACTAGTTAGCTAGCAAGGCTAGACCTAATAATGCACATGTCCAAGACATGGCCAGGTTCTTGATCAACACACACACACACACACATTGGGGCCAGCGGCACAAAATAATCCCCCTGCGTCCCATCCCATCATCTTGGTCCGCCCCAATGCTACCTTCTCTCGCCGGACCCAAAAATGCAACGCACCAATGGGGACAAGCCTGGTCTTGCCTCGCACAGAGAGGGGAGAGAGGGGGAGGGGGAGGCGCCAACCCAACCATGGATGGCTGACCTGCCAAACCCCCCCCCTGTCAGGCATTTGACCATTTCTTTTTTCATTTATTTCCTTCTTCTTTTTTCTTTTTTTCCCATGCGCTAAAAAGGACTTCAGGGAGCATGGAGAGACACCTCACACCTCCAAAACACCCTTCTTAGCTGCTCCACGTTGTGGTGGACTACCAAACATTACCTACCTAGTATTAATGTATACTCGCTCCGGCAAAGAAGCCGTTTCCTCTTGCTTCTTCTGGTCACCTGTGTCTCTCCTCTAGTTCAACTAGTTCTTTTTCTTCGATGAGCCTGTTCTTCGGGAGCCGGCTTCGATTTCGCTTTACTTAATCATCACCGTCGTCTTGTCTTGTCTGACATTCCGCTCCATTCCTTTCACTTGCTCTTCAGGCCACTCCCGATACCCTCAGCAGGTGAAAGAAGCTCTTGCCAGTCTGCGACTTTTTCTCTTTTTCTCTCCTTTATTATTCTTATAGCCTTCTATATTCTGTTATTACAACCTCTTCGCCCGCTTCTGCAGCCGACGGTCACTCTTCAACCCAACCCGCAAGACTTGGCCCACGATCCCTCCAAACGCCCACCAAGACACTTGGCAGATCCAAAGAGAGCCCAAGACTTCTTTCACCTTGTTCATACCTAATACCTAGACGATACCACCGCCTACTTCCCTCGGGCACACACCAAAGAGCTTTCCTCGTCCAGGCGCAACGCATCGCCCGCCGCCGCCGCCACCATGGTCTTCGTCGCCCACGGCTCTCCGGAGCTCGATGCGCAGTCCCAGTACAAGATGATCATCGCCGTGTGCGTCGTCATGTCCGGGCTGGCCACAATCATCGTCGGCGCGCGCATCTTCATTCGCAAGAAGAACAATCGCATCGCCGCCGACGACTGGATGTGCATCCTCGCCCTCGTCTTCGCCATTGCTTACTCGATCCTCTGCATCGTCCAGACCAAGTACGGCCTCGGCCTGATGCCCGCCAAGCGGCCCAAGGAGAACCTCATCCCCTACACGCGCGTCAACTACGCCGGCCGCCCCATCTACCAGGTCGGCATCAGCTTCTTCAAGATTGCCCTGCTCATCAGCTACCTGCGCCTGCTGCAGGGCACCGACAATCGCACATACCGCGTCGTCGTCTGGGCCGCCATTGCGTTTGTCTTTCTCAATCACCTGGGCAGCGCCCTCGCCCTCATCTTTAACTGCAATCCGGTACGACGAAATTGATGCTTTGAACAATCTCCATTCCCACAATGCCACCGTAGCACATACAGTTTTTGACTAACATGCGCCATGTCCAGGTTGACAAGTCGTGGAACCCCTCCAAACCGGGCACCTGCCTGCCCGCCGTCGCCTCGTTTACCGCCTACGCCGTGCTCACCATCATCTCGGACGTGCTCGTCGCCGTGCTCCCCATCCCGGTCCTGCTCAAGCTCAACATCCGGCTCGAGAAGAAGCTGGGCCTCATCGCCATCTTCGCGCTCGGCCTCTTCACCACGCTCTGCTCCATCCTGCGCTACACGCAAATCAACCGCATCCAGTTCGGCGACCACGACTCCACCATGCTCGTCGTCTGGGGCGTCATCGAGTTCAACGTCGGCAACATGGTCTCGTCGCTGCCCTTCCTCGCCCCCGTCTGCCTGCGCAAGGCAAAGGACTACCGCACCAAGCACTCCAAGTACGCCTACGGCTCCCACGGCAACAGCAAGAGTCGCGGGCCCGGCGCCGGCGCCAGCGCCGGCATCAAGGGCAGCGAGGCGTACAAGCTCACCGACGTCTCCCAGGACCGCAGCGCCTTTGCGGTCTCGCATACGCACGCCTCGTCGGGGGGTAGCGAGGAGAATATCCTGCAGAAGAATAATGCCATTATGAAGTCGGTCACGTACAGCGTCCGTGTCGAGGACGACGACGAACAAATGGGCAATCGTGCCCATTCGGCAACCCATATTTAAGAAATTTGAGCGCTGCCGCAAAACTTAGTACTCTCACCCCTCCGAATATATATCCCACGAGCATATACCACCACTACCCAGAACATATCTGCGCACTGCTTTTTTCTTTGTTCATTTTGGCAAAAGTCTTGCTTTTTGGAACTTGGATTTGCAATTGTTTGGCTGGAGAAGCACGGCATGATTTGTCTTTTTTTTTTCCAAATTTTTTTTTTCACACGACCAGACGTTTGCGCGCGCATCTAGCCGCACATCTGAACGACTACCTAGGGCTTTTATTTGACCTGGACTAACTACCATGGCTGTTGTTGCTTTCTTTTCCCTATTTCTTGGAAGTATTGTATTCCATTTACAGCGGTGCTCCTTTACAGGACCATCGAGAGCATGTACGAGATGAGGAGCCACGGACGCATATAATGTACAGCACGCGGGATTCGAGAAAAGAATCACAAAACCTACCTTTGCATCCTCCTTGACATTGTTCCCTGCAGTGATGGCGTACGTAACCGAGGCAGGCATAACGATCTGCATCTATCTACAGCCCTGCGCATAGTGATGCTCAATCGTATGAACTTGTTTTTTCTTCCGTATCTTTTACGATATTTGCTTCTGTGACAAGAGGCCGAGGCGCATCCTCTCGCCGCTTTCTGCTTTTGTGTCATGGCCCTGGCCCGGCAGTTTTGTGTAAAAAGCAAAGGGATCTTATCTTTTCTCCCTCCCTTGGTGTGTGCTCGGTCCTCAAAACCTAGGGTAGGGGAGGATCGAGGATCCGGCATCATCCCGACTTCTATCAAGGAAACCCCCATGTCGTCATTTGTGCTTTTTTTCTTTTTTGGAAGCGTCTGTGTGGCTTTTCTTGCTCAGAAACGGGCATTCATCCTGATTCGCAGACGAAATGGAGTAACTAGCCAAAGAGGGCGGCGCCAGCCAGCCACTTTTGGGGTTGAATACATTTGTGACTAGTTGTCAATGTGCCCAAGCGAGGACGCCACAGCAAAGAAAGACCCGATGATCAATGTGGCGGCGGGCCAACAACGGTGGCTACGCTGGCGGTGGGCGGTGGCGGTGGATTTGGTCAACGGACGGAGAATTAAATACTGCGATAAACATTATGCGCCTCTACATAGATTGAGCTGGATTCTTTTTTGCTTATTGTGCAAAGATGATTATTGAGTCCATATTTCTTATCCAGAGTTGCTAACTAGCGCACGTGTTGTCGTCACAAGTGCGGTGGTGGTGTAACCGCCAGCGCATTCACGGCACAACGTATACGCAAAGGTTCTTCATGCGCGCCGTCAGCAGCGGGCTCATGCCGTCAAAAGTCGCGGGCGGCCTGGCGTGAGGCAAAGATAGCCGGGCGCCGCGCAGACAATTGACCAACGCCTCGTACCGCGACAGCGCCTCGCGCAGCGCGGCCGTCGTCGACGCCCCCCCGGCCCGGAGCAGCTCCGGCACCACGTTGTTGGTCAAAGTCGGCGAGCGCATGGTTGGCGCCGCCGTCGCCGCGGACTGGTTTTGTAAAGTTAGCCTCGGTTCTAGTTCTGAATCATCTTCAAGGGATGGCCAGTTGAATGTCTCCTCTTTTCTTTTCCTTTCTTTTGCTCGTTGTGCGCCGCATTCCTGTTTGGTGCCGCCGCTTGTGCGAAGCTGAGAGAACTCCATGCCAAGCAACATTCTCCATGTCTCGCCTATTTTCAGAGCCGAGAGAAGCTGCTAGCGTTGCGTAACCCTGAGTGCTTACCTGCAGAACCGATAACGCAATGCACGAGAATGGACCCATGGGCCATGTGCTTGGAACGGAGGGATAGTTCTTTTCGAAAGAGCGGCGGAAAAAAAAAACGAAAAAAAAAAAGCAAAATCAGACAGTGACAAATGGTCAAGACTTACACATGGTCATGACGTGAAGCGACTCGCCCATCAGCACGGCGCGGCCCTTGGAGCGCACGTCCATCCCCAATCCATGAGCTTCAAGCCCTTGGCCTCGTCGCCCTCCCGCAGCTTCATCTCGGCCGGCGTGCACGACAGTTTGACGCCCAGCATCCAGATGGGCAGCGGCGTTCGCGCTCGCCTGGTCCTGCTCGGCAAAGAGTTCCTTTCGGAGCTGCGGACTTGGCGCCATCACATGCGACTACCAAAGCCGCCTTGGACGGCTGCGCCGTTGTAATGGATCCTCCATGGTCTTGGGACGATACAAAGGACATGTTCCACTACGAGCGCGTTAGCATACAAAGACATGAGGCTGTAACCAGTATTGAATGTGCTCCACGGTAGATGGCAAGCGAGTCAATGCCAAGCTGGACTACATTTCCTTCCAAAGCAGGAGACCTCAACGAGGACTTTTCTTTGTTTTTTTCTTCTTTTTCGTATTTCAATGTTGAGATGTGTCGCCAAGAGGCTCCGCGAACGCTGCCGAGTGACACGGAGCCGGGCCGTCTCGGGGCGCGGGTGGCGCGCCGCGGCGATGCGCTCGCCCGTCGTCAGGTTATAGTACGGAAAGCGGGACACGCGCCCGTCGGCGACTGCTTTCTGGTTGACGCAGGCCATTTGGCTGCAGGGAAGGTTGTGGTGGGCTGGGCGGGAAAGACGACAAAAGGGCTGCGTAGTAGTATCAGTTAACGTCGTGGCCAAGAGCTCTGGACGAAGCCGAGTCGACGCTTGAAAGTCAAGAGGTACAGTTTCGAGGGACCTACTTGATAAATAATATAGAACGGAGAGCAATAATAGAAGAAGAAAAATGCTGGAGCCAAGTTGAAAAAAATTAAGTTGGCTCGTGTGGTTCCATGGCTTGACGAAAATGCTTACTGTCAGCATCGCCGCGTCTCTGAAAAGCAAGAGGCGATTTCCGACTTGTGTCCCCATCTGCTTGATTTTTTTTGCCCTTCTTCTCTTCTTTTCTCGGCAAAGTCTCCGACCTTTCTGAACCTCAAAAAGCACAAGAGCCGTGAGCCAAGCATCATTCCTAGCAATTCAAGAGAGCGACGGAAAAACATGGTAGGTGATGGCCGCAACCACACTTCTTGTTTCAGACCACCCTTCCCAGTACCGGGGTCTACTTCGGCACCCGGATTCCGGCTTGTCAGGTCGTTGCGGACGAAATGCGCTGCCATTCCCGGTATGGGTGGCTCCAAACAAGCGCAAAGTCGGGCCACTGGGATTCTCTCGTCTTGTCTGCCTTGCCGGTGAGGTTATCCAACTCGCAACCAAAGCTGTACAAATTTGTACCGGCCAGTACGTAATTCCAAACCGGACTGGTCGCGCAGTATTTAACCCTACTTAATGATCTAAAGTGAAGGGATATTCCAGTCTTCGCTTCATCAGTCCCGTGAGAGGGATCCGGCGCCTCTATGTTCATGCAGTGTCAGTGGTCAGTGGTTGTGCATTGTCACACAACTTAGAGCCGTCCATTGAACAAGCCTCAACCACATGGAAACCGTGTCTTGACGTCACAAGCCCCTGCCGCAGTAGGCTGGTCCATCTGATAAATCAAGGCAATACACTCGTACCGGTATACCCCAGCTTCAGAGTGTCACTACTGTATCTGCATCGTCAACATGCATCCACCTATGCAAGCCATTGACTGGCGAGTTTGGCCATATTTGGGCGTATACCCAGTAATATGTATCCGTAGAGGCAAAGACTTCGTAGTTGTAGTCCGCGCATTCGCTGATATCCATGTCATACAAGTATACATTACACATCACACGTTGTTCACGTCGACACCTTTATAAACCATACATCATAGAGCTTAAAATTTTATTCATTTTTTTATCATGACCAAAACCTGGTAACACCGTAGATCCCTTTTAAACCCCAATGCATAAACGGGTATTACACTGCTTAAATCTTGAGGGCAGCCTCCTGAGCCTTCTGCTTCTTCAGGGTGCGCATCTGGGCCTTGGCGCCCATGATACCACCACCCCACTGTCTGCGGGCCTGGTCGTGCTTGTCCATGAAGCCATCCTTGATGGTGGAGATGAGCTTGGAGAGCTCAGTCTTGTCCTCGGAGCGGACCTCGGTGAAAGCGAGGACAGCGGCCGTCTTCTTGTTGACGACGGTGCCGAGACGGGCCTTGCCCTTGACGACGGCGTAGGGGACACCCATCTTCTTGCAGAGGGAGGGGAGGAAAACGACGAGCTCGATGGGGTCGACGTCGTTGGGGATCAGGACGAGGGAGGCCTTCTTGTTCTCAATGAGGCCGACAACGTGGTTGAGACCGTACTTGACGGTGTAGGGCTTCTTGGAGACATCCTCCTTCTTCTTGCCCTCCTTGACGGCGGTGGCCTCCTGGAGGAGACGCTCCTTCTTCTCCGTCTTGGTCTCGGGGCGGTACTTGTTCAGGAGCTTGAAGGCCTGAGCAGCGGTGTTCTTGTCGAGGACGTGGGAGAACTGAGCGATGGCAGGGGGAACCTTGACGCGCATCTGGAGAATCTTCTTCTGGCGCTGGAGGCGGACATACTCGGGCCACTTAACCATACGGGACAGGTTACGCTTGGGCTGGATGTCCTGGCCGATGCCAAAGTTGCGGGGGCGGCGCTCGATGAGAGGGTTCTGCACCCATGCCAGTCAGCGACATGTCAGTGAGCAAGTCATCTGGATACAACGTACCTTGGGAGCCTTCTTGGAGCCAGCCTTTCCCTGAGGGAAAGGGGCGGGGGCGACCTTCTTGCCAGTTTTGGGGGGCTGTCATTGAGAAAAGAAGACATCAGCATTGTGCTCTACGTAGCAGGTCTTCTCTGAACTCTAACGAGACCTCGCATCCGTCCTTTGCATTTCTGCGCCGGCGCGTATGCGAGAGTCTCCAGCCAAGCCAATCCATGGAAACAAGTCCTTTCTCGATGTAATATCGTGGAAGAGAAAAAGTTTCGATCGGATGTAGTTTGTATGCCGGCGCCGGGCGACGACGAGGGTGAATCGGAATCGCTTCGCGCGCGCGGCGTCAATTGTGCCGAAGCACAGTCGACTCACATAACTGTGGCCATAAGAGATAGAGAGGTTATTCCATGTTCAAGTACTCACCATATTGACGGATGGGCTGTGATGCTCTGGGTGTGCTGAAGCAAAAGTTGGAGACGCTTGGACAAGTTGAAATGTAGCAAAGTGTGAAATTGCACTGGTGGGCGAAAAATTAGGGCTTTCAGTGGGCCTCTGCCACAGGTTGTGGGTCGCAATTCGCTTCCAACTGTGGCTGGTTAACAACGTGGCTAATGCATCACGTGAAGTCGTGATGCGTGATGCGTGATGGCGTAAAGCTGGGTGAGTAGTTACCCTATACTTGAAAAAGTGAAATCATCGAAGTCGAGAGAACTCCCTTCGTGGCTCTACAGACTTACTACGCTACCGAGTTTCACAGTCGACAGAAGAGGTAGCGAGTTATCGCCTTGTCTGATATTCTGAAGGAAGACGACCGCTGCTCCGGGACCTCATCCCATATCTGAATTGTTCTCTCGCATCCACTGAAAATCCGGCATTATGCCGCCCTCACTTTGCATGCGATGCAGCGCACAAAAGGCCGTCGTCAAACGGCCCAAGAACCATCACAAGCTCTGCAAAGAGTGCTTCCTGGCAGTTTTCGAGGACGAGGTTCATCATACCATTATCTCATCCAAGTTGTTTCTGCGAGGCGAGAAAATTGCTATAGGTGCATCTGGTGGCAAAGACTCAACCGTCCTAGCTTCAGTTCTAAAGACACTCAACAAAAAACACGACTATGGGCTCGAGCTTGTGCTGCTTAGTGTAGACGAAGGTATCAAGGGATACAGAGATGACTCGCTCGAGACTGTGAAGCGCAACGCGGTTCAATATGAGATGCCCCTACAAATCGTTGGCTACGACACACTATATGGCTGGACCATGGATCAAGTTGTCGAGACTATTGGGAAAAAGGGAAATTGCACCTATTGTGGTGTTTTCAGACGACAAGCTCTCGATCGTGGCGCAAAACTGCTAGAGATCAAGCATGTCGTCACGGGTCACAATGCGGATGACATTGCTGAGACAGTACTCATGAATCTCCTCAGAGGAGACCTGTCGCGCCTCTCAAGGAGCACCAGCATCATCACCGGCAACTCATCAAACGACGTCAAAAGAAGCAAGCCACTGAAATATGCATACGAGAAGGAAATCGTCCTGTACGCCCACCACAAAAAGCTGGATTACTTCAGTACTGAGTGCATTTACAGCCCAGAGGCCTTCCGCGGGACAGCGAGAAGTTTAATCAAGAACCTGGAGAAGGTGCGCCCTAGTGCTATCCTGGACATCGTCCGCAGCGGCGAAGATCTTGCCCGTCTGACCCCAGACAAAGGCCAAGCGGCATGTGCGTGTGATGATGGTGAGGGTGCCGGCGGCTGTGGCTCTGCGAATGCGGCAACCTCTGGAAGCGAGCTGGCCCAAATGGAAGCTAGTCTCAAGCAAGAAAGTGAAGACACGGCGCTGGAGACTGAGATCACGTCCAAACCGAAAGAGGACATTGTCAAGCTTCCCGTCCGACCGAGACAGCGCAAAAGTCAGAAACGGGAGCCACCGCCCAGTCAGCTACAGACGCTTGGCACCTGCACTCGCTGCGGCTATATGTCGAGCCAAGAAATCTGTCAAGCATGCACATTGGTAGAGCGACTGAATAAAAATAGAGCAGATATAGCAATATAAATGACGATGCCATGCGGGACTCGCGGCCCCTCGCGGCCCCTCGCTGGCTACTTCTAGACATAGAAGACCAACATAATGACGCGCTGTGTAAGGATAATCCCTTCTTGTTTTCATATTTTTTATTATCGCCAGTATGGCCCCTAGCTGACAAGGCTTTGTTTGTATGTACATCGGGCTGCGTTTTGCCGTCGCACCCAGTTCGCGAGCTTCTATTTTGACTCCGCTAGTCGGTCGGTCGATTCGATTCGGTTAGTTGTAGCGTTTCTCGAGCTGTTTATAGTTAGTTTCATCATGTACATAGGAAGAGCGTTGCTCCAGCTTACCTTCCACCCGTTTGAGTACTCGAAGCCGAATGGAGCGTCGGGCTTGTCCGTCTGTCCACGAGGTCTCCCGGTGAGGCGGTTATCGCGCTCCATCATTTGCTGTTGGCCAGGTTAGCGCCAATTGTCACAAAAATGAACTGCACAGCGAACAGGACCGCGGCTTACCTTGTCCCACTGGTCAAGAGAGTAGCGAGGACGCTTGCCGTCGTTCTGCCAGGTACGAATAGCCGCGAGACCGGTTCCCGTGGCACCAAACATCTATAGGAACCCATTAGTTTTCGAAATCCTTATCGGAGGCGGCTGATCTCGAAAACATACGACAACCATGATGGCATATGGCAGCAGAGTCTCAAAGGGAAGAGGCATGTTTGCGGTTTGCTATGGGCGCGGAGTAGATCAATGCGTAGCTATCAATTCGATCGACCGTTGACCAATAATTTCCCCTCCGGTTGATGAGCGAATCGATATCGTGGCTGCTTTTTTGCTGTCGAGCGACCGGGTGACAATTGATCAAGGCTCGATTCGGCCTTTGGCGTAGCTTGCTCCAGACTCCAGTGTATGCCTGAGGCCGCGAATCATACCAGGCACTGGCGCTGCGCGACTGCACAGTTAGCGTGGCTTGGAATGCGCACGGCCTTGTGGGACGGAAATTGCTCGCTCGGTCTGCGAGGGGCCACATCGCGCGCACTGTACGCCCGCCAACCGCGACAGTGGTTCTCCGAAGACGTCGGAGACGCGACAGCTGGATAGGTACATTCGCGACTATTTTACCAGGCAAGGATTGCGCAAGCTGCACCTGCGCGGTAAGACTTCTAAATCTGCGCTGAGCGCTCCAGGCTAACATAGAATCTCTCAAGCTCCCCTATTCGTTCGTTGATGAGAAACGCGCCGTCGCAACGACAGGATGCCTGCAGTGTGTCGCAGTCCTAAGACCAGTCGCAGGCTACAAATTGACCGATATGCACAAATACAAACTTTTTGAAAACACCAGCGGAACCCGTTTGCCAAGACCAGAATGGCGAGCGCTCAAGACATGGAGGAACAGCTTCAGCAAAGCGTCATGATTTCAGAAGGTGGAGCGTACGAGTCTCCTCCGTCCGGCCCGGGCGTAGCGAATACGACTTCGGATAATGGCGACTTGGATATGAGCGATCGCGATGCATCCGGCGAAGAAATCGAAGAAGGAGACGAGGACGCCGAAGGAGAGGAGGACAACGACCTTCTACAACAGCAGATAAGCACGAGCCAACGATCGATAGTCGCCAGCGCGAAGCTCTCAAGTGACGACGAAGAAGACGATAGGGACTCTGACGATGATGGCGTCGATCTCGTCAAAATCCGAGCCGAATCCGATGACGAAGGCGATAGCGAAGCTTTAATGCGCGAGAGCGAGGCCGACGAAGACGAGGAGGCGGCTGCCTGGGAGGAGGAAGTTGACGAACAGGACGAAGAAGACGCGTCTGTCGCAAGCCCCAGCAACGCTTGTATTTTTTGCAAACAAGACGAGGAGGATGACCCGAGCGAAGACTTTGAAGCATACTTGTCGTGCAAGAGATGCGGCGATCATGCTCACCAGCAATGTGCTCGTGAAGCAGCAACAATGACGGAAGATAATGATGCGCAAAACTGGAAATGCCCAGACTGCATTGACAAATCTTCCGAAGAAGAGGAGGATGATGCTGAGGCTGAGAGCGCTGCTGGCTCTGATACAAAAGCATCCCAAGCAAGTGGTGGGACAGGCACTGCCTCTCGCGCAGGCCGCAAGAGAAAATCATCACCTCTACAGGACGAGGATGAGGACGACGTGATTACAGTCCGAAAGCGTCGGCGGAACTTTTCTGTCGAGGACAACTCGACGCAAGATACAGAGGGTAATGAGCACACACGGGGTCGCACTGCTCGGCAAAAGTCGACCCGTCAGGCTTTGGTTACAACAGAAAAGAGCTCGCGGCATTCGTTGATCCTGAAATTCCGCGTTCGACCCGGAAACTTGAAGGAATTCCTGTCCCGACGGCGCCGAGACCGAAAGCGTCCCATTACTGCTCGAACACCACGGCCAATCGCACAGCAACCCTCTTCGGTAGGGTTTGACGTGCCGATATCTGCTATACCTACACCATTCAGCTCTGATGTTTATTCTCAACCCTTCTATTCCTTCTTCGACAAAGAAACAGACGAAGTAAAGGGCAAACCATATGGTGGCATCCTGACAGAGGTGGAAGCCGATACGTCCAAGACATTTCCCACGGCTGACGACCGCAAACGATTTGACAAAGCAAAGCAGCAAGCGGAAGACGAGTGGCGGGCTCGCGTGCTTGCAATGCAAGCAGAGCAGGACATGCCCGTGCGACGTCACAAGAAAAACAGTGATCACGCCAGTCAAATCGAATGTATTGAGTTTGGCGGCTGGGAGATTGAAACTTGGTACGCGGCACCATATCCCGCAGAGTACAGCAGAAATCGTGTCCTCTACATATGCGAATTTTGTCTCAAATACATGAACTCGGACTACGTCGCGTGGAGACATAAGCTGAAATGCGGCACCAAGCACCCGCCTGGGGACGAGATTTATCGGCACAACTCGATTTCAGTATTCGAAGTGGATGGTCGCAAGCACCCGGTGTATTGCCAAAACCTGTGTCTTTTAGCCAAGCTATTTCTTGGCTCTAAGACACTGTACTATGACGTGGAGCCTTTCCTGTTTTACGTCTTGTGTGAGTACGATGACTGCGGATATCATTTCGTCGGCTACTTTTCGAAGGAGAAGCGAGCAAGCAGCCAGAACAACGTCTCATGTATCTTGACCCTGCCGATCCATCAACGAAAAGGCTATGGCAATTTGTTGATTGACTTTTCCTACCTCCTTACGCGAGTCGAGCAGAAGACTGGATCGCCAGAAAAACCGCTGTCTGACATGGGTCTGGTGTCGTACAGGAACTACTGGCGACTCCGACTTTGCCGCTATTTCCTGGACATTTTTGAATCTGGAGAGTTCAAAACTAATGGCATGAGCATTAAGAAGATATCGGATGACACCGGCATGACACCCGACGATGTCATTTCTGCGCTCGAGGGTCTACGGGCTCTTGTTCGTGACCCCGAAACAAAACTATATGCATTCCGAATAGACTTGGAATATTGCCGCAACTATTGGGAGAAATGGGACAGTAAGGGCTACGTTAGGCTCGATTCCGACGCTTTGGTCTGGACCCCATACGTGATGGGTAGATCGAATGCCGTTAATTTCGAATTTGGACCGCCCATCAACGCCATTGCCCCGCGCGAGGACGACGAAGCCAAATTGGTAGAAGGGTCGAACGGAGTGAGCACCGAAAAATCGGAGGAAACGAATGGTGACAAGGCTCTCAGTACTGCGGACCAAGCAGAACCCATCTCAGCGCCAGCGGCATCCATTGAAAAAGCTGATTCGGAAGACAAGATTATCAAGTCTGAGGATGAACCAATGAAGGACGCTGACGAGGAAACCGTGGAGACGTGGGACGCCGCCTACAGAAACATACCGGCCACTCGATTCGAAGTCTTCCCCACTGTCGGCGGAAATCGTCGAGATCGAAACCGGCGCCGCTCGTCGGGCAATAATGGTCTTACACGAAAACGTGGTCGGCCGCCGCTGAACCGCGCGCGGAGTAACTCTTCCCGGCGCAAAGGCGGTGGCACAGGCCGGGGCCCTGGGCGATACCCAAAGGGGACCAAAAAATCCGACTACGGCAATGCAGACAGCGGGCCTGGCCTGCCGCCCGGCTGGCAGAGGCACACGCCCACGGAGGCCGCCCAAGCCAATGGCCAGAGTGTCGACGCGACCGCCGAAGAGGACCCCGCGCAGGACGAGGTTCAAGTGCAGCTGCTGGGGCCAGACCCCGCCACCGCCCAAGACGACGAGGAGTCTGCCGAGGAGCTTGGCGGCGCCGAGCAACAGGATGACGAAGAGGAAGAGGAACAAGAAGGAGAAGGAGACGATGAGCACGAAGAGGAAGAGGAGAGGGATGCAGAAGAGGACGAAGAAGCGGAAGAAGAAGCGGAAGAAGAGAGCGAAAAGCATGACGATGGGGAAGAAGAGGAAGAGGATCTGGAAGAGGAGCAGGGAGCGCAAGCGCAAGAAGAGGGCGATGTGGACGCTTCTGGCGAGGAGGAATAATGTGCATCGACCACAGCTTGTTTGTACTCTTATATTCACCATGGTGATGGCGCTTTGGATTTGCGATTTTTGTTTTGTTTTCAGGAGGTTATGGGGGCGTCTGGATCGATAGTTACTTGTACGACCATCGGCGAATTTGGGTAGGATATGGGTACGGTACCTATGATATCAATTGACCGCTGAACGGGGTTTATCTACGCAGTGCCTTGTTAAGGTCAGCTTTCGTTGGGTGGCTGAGAAGTACATCTTCAGAGCTTCGGAGTAGTATATCTCTGTTGTCGATTTGGTCTTGGCCTATTCTCATGCGCTTTCAGTATTTCTTCTCCTTCATCTATTGTACTTTTTTCGGTCTTGTCTACCTCTTCTAATTAGAGCACATCATTTCAAGTTTCGATTCCCAGCAGCATGCCCATGCACCACCATTCGTATATACAGAAGGAAATCGTCTTGGCTTATTCGTCCGCCCTATCTTCATGCTTCAAACAAGTCTTGCTATCATGCTACATAATGTTGGGATGGTATTTGCTCGGTCTGGCCGAAAAAGAGAAGAATTTAAGTTTTTTTTTCATCGTGATTTGAGACCGTTAGACCTGCCACTGGCGGAAGGTATCCATAACGGTGGTGAAGACGACGAGGAGAATACCACCTCCGGGGCCGAGACGGAGAACCTTGTAGAATTAGCACGGGAGTGTGGGTGGACGGTAATGCGCAGAGAAGCTTACCTTGGGGAGGAAACCCTTGTAGAGAGCTCCGAAGCCCTCTTCCTTGAAGACGGTGACGACGCCGGGAAAAGCCCAGTTGTACTTGGGGACCTGACCAGGTACCTTGGGGGTGTTTTGAATTCTGCTCTTGACGACGTCTAGGGGGGTGTTGAGGATAGTACCGACAGTACCACCGACAGCACCGGAGACGAGGTCGTTGGTCATCTTGCCGCTCTTGGTGTCGGCCTTGGGGAGCGTCTGGCGGACCTGGAAGATGCAGCCAAAGTAGCCAGCATTCCAGAGAATATGGCGCCACATGGTGGACTCGAGACCTTGGTACATGGTGAGGACACCCTCGTTGCGGACCGTCTTGACGACGCAGTCGACCATGCCCTTGTACTTGCCGGCCGAGGCCTTGTCCTGGAGACGAATCTTGACGAGCTCAAAGGGAACGACGACAAAGGACTCGGTAGCACCAGCGGTAGCGCCAGTGAGGATAGAGAGGGACTGGTTCATCTGGCTGACGCCGAACAGGTTGCGGTAGACCTTGCCCCATTCGTCGTTGGCGGCAAACTTGGTGGCACGCTTGGGCGCCTCCATCAGGATGGGGGCTGAGATGCCACGGTAGAGGCGAGAGAAGCTGTGTTGGGTGTCAGCGGTTTGCAGCATTTTTATTATCCTAGGACCGGGTCGTGGTGTACCCTTCATTCTTGATAATCTTGCGGAAGCAGTCGACCATGCCATTGTAGCTCTCGGCGGTCTTGGCGCCTGTTTGCAATTGACTAAATGCAGATTAGCATTCTGTTTTTTTTCTGCGATGTGCGATCGATCAAAGGCGTGGGAGAGCAAGCGTACACTCGAGTCTTGACAACGTCCAGCGGGTACCTAGGCGCGTGACGATTAGCCGGATGTCTTGGGCGAGTTCGGCGTCAACACCGGATTTTGGTGGGCGCAAGAAAAAAAATACATGATCAGAATCTAAACATGATAAATGAGCATGTTATTCATTTGAGCGGCTGCTTGTGATATTTGTTACCTCGGAGACACCGGCAATGGCGCCTGCGGGAGAAAAAGTTAGCCATCGGCTGTCAACGGTCACGATCGCACGTGGCACGAGGGCGACGATGGCGGGCGGCACGAACCGGCGGCGAATTGGTAGACAAAGGGAAGGGGCTTTTCCTCGGCCATTGTGAAGGATTCCGACAATAATTGAGCCTTTGGCGTAGAAGGAATAAGGACCGGCGTCGTTGTTGTAAGGGCGAAAGAGTCAAACGGTGAAAGGTCGGAGAGGGCGCAATCGAAAGAGAGAGGAAGACCGAGACAGATCGGCGGGCCCCAGAGCCCACAGAGCAATGATTAGCGGGAATTTAGCAGGAGCTTCCCTGAGCTTGTCTTTGGCAGGGGCGCAAGGGCCAGGACCAGGTGACAGGCGCTGAGACCAGATTAGTTAGCGGCTTTTGGCTCCCTGGCCAGTTGCCGCTTGTACCCAGCTGCCTGGCTGGTGGTCTTGCATGGGACCCAAGCGCTCTGCGTCGCAAACTTGACCAACAGTCCCAAAAATTCTAGTTAGTTCACTTGTTGAAGGTACGGTCCTCGTAAGCAGATAAGCCGCAGGCGGTAATTGACCCCGGTCGCGGGGCTCAAGAATGTGCACGCGATGTGGTAATGGTAGTAAGAATATGGGGAAGTTGGGGGCCTCGTTTGTGACTTTCATCTGAAAACGCAGATGGCTGCATGCATGCACAATTTGTTAGCTACATACCTAGGTAGGTATGTAGGTGGTCCGATTGGGAGGTATTTGGAGGTATGAATTATGAACAATGAACAGGTACCTGGTACACGATTTGGACTGTACCTTGCTTTGTGCAAGCTGCCATGTGCTGTGCGACCTTGACAGATGCACGCCATTGATCCTCCTCGGTGAGGTGACCGAGCGCGATGCGATGGCGCATGTTCCATTCGCATGGTTGGCTTCAATACTCAAGTACCATCACGGCTCGTCGCATTGACCGCGAACTGATGGAGCGCAACGTCTCATTTCAATCGACCGGAACACCACGGATGCCTTCACCTTAAGCAACTGCCGCCTACACGATCCCATTCCGATCGTCGTCATCCACGCGTCACGTAAAAGGGCACAGGAACCATTCAAGCCTCCAAGAATAAACATCACGAGGCACACGAACGGAGCGGCTCCGCACAAAGCACGGGCAAATAACAGCCTGTGCTGGCCGCCATGTGTCTAGTCCCACGACTTTACGCGACTGCCCGCATGCGCCACGGTAACCCTATCGACCCTCAAGCGCAGCACAAGTGTCAGTGCTGCGAGGCCATTGGCCAGCAGCGGGAATTTCTGTAGTGGACACGCTGTAGCGACTATAGTAGTAGGAAGGTACCTACTGTATGTACGCTGTAGCCACGTTTTTAGGAGTGTTGCCCCCCAGTGCACCTCTACTTACGCCGGTTACTGTGCCGTCATCACATGTACTTGTAGGGTACCTACCTACCTCTTACCTACTATTGAGTATTCATTGTCATTTAGCAGTCGAGCAGGCACAGGGCTCAGTCGCGACGCGAAGAGCAACAACCCCACCATCCCGAACCAGTGCGCATTAGCCATTAAATTAAAGACCTCTCAAACCACATCATCGCGACAGCCTGCCCACGTTGTTAGGAACCTTCTATACGCGCTTTCCGTTCGACCTTTTCGCTCTCCAAGCTTCAATATCTTCCTCGTAACTCTGGGCGCGCCTCATCAAAACCACAAAAAAATTCACCCATCCGCTATCCCCGCCGACTCTGACCCCTCGCTTCCATATCTCCGGGTTCCCACCGTTGCGCTGTCGCATCATCAAGCACCAACTCCCACCGCGCGGCACCGACAACGGGGTAGCGCCCTACCCATCAATCAAATAAGCTCTTTCCTACGCTTGAAACCGCACCTTTAAATAAGCCGTGGTCCCCGAGAACCACAGCGAGGTGCCCTTGCAAGCGTACAGAGCTCGTTTCTGACCTCCCGACTAGCCGATGAGTCACTTGCTGTGGAAATATTACTGGGAAAATGATGTCGAAAGATTTCGACATCTATTGGATCCTGCCACCGCGGCAGCTCCCGCTGGATCCAAGAGCCCAGTGATTGGCAGCATCGGCTGGCCCAGTCCAGGCGGCTTCAATTCTTCGCCACGCCTCGTCGGCAAGTCGCGCAAAGCCTCGGCCAAGCCAAAAGACTCGGCCAACGTCATTGGAAAGGCCGAAATTAACAGTCGCGATCATTCCGGCCTCACAATTCTGTTGCGCGCCGCCTCCTCGACCGATACCACCGCTCGCGACTTTGTTCACGCCCTCGTCGAACATCCTGCCATCGATCTACATATACAAGACCCGGAGAGCGGTTGGAATGCCCTCCATAGATCTCTATACAGCGGAAATGTCTCCATCGCACGCATCATTCTAGCCAAAGAACGCGAGCATATTCTCTCCGGAACCACGGTATCCGCGGGACGAGTTGGAAGACTCATCAAGACCAAGGACCATGAGGGAAACAGTCCCTTCGACGTCTACAACTCGACAATTGCCACCCGTTCTTTGAATAGAGGTCAAATAAACGACGCCTCTGACAGTGAATCCGACAGTGGAGAAAGCACAGGAGACTACAACGAACTGTGAGCCTAATTCCAGTACCACGAGCCTCTTGGCCGCTTATTAACGGTTTTGAACAGCGCAAAGTCTACAAATCTTGCCTCCTCTTTCGACCAAGGTGACGAGCTGTTTGTGTTTGGAAGCAACAGAAACATGTCCCTTGGTGTTGGCGATGAAGATGACCGCCAATATCCCGAGCGCATCCACCTCCAGCGCCCAGACGACCTCTTGCGCCGATTTTACGAATCATACCTGGGGGAAGACGATGGAGAATTCATTGCTGCCTCGTTAGAAATCGAGGATATTCCCATGCTGGTTCGCAGTCGCCCGCTCGTCATTCAAGATGTTGCCATGTCCAAACTCCACACTGCCGTTCTGACCACAGATCCTGTCAGCAATCTGTACATGGCTGGTCTTGGCCGAGGTGGACGCCTTGGACTAGGAGACGAAAACACCAAATTCAAATTTGCCCCTGTTCAAGGCCCCTTTGCCGACAAAAAGATTCGTCAAGTTGCTCTTGGCCAGAACCACTCAATGGCTGTTGCCGGCAACGGCGAGCTGTGGACCTGGGGTCTCAACTCGGATTCGCAACTAGGATACGCTCTCCCCCCTCCAACGAGAGCAGACGAGGAACCCATGAGCCTAGTACCTCGCCAAGTTTTCGGAACCCTCAAGAAGGAGCTCATCCAAGGCGTCGCCGCATCTGCATTGCACTCAGTCGCCCATACCGGCACATCGCTCTTTTGCTGGGGTCGCAACGTTGGACAGCTCGCGCTCATGGATGCTGATTCTCGGTCGCTTGACATCCAGGCTATACCACGCCGAGTAGCCGCGTCTTTGCTGACGGCGCCGATTCTCATGGTATCCGCCATTGACAGGGCTACTACTGTTTTGCTGGCTAACCACAACGTCTGGGTCTTCACCAACTACGGCTACAATCTGGTCAAATTCCCGACTCCTGACGCATTTGCCAACTATAACCTGTCATCATACGCCATCAGACGTGAGTCGGGAAGAAAAGAAATTGTTTCCATCGCCTCCGGTGGAGACACTATCACAGCGGTCTCGTCTCGAGGTGATCTGTTCACCATGCACGTCAACAGCAAAGGCGAACTAGATCAGCCTAATGGCTCTACCACAAATCCTGCCAAGATAAAAGGCGCGGTATCACAGCCGCAGTGTGTGTGGGATTCTCGCAAGGATGGTGTCACGTCCATGAGTGTTGGAGAGCATGGCTCCGTCATCATCTGCACCGAGTCTGGTGCTGTCTGGAAGCGAGTGAAGCGCACCAAGGGAAACCTGCTGTCTGGTGTTGGTGCGAAGAAGAAAGACTTCAAGTTTGAGCGTATTCCCTACATTACCAATTGCACAAAAGTGCGAAGCTCGACTTTTGGTGCCTTTGCCGCTATCCGAAAGGATAGCAAAGTCATGTCTGAAGAGATTTCTGTTGCGAAACCATCCATTTGGGAGGATATTGGCTCGCTCCTCTGCCTGAACGAATTTAAAGCGTCGTTGCCGGAGCCAGACGCGGCAGAGTGCCGGAAAGCTTTGAGCAAAGCCATTGTCAGGGAAAAGCACAACTCTGTTGTTTACGAGCTGCTGAAATCGCCGGACCTTGAAACGGACCTTGCGCAAATGTTACAGCGCGGCTCGATCCCCTTCAAGAATATCGACCTCCGTCTTTGCACCACAGCTGCTCCCGACCTGAAGCTTCCAGTATATGGCTGGCTGATCTCTGCCAGAAGTCCCGTCGTTCTTGGTGCTCTCTCCAAATTCCGCCGCAGCGGCAGGCAATCAAATGAAGATGCGTTTACGCTGAGTGAAGACGAGGGCGGAATTCTTCTCACGTTCCAGCAGATTGACATACTCACTCTGCTGAACATTGTGCTATTCACTTATCTCGACACTATGATGCCTGTTTGGAAATACACTAAGGAAGCACCTCCACTGGCCCATCGTTATCGACAAGTCAGAACTGAGCTCATGAAAGTGGCGACCAGGCTACAAATGATGAAGCTCGAAAGTGCAGCCCGACTGCAAGGCAGTATCGAACCTTCTTTGGACTCGGATCTTCAGGGCGCGATCTCAGACAGGCGGTTTTTTGAGGATGGCGATATCCTGGTTCAACTTGATGGTGAAGACTTCCCTGTCCATAGCCAGCTTGTTTGCCAGCGATGCCCCTTTTTTGAGGGCATGTTTCATGGCCGCTCGCAAGGTGGATGGCTCTCCAGTAGACGCCTGGGTCGAGCTGCCCAGGACCGCATCGAAGTTGATCTAACGCACGTCAGTCCGGATACATTCATGATGGTTATACAGTACATCTATGGTGACGTTGGCGAAGATCTTTTCGAAGATGTGACTTCTGCGTCGCTGGACGAGTTCTCCGAAACTGTTTTGGATGTCATGGCTACTGCGAACGAGTTGATGCTTGATCGGCTTTCACAAGCTTGCCAATCCGTCATCGGAAAATTCGTCACTACACGCAATATTGCCAACTTGCTGAACGAGATCAGTCCTTGTTCAGTCACTGAGTTCAAAGACGTGGGGCTGGAGTACATCGGCTTGCAGTTGGAGAACATGCTGGAGAATGGTAACCTCGACGGCATGGATGAAGAGGTACTGTTGGATCTCGATGAGGTTGTGCGCGAGAATCAGCTCGCCCGACTACCGTTTGTTCGAAGTGGGCGTGCAGAGCTGCTTCTGCATGAGAAGTACCCGGACCTTGTCGTTGATATTGAAGAGGAGCGTCAGCGTCGTGTCAAGGAATTCGCTTTCAAAGCTACCCACCGGGAAGAGGAGAGGAAGCTATCTTCATCTTACCGCGCACGCTTCGGTAGTTTGGATGAGGTGGCAGCCTTTCCCAGAACACCTGATGTTGGTCGACGCAAATCTAGCTTTGCGCGAAACGAGCCATTCAGTCCCAGCCTGCGGCCAAAAGAATCACACGGAGATCTCATCTTTGATATGGATGAAGATGTAGCCAAGTATGGCAATGTGTCATCACCCAACGCTCTATCTCCTATCCCCCAGCTAGACCTGGATGTGGAATCGATGGCACAGCTCCCTGAGGCAGCTTGGCAGCAGCCCAAAAAGAAGCACTCGGTGTCATTCTCCAGATCACCCATCTCCTCTGCCCCCGCGCCTGCGCTCTCGGCATCTCGAACCTTGGGCGGAACCCCCATCACGCCGGCTAACAATCCTGCGCGGAAAGCAAGCGCCCCTTGGGCCTCACCTATTCTGTCCACCACAAAGTTGGATTTACGGGGAATCATGTCCGAAGCATCTCCGAAGCCGACTTCTGCGTTGACGACAAGCCTAGTGGCCGCTGCATCTAGGGATACACCGTCGCCAAAGGCCCCAGCCAAGATGTCACAAAAGGAGCGCAAGAGGCAGCTGCAGAAGTATGCAGAGACCCAGGTTGTGGCAGACGATGAGAAGACAAGCAGCAAGCCATGGCAGCCCGTGTCGTTTGGCGACAACACGACACCATGGAAAGCAGCACCGCCTGCCCCTAAGGTGTCATTACAGGAGGCCATGGCGTCTGAGTCCCAGAGTCGCGGGCCGGTGCCCAAGACAAAACCTCTTGTCGCTGCTGAGACGGAGCCCGAGACTAAACGGCGCACCTCATCGCCTGACACCAAGTTTTCTGGCCAGAACCGTAGCCGACGGGCGGTGCCAGACGCGTCGGCGACTAACAGCCAACAGGGCTCAAGTCCACTTGTGCCACACTCCAAGTCGTACATTACACGAGAACGCAGAGAAGCACCACTGGCAGGGGCGACTCTGGCTGACATCATCGGACAGCAGAAGCGTGAGCAGGAGCTGGTCAAGGAAGCGGTGGCCAAGCGGTCCTTGCAGGAGATTCAGCAGGAGCAGGCGTTCCAGGAGTGGTGGGACCAGGAGAGCCGCCGTGCGCAAGAGGAGGAAGCGCAGCGCTCCGCGCGACCGGCCCGGGATAGAGGCGACGCCGGTACTAAACGCGGAAGGAGAGGCCGCGGTGGCCGCGGCGGTAACGCTCATGCTGGCGGAAACAGGTCGGGCATTCGCCAGGAAACTACCGACAAGGGAGAGCAAACCAAGCCAACGTCGGGTCCTAGGGCGCGTGGGGAGCCGGCTGGCAAGGCTGTGGCCGTGACCGGAAGAGGCGGCAAGAAGTGAGAAGCGTGCATGTATATATGTGTGACCTTGAGCGTTGTCTCCGGCTGCGTTGAATTCTTTGATTCTTGGGCGTTCTATGATGGCGTACAGTGAGCAGTTTCACTCGAAACAGAAGCTTCAAGGGTTGTTTCCTGGTTCTCCTTTCCCAGCCTTTCTTCTACTATATACGGATAATTTCTCAATTGGTTGGCTTGGCTTCCAGATATTTCTTTTTTTCGTACGCAGCGCGATTTAGAATCCCTCCTTTCTTTGCGTCTTGCTGTTCAAAGTGTGCCAAGCGAAGTGTGCAAGTGTGGTACGCCTCGCCAAGGTGGTGTTGTGGCAGTGCCTCTTGGGGTGCTCTTTGAGGTTGCCAGCACACCAAGCCTAGACTTTGCGGTGTTTGGTCAAGGCAGCGTTTTCATGTAGCGTCGTCATCACCTCTTCCCTTTTCCATCATTTGCTCGTGTGTCGATGTTTAGGTGTCAGTGTAGCTGGCTTTTTTGCCACGCGGCAGCGCCGGTGGGGGAGTCGTCATCAAGTCGCCGCTCGCTCCCCTGGTGCTTACCTTGGGTAGTTGCCTGGATGGAGCAGAATGCGGCGATAGCAATACCTCGAAGTTTGCAGATTGGGATGGACGAGGGATGCAGGTTTGCACTAGTGGGCTGATGTTGTACTGATGCAGCTGTGGTTTGAGAGGCGAGTTTGATTCAGGCAGCGATGTTACCTAGGTAGGTACCTACATAGCTACCTTATGTAGTACCTAGGTAGATAGCTTTTTACATGGCGAGTAACAACGGAGCAGACTCCAATATGAGACGGCTCAGATATTCTTATTCAAATTGTTCCTTTGCGTCATGGGCGTCTAGTTCGTTTGACTGTAGGGATACCTCTGGGGGTGTTGATAATACACCAGCCACATAATTAGCAAATACTACCTCCTATAGGTAACTCTACCAGGTACGCTCCAGGCTGCTACTCGCTAAACACAGCGCCTCGCAAGGCTGTTACAGCAAAGTGTCCAGCGAATAGGTACCTGTAGGCAGCCCCATCAGGCCCCATAAGTTCGGATTATCTGAAGGTTTTAGCGCCAAGAGTTGACTTTCACCTCCTCTTTTGTGCTGGCAAGCTCCTTTATTAATAATTTACTTGTTAGCCTCCAAGCCACACCCACCACGAGTCACGACTTATTCCTACCGCACTAAGTTTGTACAGGCGCTAGAGATAACTAATTGATTCCACCCCGACCTCTTGCACACATTCCCTCTACTAAATCCTATATCGCCAACCTCTCTTTTCCTCCAGCATCGCCATCTTTCATCTCTCATCTCTCATTACCCTCACCTAAGCCAACGCCAGCTATCCCTCTTTGCAACGCTGCGCCCGCTAGCAAGCTCGCAACGCGCCGCCCCCTCCAGTCCGCGCCACATCATAGACTCGACCGCCCGGTGGTTCGGCTTAGCGTCGGCGAGGTAGTGACGACGCTCGCGGCCCTCCCGAAATCACTGCTGCTACTTTTTCAACCACATCATCGCAGTCCTCTCGCGAGGCATCACAGTCGCCCACCATGTCCAAGGTTATGCGAAGCATCAAAAATGTGACCCATGGGTATTCCAGTATCCAGGCCAAGGTCCGCGAAGGTTCGTCTGTCTTTTCCCGCCCGCCCGCATCACCACGCCACCACGCCTTGGCCGACCTGCTGGCCTAGCCTCAACCACGGCGCATCCCTTGCTGACCTCTGTCCCCTCTCCAAATAGCGACCAGTAACGACCCATGGGGCCCGACCGGCACGCAGATGAGCGAGATTGCTCAGATGACGTTCAACACGTAAGTCCACCACCTGTTGGTCGCCCTCTCTCCTGTCGCGGCATATTCGTGCGGGGCTTGCAACTGACAAGGCCCGCCGCATAACCAGCTCGACCGAATTCTATGAGATTATGGACATGCTCGACAAGCGCCTCAATGATAAGGGAAAGAACTGGCGACATGTTCTCAAGGCCCTCAAGGTCCTCGACTACTGCCTGCACGAGGGCTCCGAGCTCGTCGTTACCTGGGCCCGCCAGAGCCTTTACGTCATCAAGACGCTCCGCGAATTCCAGTACATTGACGAAGACGGTCGAGATGTCGGTCAAAATGGTATTACGCTCTCTGAAGTGCTCCCCAAAATTCCTGCTGCCGGCTAACAGACTCAATCCAACAGTCCGCGTTGCCGCCAAGGAGCTAACTTCTTTGGTTCTCGACGAGGAGCGTCTTCGCGCTGAGCGAACCGACCGAAAGTCCTGGAAATCCCGTGTTACCGGTCTCGAGGAGCACATGCCAGAATACATGGCTTCGTCCTCGCATACCGGGCCACGGCCCAATAGACGCCCACAGAACGACGAGGAAGACGCCGAATACAGACTTGCTCTTGAGGCCAGCAAGGCCCAGGAGGAGGAGGATCGCAAAAAGAGGGAAAGCAGGCAAGGCGTCAGCGAAGATCCTGATCTGCAAAAGGCGCTGAAGCTGAGCAAGGAGGAGGAGGAACGCCGACGACGCGATCTTGAGGACCAGAACGCCAACTCCCTCTTCGGCTTCGACGAACCTGCGCAAGCTTCCCAACCCCAGCCCACCGGCCTCAACCAGGGCTACCAGCAGGGCAATCAAGTCAACTTCATGGGAAACCCCATTGACCAAAATAAGATGATGGGACAGCCTACAGGGTATATGCAAAACCCCTACCAGACCGGCATGATGCCTAACCAAACCGGCTTCCCCAACTACAACAATATCGGCATGCAGCAGACGGGTATGGGTATGGATCCTTATGGCCAGCAGCAGCAACATCAGTCGATGCCCTCATTCCAGCAACCGCAGGCGACCGGTTTTAACCCATATGCGCAACAGCAAATGCAGCTCCAGCAGCCCTCTGAGCCCTCACCTCAACCCGGCAGCAACAACCCATGGGCTACCAACCAGTCTCAGCAGTCTCTCAAGCCCATGCAAACCGGCTCCAATAACCCATTCGCCCAATTCAACAACCGTCCCCAGACCACGTCGCCCATTCCGACACTCGCCGCGCTGCCGGAGCAGAAGACGCTGTCTGCCTTCGGCCAGCAGCAGCAGTTCCCTCAAGCGCAGCCACAGCCACAGATGAACTTCGGCCAATCCCAAGCCGGCCTCAACAGCCAGCCTAAGAAGGAGCTTAGCGAGCACGAGAGCAGGCTCAACGCCCTGCTTGCGTCGGGCGACGGCATGGATACGTACGGCAACACGGGCGACCTACGAATTCCTGCGCAGCACACGGCACCCGGAATGTTTATGAACAGCGCCGGTTCAGGCGCCGTCAGGCTGCAGGCCGACGCTACGGGAAACAACCCATTCATGCGACAGCAGTTTACGGGCATGCCCAGCATCAACTACGGAGGACAAAACGGCCAGCAAATCAACAACAACCCCTTTGGAGCCCAACAACCGCAACGGCAGCAACAGCAACCCGGCCATGACCTGATTCAGTTCTAGCATGTACGGGAATGGGGATAAATAGAAAAGGAAGGAAACGTGACACAAGTCGACAGCTATTTTTCTCAAATTTCCCTTTGTTTCATCTCTTTCTACTACTTTTTTCTGCCTTTTGCGAGTTGGTGCTTTTCTCTTCCTCATCAAGAGAAACATGTGCAAATTGTATGGTTTCCTAACCTCTTATGAACGCTATGAACCTTTTAGTACCCCTTGTCTTGTGTGTGGCTGTTTGTGAATGGGGGTTTATTCCGGGCAAGAATTGCTTGCCTTGGAAACTTGTTCGACCGTTTTTACTCTCTATTATACCTCCTTATTCGTTTTTTGTCTTCGGCTGTTTCTGGTAGGGAAAAGCAGGAGCTGACTTTTGCATGTAGATTGAACTGACAGTAAAGCGACACGTGGAGTCAAACGGGGTAGCTAGCCATCAACAGAGACGGAAAACGATTTACATTTTGAGCCCACGACCAAGAAGATGGGAGAAACAAGACGTGGCGGCCTGCTCATGCGTTAGCTGTTGACCATTCTTTTGGAGCCTGCGAGAAGAAGAGCCGCATTGTTCTTTGCATTCAAAATTCTAGATCTGCCTGTTCGGGTTTACCCTGCGCAACAGACTACGGGGATAAAGAAAAAAAATTATCAAACAAACTCCAACAACGCCGCGCTTCCTTTTTACAACCGTCCCATAGTGATGTTGACAGTTCCAGCTTGAAACGACATGGTAAATAGATATACATCCATGCTGAAAACCCCCCAACGCCATTGTCTCGACCCTGCGTCCTTGACTCTAGAGTAGATGGCGGAGTCGTCGCCAGTCTACGGCGAGTGGCGGTGCTCGCGACAAGACTGTGGTTATGTCCCTCATTGAGCTGCGCCAGTCCCGTTTTCCGATTCTCAGGAATCTTGCCACATGCTCGCTTTGTTTCAATTGCCGGAGCGATACGACACGCGCTGTATATTTTGTGTGGCCCGACTGGGCCGGTGTTGCTTTGTTTGCATCTCATTCTCTCCCAGTACTCTCTGCCAATCGAGGGGCCGCGCCAGCGGAGACTACGGAGAACGTAGGCGAAAAGGGGGAGCGAGGGGGTCAGGCTGGGATGTGTCGCTTTAGCCAGCTTCCTCCATCATCTGCATGAATTCGTCAAGGCTGACGCCGCCCTTGCCCTCGTGGTCGAGATGATCAATCATGCTGTGAATCTCTTCCTCGGTCATGTTGCGGTCCTCCTTGATGTCCTGGGCAAGGTGGCGCATGTCGTCGACCGAGATGATGCCGTCCTGATCATAGTCGAACATGGCAAATACTTTGGCGGCCTCCTCGCGTGGATCGCGGCGGGCGATGAGCTTGGAGGCGCAGAGGCGGAACTGATCGAGGTAGAGGTGCAGGCGGTTGACGGGGCAGTCCCGGTCCTGCCAGTCGGGCGGCACGGTGCCAAAGGCTTCGAGCTCGCGAAAGTACTCGGGCTTGGAGAGGTCGAAGCCCAGCGCGGCAAGGGAGTGGCGGAATTCGTAGCTGTTGAGGTAACCCTTCTTCTTCATGTCCATTAGGTCAAACTGTGAGTTGCGTGTGGGTGTGAGTACAATGTTCTTGTATTTGGGATGATTTTGCTTCTTTGCGCAGATAATTGGCACGGAGGGGGTGAGGACCTTACCACTTCGTCAATGTGTTCGCGATCCTCGTCGGGAATGCCAGCGTAGTCCTCGTTGGACGATACTTGCGGCGGTGGTGGCGGCTGACGTTGTCGCTGGTCCTGGCCGGCAAGGGAGCGCCCGGCAAAGGGTCGCGGCGTCTGCGAGTTGAAGCCCATGGGTCTGGAAGCCATGGTCGCGGCTGATTGTTCTTCGACGAGCGTAGAAGGTTTTGGTGTCCAAAAAATAAGGGAGCTGTGTCCAAACAGGTGAAAACAAAGCTAGCAGGAAGAAAGCAAAAAAAGGCAAGAAGAGAAATATAGGATTAATCAAGCTTCATAAACAAGAATTGTTTTGCAACAAATTGTGACACAGCAAGGCACAGTCACGAGCCCTCCTGATGGATAGACGTTGCGCGTGGGAGGCAAGAGATGGCAGAGAGGGAAGAGTGTGGTTGACGGTCCCGACGATGGCCGATGAAGAACTGGCGACCGGGGGCGGGTTTGGCCACTTTGCGACGCGACCCGAGGAGCTGTGCAGACGCGCCGTCGCCGCGACTGCTATTACTGGACAAGGCTACTTGGCGGTGGTACCAGGCAGCAGGTCACCTGCCACAGTGTACCTCGTTCCGACGCTATGATTGGCTGCACGTTAGTCATCATTGGTGCGTTGGCCAATGGCAGCAGTGAATGGGGCGGCGGAGCAACCTCAGAACACTGGGCAGCAAAATGAAGAGAGCCGCTCCCCCATAAAAGCAGCTCCAGCGGCCCTTCCCCCCCAACTCCCAAGAACCCACTCTTAGAACCTGTCCAAGAAAAAAAGAGACAGGGCGAGCCAACCGCCAGCCTCAACTCATCCTCCAAGCTCCGTGCTAGTTAGAGCGAAATCTCTCGCCACATCAACCAGAGCTCGAGGTTTGTCCCTACGGCGCGCCGACCGCCATCCACCTCCTGCATTTATCCATACCGACTGAGGCTTTCACCTACCTGGCATCTCCAGCATCCATTCATTGACTCTTCTTGTTTTCTCTTCTTCTTTTTTCTAGCGCGTGGTCAGCAGCTCTCAGGCCGAAATTTCTCTCCAACAAACGCGGTAGCCCCGACGAGAGCCTTCGCGCGAGACATTCCGCCCTGTCATCATCGCCCCGTCGACTGAAGTCTTGATCCTCTCCGTCTCTTCACAGTCGAACAATCCATCACGCGCGACCGGTACCGACGCAAAACATCCTAACTCGGGGGGCCGCACAGCAAGGTGACTTACCCTTGCATCAGGACAGCCCTCCTGACGGCATTATACCCAACTATCCCGCCCACCCCTCGCAAACCGTCGTCATGTCTTTCGGCAATGCATTTGGCGGCTTCGGCCAGAATGCCAACAACAATCAGCAGCAGCAAGCGTCTGCCTTTGGCACCTTTGGCCAGAACAACGCAAATACAGGTACGTTGCACCAATCTAGCTTCTGCCAACCTCCCCTCTCTGTCGAAGCCATCCATATGATGGGTGATGTGCTGACCAGCTCTTTCTCTCCCCAGGCTTCGGTGCGCCAGCAAACGCTGGAACCGGCTTTGGCGCCAACGCCGCCGGCGGCAGCGTTTTTGGCGGCGGCAATAATAATACTGGTGGTGGCTTCGGCACCGGAGGTAAGCGTTGTCGACTTGATTCGTTAGTCTGATCGTGCAAGATCGACGACGGCAAAAGGATGTATGATTACTAACGTCTACAGGCGGATTCGGAGCGAACAACAATGCTGGTGGCGCCTTCGGCAGCAAGCCTGCGTTTGGCTCCCCGGCGGCGGCTACCGGCAACTCCATGTTTAGCGGTTCCACTGCCAATAACACTACTACGAGCGGCTTCGGAAGTTTTGGCAACAACGCCGGCAACACAACCTCAGCCTTTGGCAACACCAACAATGCCGCTGGTAGCCTGTTTGGCGCGAACAAGCCCACCGGTTTTGGCGCCCCAGCCGCCACTGGCAACTCCCTCTTCGGCGGCGGCGCCACCAGCGGCGCCACTACGACTGCAGGGTTCGGCGCCGCCTCTGGATTTGGCGCAAACAATGCTTTAGCCGGTGGCGATCCCCCCGGTACTGCAGTTGCTCCTTTCCAGGCCTTTACCGAGAAGGAAGGCACATCGACGACCTCCAACGCCTTCCAGAACATCTGTTTCCAGGACCCCTACAAGAAGTGGTCAACCGAAGAGCTTCGACTTGTCGACTACCTGCAAGGCCGAAAGCACGGCAACGCCAATGGTACCGGCGCTTTCGGTGTTTCGTCTGGTTTTGGTGGCGGCTTCGGTACGATTAACAACAATAATCAGGCGACTAATGTCTTTGGTACCAATGCTGCCAACAACACTACCGGTGGCGGCCTCTTTGGAAACAACAATAACACTACCACAACTGGAGGAGCTTTTGGCAATGCGGGAACCTCTGCTTTTGGCGCCGCCAACACCAACGCTGGTGGCGGCTTGTTCGCAAACGCCAACAAACCTGCCACTGGTAGTGGTATATTTGGTGCCCAGACTCAGCAGCCGGCGAACAGTCTCTTTGGTGGCGCCGCCAACAACGCAGGTGGCTTTGGTGTCAACAACAATACAACTTCTGCATTCGGCACTCCTGCAAACAACACCGGGGGCGGCTTGTTTGGCAATGCAAACCAGAACAAGCCTGCTGGAACCGGCTTCAGCTTTGGCCAAAACGCCAACAACAATGCTACTGCTACCTCTGCTTTCGGTGGTGGCAATACAGCCAGCCCATTTGGTGCTACAAATACCGCAAACAACACTGGTGGTGGCATTTTCGGCAACAACAATAATAACAACGCTCAACAGACCTCAAGTAGTGTTTTTGGGACTGCCAACAATGCGCAGCAAACCACCACAGCCTCGCCTTTCGGCGCATTCGGCGGTCAACAGAACCAAGCACAACAGACTGGTGGCGGTCTCTTCGCAAACCAGAACAAGCCCGCCACCGGCGGACTCTTTGGCACTGCCGCTGCTAATACCACAACTAACACTGCTGGCGGAGGCGTGTTTGGCAATGCCAACAATGCCAACCAGCAAACCGGAAGTGCATTTGGGCAGAGCAACGCTGGCGGCTTGTTCGGAGCGGCTAAGCCTGCTAGCGGTGGTGGCCTGTTTGGAAACAGCACCAACACTCAAAATAATACTGCTGGCGGTGGTCTCTTCGGCGGTGGTGGCCTTGGCCAAAACAACGCCCAACAAAATAACACGGGTGGTCTCTTTGGTGCCGCAAACAACCAGCAGAAACCTAGCGGGCTTTTCGGCAGCTCGACACAGGCCACTGCTGGTGGCAGCGTGTTTGGCGGACAAAACAACCAAGCTCAGGGATCTTCGCTCTTCGGTGGTGCTAACAATCAACAAAACCAGCAGGGCTCAAACTTTGGAGGATCTCTGCTAGGCAATTCTCAGCAAAACGCCAATGCTCCTCAGGGTCTCACTGCTAACCTGAACGACGTTTCTGCTTACGGTAGTCCGGCTCTCTTTGCAAATCTTGGTGGAAACGATTCGCCCAACCCTGGACCTCTTGCCACGCCACTGAACGGCAACTCCAAGCCTCGCAGGAGCTCAATCCTTCCTATGTACAAGCTTGCCCCTGCTTCTGCTTCTCGCTTCGCTACTCCGCAGAAGCGTGGCTTTGGCTACTCCTACAGCAGCTACGGCACCCCTGGAGGCAGCCCGGCCAGTCTCTCTGGCACCCCCACCGGCCTTGGGCGCAGTCTCCTTGGCTCTAGCTCTAGTGGAAGCCTGAGCAAGAGCATGTCTACCAACAACCTGCGTCGCACCTTCAACAGCGAGGACAGCATCCTCGCTCCAGGCGCGTTCTCGTCAAGCTCCAACACTCGTTGGTACGGAAGTACAGGATCCAAGAAGCTTGTCATCAATCGCGAGATCCGTAGCGATCTCTTCACTACCCCTCAAAAGGACAAGCTTACAGCTGAAAGCAATGGCGCCGGTCGTAAGCTTCTGAAGCGCGTTAGCTTTGATACGAGCAACGTGGATTCCGAGGAGACTACGACGCCAGTTCGTGCTCTTCCGGCGGCGTCTGAGGATAGCCCTGGTACAGAGGTGGACGACACTCCCCGGCAGCCCAAGCTCACCGCTAATGGAACCAAGTCACCTGAGATGGAACAGGTCTCCAGCGGCAAGGAGCTTGCTGTTGTGCAGGAGGACAATTCGCCTGACCCCGCTACCGCTTCCGAGACCCCCTCCAGCGATGGCTTTGATAACCTCCCTGGCCAGTACTGGATGCGGCCCAGCAAGGATGAGCTGCAGAGCATGAACCGCATTCAACGACAAAAGGTGGACGGATTCACTGTTGGTCGTGAGAACGTTGGTGAGATCACGTTCAAGGTCCCAGTCGACCTCAGCAGCATTGATCTTGACGAAATTTGTGGTGGTCTAATCCAGTTTGAGTCACGATCTGCCACCGTCTACCCTGTCGCTGCTAAGAAGCCTCCCATGGGCAAGGGCCTCAATGTTCCCGCCAGAATATCTCTGGAGCAGTCTTGGCCTAGAAATGGACGTGATAAGCGTATCACGAATGACCCCAAGCGCTTTCTCAAGCACGTTGAGCGCCTTCAGCGGATCCCCGACACCACCTACGAAAATTACGACAAGGACACAGGTGTATGGACGTTTTGCGTTGAGCACTTCACCACTTACGGCCTTGATGATTCAGATGATGATTCAGACGAGGATGACGAGACTGATTTGGACATCAATGCTTCCCAAGCCATGACTCTCGACAGAACCCCGGAAACTGCACACAAGAACAGCGGCCCGACTTCTCGTCGTAAGGGTGTACCTGGTGCCTTCGATGAGCAAGAAGAAGTTTATACAGAGGCAATGCACCTAAAGCAGTCTTTTTTAGGGGCTAGCTCCGCGGATTCTGCGCCCAACGAAGTCAGACTGTCTCTTACAATGGAGGAGCCTGCTGACATGGGTGAAGGATATGACGAGTCCGATGACGAAGACATGGCGAGAGCTTTGGTCGGACCGCATCACGCCGCGGAGCTTGAAGAAGCCTCGTCGGAGGATGAGCAGGATGCCAAGAGGGGCACTCCTGGCGGCATCCTTAGAGCCCGGATGCGAGCTATCAAGGACGCAGTTGGCCCTGTTAGACTCGAGGTTGCTGACGGCGATGATTGGACGGAAATGCTGCGCAAGACTGTCAGCCCGATGAAGCGGGACAGACACGAACTGCGCGAACTGAACGAATCGCCGCTGAAGAACGCTGGTGGACAGAAGGATGAGAACCTCATGGCCTCTGTTTGGGGGCGCCGCAGTTTGGGGCGCGCCGATAAGAACGAGGGGTTTGCAGCTAATGCGGGACTGGATAAGAGTCGCGGATTTGCCACCAGCATCGACTTGATGAACTCTTTGTTCGAAAAGCCCAAGCCAATTCGCGAGACTGTGCGCCCTCCTCGCGCTACATCTGGATTTCCTCAGGTTGGTGCCCTTGCTACTATCTGAATTTCATTTGTCTCTCTGTCTACCTAACGGGAATGTCTCTAGGAGACCAATTTGTATCTAGTCACGAATTTCAATAAATGCTAAATCTTATTTCTACAGTGGCCATATAACCGACAGGACAAATCCTTCGACATTGACGAGAAAGAACGCGCTTTTCATCGTACCCCTCGAGTCACATGGGGCCCAGATGAGACGCTTGTTGTCACTCAACCTCGCGACAGGCTTCCATTGAACCGGCTTCTCCACGATAGCGCTGAGCTCCTGAGCTTTAAAAAAACCAGCGTCGAAAGCGACCTGCAGAGTGTTCGTCTGGCCAAAATTTTCAGCCAGGTATGTACGGTTCCTGTGGAGGACGAGAACATGCTAACAAGTTTAATACAGTCGTCGTCACAGTACCTGCAAGCGCAGGATAAGCTGACCGACGTTCGCATGCTCGATGGAGCGCCTTTTGCTGTGCTTCGCCATACCAGCCTCAAGGACATTTTCCATCATCAAGATATGACAGACCCTGCCAGCCTGCAAGAGAAACGCGTGTGGGATCTTGCCAACATCCTCTTTGGTCGGAACGCTACTTCCAACTTACCCGAGCATATTGCGCGTAAGAAGAAGCTTTCCGATTTCTGGACCGAGCTTGTCGAACAAGCCTCATCCGCTGCCATTAGCAAGGCTTCCTCTAGCGAAGAAAAGGCCGTCGCTTGTCTCGCTGGTCATCGCATTACGGAAGCTTGCAAGTACCTTCTGGAAGGACAAAACTTTCGCATCGGTACTTTGGTGTCCCTGATCGGTACCAGCGACTCCGCCAGAAAGGAGATGAAGGAGCAACTTAAGTCATGGCAAGACTCGAAAATGCTATCGGAATTCCCAGAAGCCATCCGGACAATTTGCGAGGTGCTGAGTGGCAACGTCTGCGTTTGTGAAGGCCTGAAGGACGTGCCTCTCGAAGACCGTATGGACTCGTTTGCCATTTCGAAAAAGTTTGGCCTTGATTGGAGACAGGCATTCGGCATGCGCCTGTGGTATGCGCTGAACAAAGACGAGGATGCCAGATCTGCCGTACAGAGGTTCCAGAGTGATATCTTCGAGGGCAGAGAGGATCTTCCCGAGCCGTGGTACATGGAGCAAGGCGTTGAGCCCATATGGTTTGATGCTGACTCAGGCCGGCGCCAGGATCTTCTCTGGGGCTTGCTTCAGCTGTACGCCGAGCCGAGCACTGATCTCGAGGCCATTCTTCGACCCGAAAACTCTCAGTTGTCACCTTTCGATGTTCGACTGTCCTGGCAACTAGGCCAGGCTCTGTACTCAACCGGGAAAGTCTCATTCGGAGAGCATGACAGCTCCAAAGCTGATGCTGCCACTGTATCTTATGCAGCTCAGCTGACCAGTGCTGGCGAATGGTTGGAGGCCATATTTGTCCTGCTGCATCTTCGTGACGCGGCCGGTCGGAAGCAAGCTCTCCAGAGCCACCTTTGCCGCCACGCCGGCCGCATCGGCGCCGAAAACGGACCCAACTTCACCACGCTTACAGAAAAGCTCCTGATCCCCGCCAGCTGGATCTGGGAGGCACTCGCTCTGTACATGCGCAGCGTCAAGAAGGATGCTACGGGCGAGGTGCAGTGCCTGCTCCGCGCCGGCTCCTTTGAGGAAGCTCACCGTGTGCTGGTCAGCCAAGTTGCTCCCCGGGCTATTGTGGAGCGCGACTTCGCCGGCCTGTCGGAGCTCCTTAGCCAGTTCCAGGGCCAGCAAGATGGCATCTCGCAATGGGCGCTCGGCGGTGAGATTTATGGCTACTTCCTGGCCCTCATGCAGCATCGGAGCAAAAACCAGAGCATCCCGGCCGCGCTACTGGAAAGGCTGCTTGTTGGACTTAATGCAATGAGTGAGACGGGGCCTGACCGGGAAATTTTGCGCTACGCGGCGGTTTCTGACATGGCTGATGAGACGGCGAGGGAAATTCTCAAGATGGCCCAAAGGAAGCAGGTATGTTTGCTACCCAGGACAGTTTCAACCTGCCCCTGCATCGAAGCTAACTTGTTGATAGGATATGGATCTGCGCTCCAGAATATTGCATTTGCCACTGACGCAGGATCGACTTCTTGCCTACTCCGTCGACCTAGGTCTCGACAGATTTCGCGAGGTCATGTCCTTTTGAAGGGAGAATGGGGTTATGAGATGACTTGCAGGTTGCTTTTGTTTTCTTTGATATACAGGTGAAGCCTACAGGGCGCAAAATGTGATTTGGTTTGGGAATGTAAGAAAAAGAGATTGGAAAAGGGGTCCTATATTGGGTGCGCGTGTTTGTCTGCCTTTGCATATTTGTTCAAGGTCATTTTATTCTTTAGCCTACTAAAGCCCAACACATTCAATGGGCAGGGAGGGTACGCTTGTGTAAATCAATTTATTAAAACCAGAGGGGGCCTTTTGTATTAGGTTCTGTTGTATTCCCGCCGTCGAGTGATGACCGTGACCTTTGCCGCCATTCTCCATTCCATGCCCACAATGCCCGGCTCCAATACAGCCGCCGAGAAGCGAAAGGGACGAACCTAGCATGATTGATTTTCTTCCATAGATGGACTCGGGCGAGGGGGCAATTCTCCTTGGTTTGTTCGTATATGTGGCCGTGACGACCAACATTCTCTCCACTGTAAAAAGTTGCGTGGTGGACCCGCGATGTCCTCACTTACAACATGACATGCAGCTAACTCAACCGCCCATGCCTGGCCGCGCGCAGACCATGTCGCGGCCCAAGAACTGGCCCAGCACGCTCCCATACCTCACTTCTCCGCTGCACGGCAAAGACCTGACGCCAGCGCACCTCGCGGCCCTGCGCACCCGACCAGACGCCGCCTCGTCAGACACGCCCATCATCCCGGCCTCGGCGACGCCGACGCCAAGCCCGCGCGTCCGGATCCAGCGCATCGCCGCGCCGTCGCACCCGGCGCGCGGGCAGCACGGGCTCTTTGCCGCGCAGGCGCTCCCGCCCGGCACGTTTATCCTGGCGTACCTGGGCCGGGTGCACAGCAGCGCGGGCACGGCGGCG